CTCATGTGAGCTGTTAACCAGCTCCAGCTCCTACTCATGTGAGCTGTTGATCAGCTCCTTTCATATGAGCTTGAAATGGTGTGCTAGCTCCCGCTCTCGGAACTGATATGGAACTGTCACACCCCTAATAAGTATGTAAAATTATTTCACAATGTTAGGTTTCTCCATGCAAGAAGATAATTTTATTAGTTTTACTGATCATTTTAAAAGATATATTTATGATTGATGTCCCATTTAATGGCACGTTAGCATAAAAATAATAGAGATCATTAAACAATTAACAACCTACATTGATTTACATTACACTCGGAGACTGAGTGGTAGTGTGATTTAAGTTGCTATGTTTAAAACTACAAATCGTATCTATGCCTTTTCGAAAACAGGATTCTATTTAAACATTGGTAGTTTTCACGTTTTTTAAATGCGTTACGAACAGATTAGTTAAATAACTAGCTTTTTTATTATTATTTTTCATCGTAAAGTTCTTACTTGTAGGTATCCTCTCGAACAACTTCTTTATTGATAAAAATTGATAATAGTGAAATTAGTAAACGTCGATCTTTGTCATCGGTAACTCGGCCACCTATAAAAAAGAAAAGACATATCAAAAGAAAACATGCTACATGTCAAACGAATAAAAATAAATATTTTACCATAATTGCATTCACCAAATAAGTACGATAATGCTTCTAATGGTAAATCATCATAATCATTTAAAAACATTTGTAATTGTCTTAAACTAATGCGTAGATCAGACTCATTAAACTCATATGGTATATTCCAACCTAACGGTCCAAATTGTCGACGTTCTTGTACAACAGCATGAAAAAAACATAGACCAAATAATAATTTTCGCCATATATCTGGTTTATTGCATCCATTAAAAAATGCTGGATCAGAAATCGGATCATTGAGATATGATCGTATCAAATTTGATTTTAATCCTTTTGGACTTTCATTTGTCATTTTAATACCATTTTGTAAAATTGTTACAGGAAACAAATCGGATGGATAAGATGTTAACCATAAACGAAAATCTTGATGAATTTTGCCCGGTATCACTGAAGAAAGCACAACAAACTAACATTTTAAGAAGAAGAGACAAAAAAAAAACACATTAAATTCTTACATAATTCTTCGCAAATTCGTTCGAGCTTCGGCATCCAACTCGCAGCTAGATGACAATTCTGTAATACAACCCAGTGACCAACTTTAGAACCCTCTTTAATCATTTTCTCCGCTATGACACCCTAGACAAATGATGTGAAATGAATGTATAAAAGAAAGAAAAAAGAGATTTATCTTATTTAGAGATTACGAACCTGTCCTTGACCAAGTGAAATAGTCTGAATTTTTTCACTAAAATTCATTTGTTCACCAAATTTTAAGAGTGCAGCCATTGGATCTGCTCCAGGAGATAGAACAAATATTAATGGAGTGACAGACGTTGAATCAGCATATGATCCAGCCTAAAAACCATTAAAAAAAAAAACTTTTTATTTTATAAACTAGTAAAATTTAGAAAATAAACTATACCAGATCGAATGTTGGCGGTTCAACAAACTGTTGGCCCATATTTTTTACAATATATTGTTGAACTGCTGGAACGATTTTATCAGGTCGAATTAAACGTAATATTATCAATCTAAAACAATTATAAATGAATGAATAAACATGTTTAGTCAATTTTTGACAAATGACTAACCGTTCAAGATTTGTTACTTGATCATAACCTTCAGGATATTGTTCTTCATGTGGTTTTAACGATTCATAAAGTTTTTTCCATTCATTTTTTTGTGATTTAACATGTGCCATAAGACCACGAAATGCTGGTAATTCTGAAACACGTACAATTTCCGACCATGATTTATCATTTAACCATTCGGATGCTGGATTTGGATATGGATTGTCAAGACCAACACCACCCGTTAAAAGAAAACGCCATATATTATCATCAATTTCACCACGTCCCTTTTGTAATTGTACACATAATATAAATGAAAATAAAAGTTTATGTTTTTCAAATAATGATCGACAAACATTTCGATAAATTGATTCAGTAAAATGAGAATTTAATTTTTGTATTCTTAATGATAAATCAGATGATTTTTCACTATTTTCAATAGACATTCCATATAAATTAATAAACCATACGAGTGAATACTGATACATTGGATCAATATTGGCCAAATCCTAATATAAAAGAATATAATATAAAATTTTTAAAAATAAAAATAATAAAAAAAACTTTAACTTACTGATATACAAAAAAATAGAATTGTTGAATGTTTTGCTACTGGTAAATATCCTTGACGTGTTGCTTCAATTTCTTTTTGTGTTTCTTCAGCTATTTTTTGTTTTGCTTCAATTTCTTCGGATAATTTCTTTGATGATGATAATATTTGAATTGCTGTTTCATTTTCCAATAAATTACCCTAAATATTAAAAAAATAATTAAGTTTCTATTGTTGTTGTTTTCTGTAAATTATTAATAAAAATGTTAGAATATTTTAAAATAATTAATTACTGCTGATGATGATAAAACTTCTAAAATTGTATCTTCAATTTCTTTTTGTTTTCGTTTATTTTCAGCTGATTCAATAATTAATTTATTTTTTTGTTCTTCAAGTTCTGGTTTTTCTTTAGCAGCCACAATGCTTAATAGTTGATCTTGTAAACCTTCCATTGTTATCATAAAATTAATTAATGTTACTTTAACCGATGTTTCAGGTAAATAATGTGGATTTCGTAGTTTTGTTGTTATATAAAAGCGAAAATCACGTGAATATTCAATAACATTTTCACCAAATTTGATATACTAAAATTTATTATGTTTTTATTGTTGTTGTTTTTTTAAATTAAAATTGTTAAAATATACAACTTTATTTTACCTCAACACCTTGTTGTTTGAATGTTGCTTTCAATAGAACATTATCAAGTATTGGATCAAGTTCTTCATTAATATTTTCTAAAAGTACTGGACTACCAAATTGAATAGCATTTTCAAGTGTTCGAGCATAATTTTGATCTTGTAATTTAACAACGGCTAATTTATTATCTCTTTCGCTATTTTTAATCCATTTATTTGCCTAAAAATTGATTATTGTCATTATCACTATTCAAAGCTATAATATTATAGACAGAAAAAATATACCTGAGATTGTGGATCAATACATAATGGCCAACGTCTTGAATTTGTGGCTATAATACCATTATCAACTGAAAAACTGTCCACAGGCAAACCTAAAAGAGAGGACACAAAGAGATGTAGAAATGAATGAGGATTCTATTTTGATATAATCATCAAAATGAGATTTACCGGCAATTTGCCATGCACGAATTTTAACTGGATCACCAAGTGTAGCATTTAATGAGAATACATCAGAACATGGAATCTTTTTCGAACGACATAATTCAATCCATTTTTTTATACAATCCTATATAAAATAAAATAGAAATGAGAGTAAATAATGAAGAGTAAATAATTTCAATCTATATACATTTCTGAAATTAACGGTAAATGGACCGAGATAAGCAACAACACCGGCACTAAGAAGAATATCGCCAGTTAATTGTACATAACGATCACCTTAAGAAGAAAGATAATATTAAAATTTATTTTTTCTTTACATTAACTAAGATATTCTATATACCTAATCTTCTTGCTTGATCTGTCCATCTATCTTTTTCACCACCTAATCCTTCAATTAATTGTACAGCACGTGTCAATTTTTTTTCACATAAATTTCGTTGATCTTCTAATTCATTTTTTTTCTGTACATTTGTTTCATATTCATCTGTTAATCTAAATAATAGAAAATAAAAATTTTATATCACTTTTTAGACAATATCATATAGTTTTTTTTCTCTCTCTTTTTTTTTTTTATCTATCACTTACGCTTTTAGTTTTGCTTCTAATTCTGCGACTTGTTTTTGTTTTTCTTGTAATTTACTCATTTGATCACTTAATTGTGATTCAGCTTCTTCTAATTTCATACGTTTTGGTTGTACAATTTTAATAACACGATCATATTTATCTAATGCTGTTACCCATTTACATAGACCTTCACAAGCAGCTGATACTGTAGCAATTTTTTCTGTTCGAAATTCTTCATTGCCTGGATTTGTAAAACGTTCACGAATTTGTTTAATAACATGAGGTTTAATATTATCTTTATCAAATCTTTCTAAACTTTTTTTAAAATCCATATCACCTAGTAGACGAACACTCGTTGGCCAATAATCGTAGATAGCCTTTTGTGCTAAAAAATAAAAACAAAAAATAAAATATTTATTTTTATAGTATAATTTTAGATAATGTTCAACTTACATGCAGGATCAATTTTTTTCTCTGGTTTCAAATCGAACATAACACAAACAGCTTCCATAACTAATTTTACACCTTTTGGTGGATTTTTCATACTTTTAACAACAACAATATCAGCAGGTTTCAATGTGTCTAATGCTTGTTCAGCTTCTTTTAATGCTGGTAATGCTTCCATTAATTCATTTTCACATTCATCTTTAATTGATTGAGCTTTTGCTGCTGCTTCATTGGCTACCGCTTCATCAGCTGCTACAATTTCTTTTCTCGCTTCAACTTCAGCTGTTTCTTGTTCAATTCTTACCATTAAATTTTCAACAATAATTGCTGTCTCTTTTAATTTTGGTTGTAATTCAGTTAATTCTTTTTTCATAGCATCAATAGCTACACGTGCATAATCCAATTGTTTTAAACCATTTAAATAATTATCTTTTAAACTTTGAACTTCTGTTCGTTTAATACGTAATAAATCTTTAAAAAAACAGAAAAGAATGTAAAAGTAAATTATATAACTTTAAAAGAAATTTATTTTTACCTTTAAATGTTAATATTAATTCAAGATAGGATGTTGGTGTTACATAATTATATCGTGATAATTCACTTAGAAAACGTTGTGATAATAGTCGAATATGTTCATGAAATGTTTTACACATCACAACACAATGGGCACGAATATCATCTTCTAATTCAACTTCTTCTAAAAATTTTTTTGCAACCATTTCTAACGCATCTTGAGGCCAAGACATGAACCAATCAATTGTACAACAATTAATTAAACTTGGAAACATTCTTAAACGATTTCGAAAAGCTAAAAATAGAATAATTTTTCTAGAAAATATTTAATGATATATATATATGTAATATTTACCATCACCAATGGGACTAAATGCTAATACGATATGTAATGATGATCGTACACGTTCAATAAAAAAATTATATAATGCCATTTGTGTTGTTTCTATTTTACGATTTGATTGTCTGGCAATATTTTGCATTTTATCACATATTTCTGCTCTTTCATCACCTGGAAATAAATTTGGAATATCAGCTGTATTCAACATCATATTAATATCTTCAATAAATGATTCATCTTTCTAGAATTTAAAAACAAATAATATTATTTAACTGAGTATAAATAATATCTATTATACTCTTACAATTTGTGAATCATTAAACATAAATACGGTATTTTTTCCTTCTAATCCACTCTTTCGAAATAATTTTCTAATATCATCACGCCATTCATTTTTTCCATCTAAAATTTATTAAAAAAAATAAAATTAATTGATAAAAATTTTATTTAGATTATTTACATGTTCTTGTAATTTCAATTTGAAATAATTCATAATCAGCCATATATGCGGCCATTTTAGCTGAACTTTGTCGTCCACTACCACCAATTCCCACGAGTAATGCATGACCTTGATCTTGTTTTAATATTCTTGATACACGTGAAATATGTTCAATAGCAAATTGAAACATAACCAAATGCATTGGACTTTTACTAACAGCATTATAATCATCTAAATATCCCTCCATAATACGTTGTAATTGTTGTAAATCATTAATTTCATCATAGTATTTTGGATCGGCTTCAGGTTTCATATAATCTCCAAACATTAATGAACGTATCTACAATGTTTAATAGAAATTAAATTATAATATATTAAATAAAATAATTCTACTTACATGTTCATCACGTAATTGTTTTGGTGGTGGCATATCTGCAGGTATTAAATGTTCTAATAGTCGTCCAATGTCTTGTTTTAATGCATCAGTTGTAATATCTTTAATAACGGTAAAAAATGTTTCTCTATCATTATCATCGATTAGACGATCATAGAATACACGATAAATTTCATGAATCCAAAGACGATATAATTTTTTGTCATCTTTCATATGTGTATGAGGAACTAATAATATTCCACGAATAACACGAGAAAAATCTCGTAAATTAAAGACATAATGACTTTTTTGAGGTGTAGGTAAAAATGTTTCAACCTAAATAGATTCAATTTATTTTTCTTTTTTTTAGATATAAATATCTCTTTTAGCTTTGATAAAATAATGTTTACCGCTTTTTTATATAATTGCATTGTTGCTTGTACCAATAAACGACCAACACGTTGAAATGATGCTTCAAAACCACGTGAAAAATGCCAATCAATTATTGATGTAAATATTTTTTGCATAGTATCATCAGAAAATGAATCAATTGATATTACATTACAATGACGAGTAAAACGTCCACTAATATCATTTCTTCCACCACCAGGAGGACCCATTGCACCAAGAAATGTCTAAATAAACATAAAAGAATATATTTACAAATAATTAATTTTATTTTTTTAATATTTTTATACCAAATCTAATAATTCAATTCTTGATGTATCTTTTTTATCAAACCAGTAGCCTTGATCTAACCATTGTCTCAACAATTCAATTGGTGGTTGTGCTCCATATTTTTCTTTTTGTGGCATGTTTAAATCATCAACAAATATTATACATTTTTTACCCATTAATGGTCCATAGACACCTTTTCGTCGTCTAAAAATATAATAAATTCATCAATATATAGAGACAAAAAAATCGACTTCTATAATATCAGACCGATCTAATTTGCTCATTATTGTATCCATTGTTTGATTTGCCGTTGTACGCGCAGAAAAATTAACAATATTAGCAATAAATCTAATCAAATAATACAATAAATTGATGAATATTTTTTAACAGAAGAATAAAAAAAAAAAAAAACATACTTTTCTTTTGGTAAACGAACGAGAAAATAATTATTTAATGCCGATTTTCCGGTACCTATAAAAGACGTATGATTTGTTGTTTGCACTAATAGATAATACAAATGATATATATACCTGTTGGTCCCACAAATAGTAGAGGTGAATTATGTAATAAAAATGTGTCTAAAAAGAATGTTTGTCGTGCTGTTTCATCAGTTTGAATAATTAAATCGACAACCTGAATTTAAAAATTGATCATTCATTTATTTATTTAATTTTTCGATATTTTCTTACTTTAACTCCTTCTGGTATTGTCAAATCTTCACGTGGTATCATGTCGACCCAATCTTTCCAATGACCAGCCGCTTTTTTTTCAAAATAAAAGTCAAAACATGTATTACGATCAGGAAATACACTGGCCTAAACAAAAAATATATTCTTTGATCTAAAATGAAATGAAAAGATTGATTTACATACTTTTGAAAGTTTAATATTTTTTGGTTTTGGATATTGTTCCATTGTACCATTTAGAAGATCACGTAGAAATGTATCAAATTTTTTTCGACTTTCACCAGTGATCGTTGAACCCACAGACCAAACCAATGCAAACAAAAAGAGACCTTGAAGCCATAACATTGTCTAAGAAATAAACAAAAAATGAATGAAGTTTAATGTTTAAATTAGTTTGTTGATTATTATCAATTGATGAAAATTAATAAATAAAATGATAGCTAAAATGGTCAATATACTTTTTAAATAATTATAACGAAATAAATCATGCGAAAAAAGTGTCAAATTACAGTAGAAATCTAATTTAAAGAATGAGAACATAGAGAATATAAATCTCAAATAATTTTATAAAGAAATGATGATGATGATGCATTTACCGAAAGTGAATAGACTAAACATGATGTATTTTTATGTGTCTTTGAGCAAAAAAAAAATAAAAAATAAAATAAGATCACATGCATCTAAATATTGTTACAAACCTGAAGAGAATTTAATTGAGCCTAGAAGTGATTTCGAAAATGATTTTTTCATTTGAGCAATATATTATAGTAGCAGAAGTTGTTGTTTTATTAATAGGGAGCATAGTAATATTTCCCAATTTGAATAGCAGATAAATAGCAATTAATGGAGAGCAAGAGCGATCTCCCTTTCTTACAGCAACCGGTCTAACTACAGGGAATGGTTTTGTCATCAAGTCTACAACCCATTGTGGCTAAAAATGTTTATTATCTATTAAATTATTTTGAGTTTGTTTTTTTGTGTAAAATCTATGTTACCTACCGTATTTGCTGTTAACTCTTGATGCATTTTTCCCTCTTCACCGGTATTAACACCGGCAATTTCATCCATTAAACATGTATACAAACGCATTAAACTGTAAGCTAAATGAATTGGTGATGTTTGTAAATGAAATTTACAATTTTGTCTAACAAATTCTAAACATGGATCAAGCAACCATTCGAATAAATCATTAATTAATTCAACATGTTCTTTAGATAGACTTGATGGTAATTCATATTGAATATAAGAATCTTTAAATACACGCCAACCAAGTTGATTTGGATCCATATAAATCATACCACAACGACTGACAGTAGCGGGAGATGCTTGTTCTAAATCTTCCGGTTCAAAAATCAAATTCATTTGTGGACTCATTTGAATTATTTCACCACTCATAAGACATAACTATGATAAATAAATTTCAATTTTATAATTTATTTTTTCAGTTTCATCACTGTCCTACCAACCTTTTTATTATCGTCCAACACCGTATTCATATTTTCGATCCAAACAGCATCAACAGGACCTATACGAAGAAAAAACAACAATAACAAGATGTTAATAGGATAAAACTTTCATAAATACACTTTTTTACCATCAAAAATAATCCATTTACGATCGAGCGATTGACTGGCGGCATATTCACGAAATGTTGTTGCCAAAACACCTGCATAAAATAGAAAAAAGTAGACATTATTGATGAAAATATAAATAATGATAATTACACTAACCGTCTGTCCATTCATGTGAAACAAGATCAAATTGACCATACAATTGTCCAATTGTAATTGATTTGGGGTTAATGACTTTGAATAAAACTTTGTGTTCCTCCATTAGACCGGCTGCTTCTAAATCAGCGAGTGCACCAGCCAATACTTTGAATGCTGCTGACTTTCCTAGAAGAAGAAAAAAAATGCAATTTTAAAATATTATCCTATCATTCTTTTTCTTCTTTTTCAAGATACATACCACCCATAAACGGACCAACAATCATAAAACCGTGTCGTACAAGCATCATTTCGTAAATCTGAATAATAAAACGATAACACTTCAAGATATTTGTATAGTTTAAAATGATAAACAACAAACCTGTATAATTTTCTCGATGAACCACGGTATTGGTTGTAATTTTAATTGACGTGAGTTATTGTGAATTGCTTCCAAGAATACAGCATAATCTGGTACTGGTAATTTTACACCTGGAAACAAATCGCTAATAATACCTTCGAATAGTGGAACATCCTAAAAACACATCCATATTTTAAACAGATAATATCATAGTAAATAAATTTCATTTACACTTACTTGTGCTAAAAATTTTGGCAAATTTACATCTTTTATTGCTCTTAAAACTAATATCGATTCATTTTCATCTTGATATTTTTGTTTTAAATTACCAGATGCTGTTAGAACACTTTTAACAGCACGCATACCTAAAATTAAATATTTACATTAAAATAAAACAATTTTTCATCATTATAGTCTTAACAAACCGTAATCATAATGATGTTGTGATGACAATTGTTCTGAACACAATTTGTATGTGGCCACAATTTTACCAGATAAAGAACGAGCATCGATAAAACCCATAGAATAGAGACTAATTTCACCAATCATAGCATAATCCTATAGTAAAATATAATTAGATTATCGTTAACAAATATAAGATTTAATACACGAGATACATACCGGTACCATCATTGCCACTGTACGAAATAGAACTTTTAAATTATCAGGTAGTTCAGATCGACCTGCATAACCGGGATTCATTGTAATAAAAACGCAACATGTTGGATTTAATTCTAATTCTGTTCCTTCAAATAAAAATTTTTTTTGATTTGTTGCAATAGCACGTTGAATTGTTAAAATTTGTTGAGCAACAACGGATAATACTTCAAGTTCAATACGATTAAATTCATCAAAACATGCCCAAGCGCCTGATTGTGCAAGACCTTTGAAAAATTTTGACATTGCCTGATAATCTAATGAATCCGAACAATTAAAGACAATACACTAAAAAATAGAATTGAACAAATGATTTATTTCAAAATCAGAAAAAGATAATTATATCTAAAATACCTGTTTGGCTACTGCTTTTGCTAAATCTTTCACAGTTTCAGTCTTGCCCGTACCAGCGGGACCTTTGAAATACGAAAAGACAAAGAAAAATTAATTATTATTGTTAATTGAGATGATATGTGTTATTTTTACCCTCTGGAGCACCACCCAAGTTTAATTTTAAAGCCCCCATCAACGTTCTAGAAGATAAGAAGCGTATAACAAGCAAAATAAGAGTAACCGACAATCTATACACTACCTGTAACATCTATCTGTCAATGGTGTTATGACAAGACGTGTTGTATTACCCAAATATTCATAGGCATATTCAACATCTGTTGTTATCATATGTACCATCAATTTATTCACTTCATCTAACCAATAGTATCGTAATTGTGATAACCATAAAAATTCTGTTATTTTCTCTATTTTACTATTAATTAAACTTGATATTACATCACGAGCATGTACATCAATAACGATCAATGCTTCCAATGTTCGACGAGGACCACTCTCCAATTTTCCTCGTACAATTGCCACTGTATCTTTAATTTGTTCATTTGATTTTTCTAAAAAATCTTGTAATGTTTGATTTAAAATTGCTTGTTCAACTTCTCTTGTCCAATGAACTTGTGATGCACAAATAACAATTTGTCCTGGCCATTCGAGAACCCATAATTTTCGATCACGTTTTTCGTATGCTGCTAAAGCTTCTTTAATAATCATACGTATTGAAAGTAACATTTGATCTTCAACTTGAATTAACCATTTTTCAACCATACCACGTGCTTTACTTGGATTTATTTTCAATTTAAATTGAACAACTTCTTTTTCTACCGATATCATAGCCGTAATTTCTTGTTGTTCATTAAATTCAAGACGATTAATACCTTCAAAACATTTTTTTAAATGTGGTTGAACACGTAGAGGATCTTTTGTCTCAGATAATATTTCAAGTAATTCTTCATTAGAAAGAAAAAAGAATCTAAATTAGACAAAAATAAAAAAAAATTAATTATAATTAAAAAAAAATGAATCTTTGAGTAATTATTATTAATTCTATACCTTGGAAAGAATAAACGTTTTTTTTCAAGATAATTGGCCAATCCTTTTTGAATTTCTTCTAATAATCTATGTGCTTCTTTCAATTTTGCTAACATTCCTTCTTGATCTGTGGCCACAAGTACATGTGCATCTTTAACAGCATTTGACATTATTTCTTTCCAATGACTATCAACAATACCAAATTTTCGTCCTTCTTCCGGCATTTGATTAATAATATCTTCTGAGCCAAAAATTGGTTCTAAATAGAGCCATGTTGCTTGTACTTTTAACCAAATATCAATAATATCTTGTAACAATTGTAAACGTTCACACCATGCTCTCATCTCCTCTTCTAATGGTTTAATAAATGGTGAGCCAAGCATTGTTTGTGCTTTAATAATATGATCATCTAACATTACTTGTATATCATCCACAGCTGATAATATGGAAACATTTGTATCACGATATCTTACAAATGTAAAGATCATTTCTGCCCATTCATCTTTCATTTTTGTTTGAGCTTTTTCTAATGAATATTCTTTTGATGCTGAGCCACCAATCTCATCTAATTTATCAATATATTTAGCAACACCAAGTTCTAAAAGATCACCAAGAGATGCTGTTGAATCGTGTGGTAATTGTATACCAACCAATTGTGACATATTTTCCCAATGACGATCTTTTAAACCCGGATTACAGATGACTTGTAGTACAGGTATATGAACTTTAAATTTATCTAAACGGTTTTTAATAAAATCGGCTACACGTCTCGGTCCAACTTGATCTGTCAATGTTTTCTGTAATTTATGTATTGTACGCCACATATTTCCTACTTCATCACTAATATTCTCGGCATTTAAACCTTGAAATGGTCCATTCATCCATTGTTCAAATGATATATGAAACTGCCATGCTGTATTCCATAATTTCTCATACGGATCTTTTATAACAACAATTTCTTGTAATTTTGGAAATGGTATTACTTCCCAACCGAGTAATTGTTGTTCACGATTAATTTGTTCACCTTCATTTTTATATTCATCAAGAAGTTTATTGATATCAGCTAATTTTTCAACATTTAAACGCATTTCTTCGGTACTCAATATCTAAAAATATAAAGTTTTTGTTAAAATTAATTGAATCAAAAATCAATTAACCATATATACCTCTTTTCGTCTGAATACATCAACATCTTTTTGAAGATCTTCAAGTTTCTTTTCAAATTTTAATATTCTATCACGTAATCGTTCTTCAGCTCGTTCTCTTAATGCAGTTAGACGACCTTGATTCAATTCCAATATTGATAAAATATTTTCAGGCCAATGAAATACTTGAGCATTCAATTTAAGATCTTCAGCTAAAATTAAATATAAATAACTTGTCTTAGACGAGTTTAAAATATGTTTAGATCAAGTACTTACGACTCATAATAGCATAGTCCAATAAGAACATTAGACGATCTTTAGCTTCTCCAATTTTATATGCCAGTTTATAAATGGATGTTTCGAGTGCTTTATTTAAAAATTCTGTTGTTTTAACTAATTCTTCAATGTCTTCTGCAGCAACACTCACTGTATTCGCTATTTCATCATATTCTTTGACAATTTCTTTATTTAAACGATTATTATCTTCGATACAATACTGTACGAGTTTTTCTCGTAATTTTTTAACCGTTTTTACTAAATGTTCATTAAGATCATGACAATCAAGATTAATTAAGTTTAATGGTGCATTAATACGTTTTAACATGATTTCATTAATCAATGCTGTTTTTGCCTTGATTTCAGTTTCAAATGTTTCTAATGTATGATCTTTTTGTTTCAAAAAATCGATTGTTTCTGCTTCAGCTTTTAAATTTAACAATTCTTGATATTGATCATATTCATGTAAATATAATTGTGGACCGGGTAAATTTTTATTTAGTACTTCCAAAACACGTACCGTTGTTTTTTCAACAATTTCTTCATCTGGTCGAACATTTCTTAGTAATAATTTTGTTTTAGGATCAAATAATTGTGATTCAATTCGTGGTATTTGTCCAGCACCATCGACTAAATGTTTAATACAACGTTGTAACATGGCACGTATATCTTGATTTGTTGGATCAAAACCAATTTTCGGACCATCAGCATAAAGACGTTGAACAAAGACAGGTACACGAGCAAAACTCATTACATTATAAACATTGTCTTGATAATTATTACCATTTGAATATTGCTCAAAGAAACGTGCAAAATCTTCCAATGAATTATTGACTAATTGTCTCAGATGTGATGCCATATGAGCGGCAACAGTATTAAAAAAGGATTCAACTAACTCAGTGTTACCATCATCACTCATTGGTACCATATTTTCCCAATATTGACGATTTTCTACAACAACATTTTTACAAGCTTGAAGCCACCTATAAATTAAAAAAATGAACAAATTTTGATTCTCACTAATTTGATTTGTCATAGATATTCAATAACTCACTGATTAATCAATATTTGATGCATTTTACTAGCATGGTCTTCGATGAATTTTTCAAATTCTGATGGATACTTTGGTAATCGTGCTTCGTTCAAATCAGCGAAACTAACAAGACGTTGTGATGAAAAATTTTCATTCCATAATGTTTGCAATAGAGCCATTATAGGATTATTAATATGTAATGTAAATTGTAATTGTTTACTTGTTTCTTGCATTTTATCATGCCATGGAATAGGTGCACGAATCATAAATAAACGAAATGGTCGTGGAACATGTTCAATTTTGACGCGAGAACGTTCACGTTCGTCCAGTAAAATATAGTCAACGATAGCTTTTCGTATTGCCAATTCATAATCACGTCGAACTTCGTCACGTAATGATGCATGACATTCTTGTAAATATTTGATAGGCTCGAGAAGTTTATTGGATAAATGTGAACAAAATTTTAGATATTGATCAGCGGACTGTGGTGCAATCATTCGAGCTTGAACACCATTACGAATGTAATACCAGTAACGCTGAGAAATACAGAAAAAAACCGTTAGTTTCTGAAAGAAACGGTACTTAATTCATATCATACTTCAATTTCTTCCTTTTTTGGCTCTTGCATATAGCGTGATTCTTCAGTATTTAACCATGACAACATGTGTAATTGTTCTGTGGGTGATATTGGACGAGATGGCGGCATTAACCATTTCTCTGCTCTGAAACAGAAACACAGAGATCAAATATTGATTTATTCGATTGACTTAATCTCTTACTTTTCTTTGCGAAAATCTTGTGCTCGTTTACATTTCTTTTGTACCCACGCTGGTATGTCTGGTTCTTCTCGTGTTCGTTTTAAAAACTCATCAACTAAATAAAATAAATGTAACTAGTGGGAATCCATCTAGTGTAACAAGCACACAAAAAGCAAAATAACTGCAAAAAGTATGAGAATATTACTGAGCGGTACCTAAAATTGACATAGTGTTAAAAGCTGCATTATTAAAAAGAAAACCAACGAAGAGACACAGGTGGAATTAAAAAAAGAGTGAGCAAAGAAAAATTTTTTAAAAGCCAGAAGTGTATGCAAAAGCAAGTAGTAGCACTTAGACATGATTAGTTTTTTACCTGGTTCTAAAAGATTTGGAAAAAGAAAATGGTTTGTTCATATTGATCTCTAAGGTATAATGAGAAATATACGGCTTACCATTACGATGATATCCATCGCCGGGATAAGGTCGAGAATCTTTTTGTTTCGGTAATTTACGAATATTTAGTTGCTGGGCTTGTGGACTAAAATTATTTGCTATTGATTCAACAGCTGATCTAACGTGTTTTTGCTCTTTATATGGTGCAGCCACTGTCCATGATTCATGCTGGACGAGGGGTGGGTGAGTCGAGTGATTTAAAACAACCTGAAAATGAGAAAAAGACACAAGTGAAAATACAATAAAAATGCAAAACTTTTTCGTTTACTTTGTAAAGATCAGAAACTTCGCCGTGATCCGACGGCCATGGAGCTAATGGTTTTGCAATACTACTGGGATAATTTGATGTTGTAAATGCCTAAATGAGAGACATGAGACTAGTCATGTATCCTTGTATAGTGAAACTGCATTAAGCCTACTTTTGGTTTATCGATGCCATTTGTTTTTGTATGATTGTATTTTGCAAAACCATTTTCATTTTTCTGTGCCGTTCCATTTTGTGCTGTATGACGGGAAATTGTAGTCTTCCCGTTCATTTCTCTTACCAACAAAGGAGATGTCTATTGTACAGTAAAAAAAATCTGCCAATTAAAGATGTTGAAAGTTTTAGTCTTAAAAGAGACTACAAAAGCTATAATTTAGCTTTTAGAAAGAAAAATTGCTTATGTAACTACTTTAAAGTAAGACAAGGTCTCTTTTATTGCAGTTAGTCTATATGTTAAAGAAGAAAACTCTGCGCCCAACATCTCTCCTAACAACCTACTTCTGATATACTAACTGAGTCAACTTTATTTCGTAAATATAATGTAACACTTCAAACGGGATTTTTCGAGATTGCATGTATTTTTTGCTAGATTGGACGATAGAGGTGAAACGCCATTATTTCACTCTTCCACTCGTATCGCTTAGCAACGATAGTTTGTTGCACACTAATGTTAAGTACTGTGAAATTATACTACTGCAAATCAGTGACCTCTATGCAAAGTATCGTCATAAACTATGAGCTATATTGTGAAGCTATTCTCAGATTATCTAAATGTGTATTTCCAAATCTAAGAGTTTTTTTTGAAAATTTATTTATTTACCGAAATAGAACTTCTCATTCCTTAGTTACGGTTTCCCGTTCAGAGATTAGTTGATCACAATCACATGAAGCAGGTTGAAAGGATTTACGGAAAGAAATACATGATATCGTCAAAGTACGTTCTTATCTGATTAAGCGTAATTCATATCAAGCGTTGTTTTTTCTAGCTTAATATATTTTCAAAGCCGGTTTATTAACCAAAAAGATTGTATAAAAAAAAGCCATCACCAATAAAAAAAAGTATATTCGATTATAGTTCATCAAACATCATTTCTTAACATCTTTTCACATTCAGCTGATAAATTATTTGGTAATGTAACATTTAAGTTCGACTCTACTTCCATTGCACGTCGAATAGTTTGCGATGCATTCGCATTTCCCGACCAAGAACGACGAGATACACCATTCAATACATCCCAATAAAGCATTTCTCGGATATTTTGATCTGTCTTTTCACTTCCATCCAAAAACATTCCAAATCCTCCTGAAAAAATAAACCTTTTAAAATATAAATAGAACATAAGTCAAAATTATCCTACCATTCATGACCTCACCCCAACCAACTCCGCCTCCATTGTGAAGTGCAATCCATGTAGCACCTCTGAATGAATCTCCAATAGCATTTTGAACAGCCATATCTAAAAAGAAACAATTCGTTGAACTTTTTCAAAAAATTTTATCAATGGACTATACCGGCACAAAAAGCTGATCCATCTTCAATATTTGAAGTTTCACGATATGGACTATCTGTTCCAGAAACATCATGATGATCTCGACTCAAAACCACTGGTCCAATTCGGCGATTTCGCACAGCTTCATTGAACGCGAGGCCAAGTTTTATACGTCCAATTTGATCCGAATACAATATTCTTGCTTGTGAGCCAACAACTAAATTAGCATTTGCCGCCAAACGTATCCATTTCAAATTATCTTCATACTGCTCCATTACATTTTGTGGAACTGCAGTAAATATCAACAGGTATAAAGAAAATCGAAGAAAACAACGCTCTATATAGTATCACCATTTTTATCAGCCATAAGTTCTTGTATAACATTCTCAGCTATACGATCTGTTTCAGCGAGATCAGATGAAGAACACGATGCACACACCCATCTAATAAAAAAATTGAATTTAAACAATCCTAAAGGAAAAACATATAGAACATACCGAAATGGACCAAAGCCAAGTGAAAATATATTGCCCATTATATCTTGTACATAAGACGGATATTTGAATTTTATACAATGAGATGTAGCGTGCGATGCACCAACATCAGCACCTAAAAGGAATGCAATGGCAGTTTAAATGTAACTTTTAATTAATGAGTCAAACGTCTGTACCTGCCCGATTTGCTGTTAGAAGAAAGGCGTTTCCATAATCAAAAAAATACATTCCATGTTCAGCCAGTTTATTGATTGCGTTTGTTTGGCGTTTGATGCTGAACAAAAATTGACTAAATACAGCTGTTTATCTTTTGTTTAAGTTCTTACCTTTCGTGAACAAGCTCTTTGAATTCGCCTGGTTTTTCATGCATACATCGACGGGCTTCTTCGTAACTTAACTACTCGAAAATAAAAACTGATATGCATCATACACAAAATGATCAGATCTAATTTATACTTGTACTGGATAATATCCACCATAATACGGGTTATGACAGCTTTGAAATTGAAACAGGTTGAAAATCATTTGTGTATGAATCTTATAATGACTTACGAAGTTTGATCGGAGCCTAGATCGACTAATAATTCTTTAGATTGATCAAATTCTTTAGCAAGTCGCTCCCTAAACGTGAATTAGAAAACATACTAAAAACCAATGTACATCTATTTTAAACACACCAGACATCGACGATATTTCCCAAATAACCAATTGCAATAGCTATTCCACTCTGTTTACATTCTTTAATACGACTGATCAAGTTATCCATATCGTCAATGAGTTCAGAACACCAACCTTGTTGATAACGTTTTTCTGCTGCTTCTTTACTTACCTAAATAAATATTTTGTACTTAAAACAAAACTAGTTTACGAACAGAAATCTCACTTCGGCTATCACTCCAATGCAACCAAGCATCATTGCTGCTTTGGCTTGAGCACCGCTCATTCCTCCAAGACCTCGAAAGATACACATTGATGAGTAAAAGAACGTTTTTCATAGAACGTTTTAGTACAACGAGAGCAGATATTTACCAGAGCTAACAAACACACGTCCACGTAAATCATTGGTATTAAGGCGCTTCCGTGCCGCATTCATTATTGTTATCTAGACAAAACACGCTTTATCATGAATAAAATACTACTGTTAGGAGAGCAAATAGCGAGCATTGGTAGGCATGACAAATGATAAGGCATGGCAATGTTAGTTCTCATCACCAATCAGGATTTTCTTACAAATGTTCCGTGAACTATCCCTTGGGGTCCGATATAGCAATATGATCCAGCTGTCATTTGTCCGTACCTATAATAAGGCTCCTATATTTCAATAATAAATCCTTAGCTAATAAACTTACATCGTAACACCAAGTGCAAACATTCGCTCGTAATCAGCGGAAGATGAATAGTTAGGCACTACCTAAACAATTCAAAATCAGTTGTAAAATCAAATACATCATCCGCAAACAAAATAAAATCATTACCATGCCATTCGTAATGACCATACGTGGTGAATTCTCAGCTCTAGTCGGAAATAAACCAAGCGGATGGCCAGAATACATGATTAATATTTGTTTTTCATTCATTATGCTCAAATAATGCATAACTAATAAAAACTACATAACATAACGTTAGTTTCAGGAATATAAGAAATACAACTTGGAAACAAACCAACTTACTTGCGCCCAATTTGAAAACACTTGACCGTTTCCACCATAGGTTATAAGCTCATAGGGAAACTGAGCTACACGCTTATCTAACATTACGTAAAACAAATAAAAATAGCCATATTGATAAAGAAAAAGTTTTATCTACCCAAGTTATTCATTATCATAAGCATAATTCCTGCTGCCTGTTTACAAACACATGGATACTCGTCAATTGGATAGGCTCTAAATCAGTGATATCGTTATTGGCAATTTCACTTGTCATTTGCTTTTCTATACTTACTTCATTTCAATATTTGGCTTAAAACGATACATATAGATATGACCATATTGTTTCAGTTCATTTTGAAATTCAGCGATTAAAGAATGTTGTATATTGGTAGGAAAATAACGGAGGGCATTTTTTATTGCCAACTAGAAGACACATCGATTTGATCGTAATAATATCACTATACTTATTGCACTAGACCTGTCGTTCTTCGCTTGTTAGAGAGGGGTTAAGATTCGGCGCATGTGCTACAGACTCATCGCGTGGTACCAAGTTTGGTAACGGACTCAGAGGAAGTCCCATACAAAGATTTCTCAATTGATCACGTGACATCAATCTACAACTGAAAAACACGTGCATAGTCACACCGAGCAAAATATATGAACCAGACTACCACTTTATACAAACTCAAGCTTTTAAGGTGTTATCAGGTTATGAAAATCACAAGAAAACGTGGAGATAGCATTATTTACTTTTACCTATCAATTACAAATGTTAAATAACGAAAATATATTATACAAAGGGATTCTACAAAGTTTAATAAGTTGATTTATTTAAGAAAAATAGAATCCGCATTAGAAAAGAAAAAGTACAATTAAAAGCCATATTTGGCCTGGGTCTGACGTTTTGTCATTTTGTTTTGAGACCACATATTTTTTAATTCGAGATCTTGAGCTTTGGCCTATAAGAAACAAACAAACAATAATATTAAGAGTAAAAAGAACAGAGTACTACACCAATATTAAAGCGAAAGTTTAAGTGGCTGGAGTTATATTTTTGTTTAAAAAATTTATTAGGCATTTCAACATACTTTAGCTGCAAGATATGTAATTTGATGTTTACGTCGTTGCATTCCTGTTGGTACTTTGACACTTTCTTGCGCGCCATGCAGTTCTTTTTCTTCCGTTATATTCCTTAATAATTGCTGTCTGGCACTTTCACCAAGTAATGAATCTATATTTACATCGATAACTTCCGTCGATTTTGGACGTTCACCCTCAGGAATAAATTGCAATACCTGACAAATTTTCAAAAACAGAAGAGATTAGACGATTATATGACATAGTTAGAAGCAACTTGTCCTACATCATATTCATCTTGTTGATTCAAAGCATCGTCCTCCATAACGTCTTCAGATTCAATAATCGATTGCTCATCTAGTTTTTGCTGTTGCTGTTGCAATTCCTGTAAACTAGGAATACGAGATTTTGGTAATGTTTCTTTCAATACAGTTTCAACATCAAAGTTCAGTGCGCTATTATCATTATGTGTGTTTTGAGTAAAAGAAAAGAAATTAGTTTGATCATTATCATCGTCTTCTTCATCATCGATGTCGCTGGTCACATCTTTTTGTTGTTCGACTGTTTTTATCTGATGATTATTCGCACCATTTATATGCTCAGTCCGTATTGCTACTGAGGGAGATAATTCTGTAGTTTTATTGACTTTGGATTGAACTTTTTTAAGTGTATATGGTATAAACGAAGAGGTTGTTGTTGTTTTATTCGGGTTCGATACGGGTTTTTTAACTGTGTAGGGTACAAACGATGTCGTGGTTATTTCCTCTTCAAATTTTGGTTTTGGAAGAAGGTTAAGTAGAGGTAAATGCTAAACATAAAATAAACTATATCATTAAAATATCGATAGTAACCAAAAAATTTACCTTTTTCATTGTAGATTTCTCCACATCGACCATATCTTTTTCATCATCGTCGGAGTCATCCTACAAAAATTAACATAGTCATAGTAATATTTAATAAATAAAACAACAGGTATGTATGTATTGGATCATTATGTTTTTGACATACTATTACCTGTTCTATTGCTGGAAGAAATATTTTCACTGGTTCACGTTTTCGTTTTAATTGATTTTGTGGTAGGTTTTTCATATATTCTTTGTTGTCTGCACGTACGATATCTTCTAATTCAGTCTCAGGTATCTGTGTAGGATCGATTGAAAATGATTCGATTGGTTGAGGTAAATTAGATAATAACGTGATCGAATTTGGGGGTAAATCGTCTTCATCGTCAGTAATTCTACTGTTATCCTCAATAGGATTATTGTTGATTTGAGAAGACTTTAACGGCGGTGGTAAACGGAGGTGAACAGATGATACCTGTGATATAGAAATTGGTTGGGAAACTAAACGAAAATCACCTCTGCATGTGCCTAACCATAACATAAGATAAACCACACATGCACACAGTAAATTACCTTTAGAACGTTTGTCTTCTTGATCATCGCTCTCTTCATCGCTTGATCCTGCGTAATTTACAAGTGACATCTTAAATTAGATGCGTCAGAAAGTATAGCAATAAAGTTTTGCATTTTGCTTTGAAACGAAAAACTCTTGATTTCCCCCCTCCCGCCACTATTATTCCAAAATGAGAATAACAAAAATATTAAACAAACACAATTTTTTGTTTTTCTTTATTTACATATGAAGTGAAATTAGACTAAAAATTCAAAAATATCCTATTGCAATCGTTCAACGATTTCACGTCCTTTTATCTGTGTCCACAGTCTCTGAAGTTTCTTCATTCTCTTGTATCTCGTCATCACTTTTAACTGGATATCGTAGATTATTCTCAATTTGTTTTCGTGCACGATAAGCTGTGATATAATCAGACGGATGAACTGGAAGAAAACCACTTCGACCTATACGAAAAACAAAAAGAGTCTTTAAACTTCTAATATTCTCATACTCTGTAAGTTTAATACTTACCCAAAAGTTGTTGAACACGTGGATTGATAACAACATTTTCGATTCCAATCCAATATCTTAAACGCTTTAAATTCAATGCAACAAGTATTTCGTTATGTATATTCGGCAACGATTCATAAGAGCCAAGATTTTCGACAATCTCATTGACATTTGGCGAATGTTTCATACGCTGAACAACTATGCGATCGAAACGACGATTTTTACATCCTATATTTTGTAAACGTATTTCATACGGACCAAGATCTGGTATAGGAGTAATATTGGGAGCTGGTCTAGGAAAGATAAATTATGTTAAATTTTGTAATCAATCTTTTTTACATCCGTACTGTTATGCCATACACTCATAAGGGAGAAGATCATAGCTAAGGTTATTGCGCAAGCAAATAGATCAATTTTATTGTTAAGGATAATCTTTTTTATTTGTAAATAAAAGTTAGGTGAGAAAGATCTTAGTTTACTCGGGAACCTAACACATACCCATGTTTGAAAGTGAATACATTGCCACGGAAATCAATAGCCGATTTCTTTATTTCCTCTTGCGTTTTTTTTGTATTCGACACCGGATCTGGTTTTGTTCTTATATAGCGTTTTTCAACTAAAAGAATATTCCCTTTCCCAATAGTGGCGCAGCGTCCTAAAACTTGCCGAATCAACATGAAAACGAAGCCAGTAAATCGAATACACAACAACCGTAAATTGGATTATTTTCCCTTGTTCCCGTGACTTTAGTCTAGGGTCTTACAAAATGGTTGTCTGTGGGTCTGTGCGTAAAATACGGAAAAATGACTCTCAGATATTCTATGGATAAGCCAATCATAAGCGAGAAGCATAAAAAATTTCTTCTTAACCACAAGAGAAAAATATTCAGAGAGATAATCTGAAATATCTACTGATGCAGAGCGAAAAAAGCTCAGCAAATGTTTTCTGTAGGTCGGAAATAGATGTCGCGCGTTAGCGGTTAACTATGATACTATCAAAAAAGTGATGTACCTATAATAATTCGAATAGTCCCGTAGCGAACGCCGACCGAAGGGAGGCGTGAGAATTGTCATAGATTCAAAAGTGATGGAGGGTCGCTGGGTGATGTAAGCTCCTGAAGTCAGCGGATCGAGCGAGTGTAGACTAGCACCACCTTGTATCTTTTCGAAGAAAAGATCTACGAACGAATGATTATGCGTTTAAACGTTATCATGCTTAGAGAGATTGAAATTACCGCATATAATATTGATAAAATATTGTCAATCGTTAACGATCGCGAGGAGAGGCTGCAAAGGTAAAAATGATTGGTGTATCTTGATTCGACGAGCAACCCATTGGTTAATTATTCGAAAGAAAATCATGTATGTCTGTTATTCTCAGGTTCACTGTCCCGCACTGTCCCGGAAAAGTATACTTTTAGAAAAAGCACACTTAAATTGTGCCAATGGCATGGAAACTGTGTCCCAAAGTATGCTTTTTATATGCTTTTACCGTGCCATTGACACATTTCTAGTGTGCTTTCGGCACACTGCGGTAGCATTTTTGGACGCTTTTTGTGTGCCACTTCTAAAAGTGTGTCATCGGCACACTTTCAGTGTGCTAATGACGCAATTTAAATGTGCTATTTCTAAAAGTATGCTTTTCCGGAGTTGTGATGAAGAGACGCTTTTTTTTTTCATTGCTCTTTACTCCTCATTAGTATCGGTTTAATAATATTGATTGCATAATATTTGTTCCTAATATTAAATATGTTTATTTCTGCTCTTAAAGTATTTTTCAGATAAAATATATATTTTTATTTGTGGTTTTCGTTAATCGGTCTTCTACTTGTAGCAAACAATATGATTTTTGTTTTTATTTTATGAATGAAAACAACAACTGTGTTCTGAATATCAATTTTCCCTTATGATGTCTCGAACATGTCTACTTCGTTTTTTTTCTTTTGGTCATCGTATAAAACAAAGAACTTTGATTAGACAATATACAACAGCTACACAAACAATTAATGTTGATTCAGTTGAGAGTCAACCGTTACAACAACAACAATCATATTCATCAAATGAACCATTCCGAACATCTATCACAGACCCTGTAAATTAATAGTCATTATTGTTTATTTATTGTGAGAATAAAATTTATGTTTTCATTTTTTTCTTCAGCTTGAACATACAGATAATGATCTTGGGTTATTTTACACTGTAACAGATGATGAGCTGAAACGTATCAGTCCATTTGGAAAATCATTACCACTGGCATTTCGAGAAGAAGTGAGAAATCAAAAAAGAAACGAAAAATATCATTTGAAAGCCAACGTTTAATTTTAGTGTGAAGCATTCAATGAAACAGCACTTATGATTCGTCAACCATCGTTAGATACTATTAAATTACTAAAACAAATCGATTGGTCTTTACCACCGTTGAAAGTTTTATATCGTATCCTCTAATTGTATTGTTCGTATAGATTTTTTCTTATTTCAAGTTTTTTCTTGACAGTTGAATATTAGATCCAAAAGAGGCTGGTGTTGGAATGACTCTAAGTTTATTTCATGTTATACATTATGCATGGAAAAATAAAATGTTACTAGTCAATACACCGACATGTGGGTAAATAGCACATTGCTTTACTTTAGTTCAGTATGGATAATCCAATTCTACTTTTTTGTTCTAGGTGCTGAAGTACTTAAACTACCAAAAGAAGCAACGCCATCACCGAAAAATGAATTACTCTATGACACGCCGTATGAAGCCAAACAATGGTTGAAAACATTTGCAATTAATAACGAAAACATTTTGAAAGAATCAGATGTATGACAAAGAAGAATAGACACGTATTAACTGGGATATTCATTTTTTCTTCCTTCAGTTTCGAACAAAGTTTAATTATGAATGGAGTACAAGAGAATCGACACCGACTGGTACTCATCTTCTTGATCTTATTGATTATGTAAGCATACTTTAACAGATTAAGAAAGATGAAATGAACATATTGCTTTCTATTTATAGGCAACAGATCGTATTAAATATGCATCAGAATGTGTTGGAGCAATTGTCAAAGAAGTAAAAAGTCAAGTGAGAGAAAAAAAGTATGTAAAATGTGGAGAATATTTCTTGAATACTTAATAGTTTGCTTATCTATTTAGTTTGAAAACACTAGTAACATTTGATGGCGTCAATAGTTATTTTGGACCATCTTGGATAATGAGGCCAGATCACTCAACGGTATTCATTTTTGCACTCGAAACTTCTCCATACCCGCACATAAATCGACATAAGTAACGGGATTCACTATAATAAAACTTAAGATCTTAAGTCTTATCTGGCGAATGGGTTTTGAACATTCGAAGCAAAATATCGGTTTCTATGTCTAAAAACAATGTATAAATTATTGTTAGACTTATGATTAATTTATATACTTTTTTAATAGTGTAAACCAGATGAAGTAGTGATGGTGAAATATTTGAAAGAATTATTATTACCTGATTGGAATAATGCGTTTATAGTCTGTACAATTGGTAGCAAAGAATATATGATACCAAGAAAACGTAGAAGAACAGAATACATTGTCTCTTATCCCCATTTTCGAGAGCATCACCGTCAGAAAGGTGTTTTAATGTATGATGGACCAATGACAATCAAATCACTTCTTCGTACAGAAGTAAGAATTTTGTTTCATTCAACAGAATAAAATTAGTCATTGTAATTTTCCGAAACAGGGAATCGAAGCAATGGAACCATTTGTTCCAATAGAAGTTGGAAAATATACTGAAAAAGAGTTTGATAATCAAATTCGATATTATATTGATCGAAATTGGATACAAAATTTGCGAGGTATGCATATAATGGTTGTTGTTTTATGAAATAACTACCGATTGTCCTTTACATTTTAGGTCGTGAAGAAGAAGGCAAAAAAGAAATATTATTTTATACAGCAAGAAATCCATATGAAATTATGAAATTTGTTAGTATGCATTGATGACGTTTACACAACGTTCATTCGTTCTTTTTCTCGTTTTTTTGTCTTTTGTATGTCATAGTTATTAAAAATATAGGATTGCTTTAGTCAAGATCTTATGAACGATAGATGAAACTGATCAGCATGTAATTATTCACAAGATACTCTAGCAAACATAACTGATTATTACAAAAGGTAACTGAAAAAAGGATGTTTATGATCAAAATCGTTTAATACCATCTTGAAAGAAGGTTGTTCATCAGACATGATAATTAGTCTTGATATGATGGATTTCTTTCTCTGGCAATTCTCAATGCAGTATATCTATCCTACAGGGGCGCTGAAAAGGATTTTTAAGGTTTAAAAATATGATAGCATTGATTATGGAAAGCTGCATCAGATGAGTTAACGTACGACTGATTTGAGCGGGGGCCGATTTTGTCTCTTATCGTCCCCCATTCTTTGTACGTAATGTTGAATGCCATAAATCATATTCTATAGTGTCATGGGTTTATTCGTGTTTCTCGTAACTGTGTGTAAAATTTTTCGATTTATGGTAACACTAAAACTGCATCTATTACACCTAATAAAGACTTTTCTTTTACAAATTTGTAACTGAAATAACATCTGTTGTCGTTGTGAAAGGAACTTACTCATAGATGACGAAGCTAGTAGATCAAATGATTTACAAATTAAGTTCAACGTCAGAAAGCAATTAAATCAGATACGATTTTCTTGTTGAAGAAATGAATTTCTATTAAAAAAATGCACTTCAATTTGCAAGTACTAAGTGTATAAAAATTCTTTAGATTAGTATAGCGGTTTGATTCAAAACATCAAAATAAAAGTCGATTTCAAATGTTTACCGTTACTATTTGATTGTTAGATACTTCATTAAATTTGACAATAGAAGGAAAGCTGATATATGCGCATGAGTTAACAACATGAAGACAACATATCGATTTTCATTTTCTGACAAACAATATCTCATATATAATCAGTTTTGGTATTCTAGTATCTTTGCGTGCTAACAATTTTCAACGTTATATAATAAGATTCTTTTAAAGCAGAAATATTCTGTCAATATTATCAAAAAAAGAAACTAATTTATAGTATTACTCATTTTCGCTACATTCATAGCCACAATTACAATTATTCACCTTATTCGCAAAAATTGTGGTAAAAAGTTCGATTTTTGAGATAAAAAGGTTGTGAATCAACAGAAAATAAAACTCCTCCTTCAAACAAGTATTTAACAGAGAATTTCAGTCTCCATTGAGAAATAACAAAACCAATGAAATGAAGCCACTAAATCATAAGAACAATGTAAAATTTTGTTCTTGTTTAGTAAAAAAAACAAAGTTTTCAATCATTGTGTCCAAGACAGGAATGTGTGGTACATTCATACACTCGCAGAAATGTTTCCTAGATTTAAAGTAGTACTCGTTTCATGTATACATTTAATCAATAGGCAAAAAAATGATATAAACGAACGCTTGTATGAAACTAGTTCTACTCAGCAAAAATCAATAAAACATCGTTTAAAATCAATAAAAAAACATTTCGAAATATAAAATATCAGAGGTGAATTTATCAGAGATAAATGTTAGAACTTATTTTGTCAGTCATTGTAAAAATAAATATGTACCAGATAAGAGTAAAATAAAAGAACGTTACATTAATCATGGAACAGTGGCAAAAAAGATCAACATTTTCGCACAGAAAAAGTCTGAATAAAACAGAAAACTATACAGCAATTTTAAGAAGACAAACATATGACTCTTTTCTATATAGGCTGAGACAGCCATTACTATTTTCTAAAAACATTATAGAACATGTGAAATGTAGGAAAACATAAGTTAAAAAAATGCTCTAACTATAGTCAAAAGAACAAACGCATGGACGCAATGTTAATAAGAACAGGAATATTTATTTATTAAGTACATTTATTCGTAATTTAGACATTCATCGGAAATGTGTCTGGTACTTGATCATTTCTACTTTTTACCCATTGTGGATGCATTTCCAACGGTTCTAAGGCTTTTGTTGTTTCAATATGAATAACACAATCAAATTGTGTGGATAAATGTGCATCAAAATAATGCGATGGTCGTTCTGTGTTTGGTCTATAAATAACGCCTATAGCTCGTTCTAATCGTGTTGTATAGAATAAATCATTTAGTTCTTTTGAAATACTATTAGCATCGTTTGATTGTCTACTATTTGATCGAAATAATAAGTAATATTGACCATCACTAGCTAGGTGAGATTTTGTTTCCTTAGTTTCACCTGCAATCAATGCTTCATGTAGTAAATATTCATGTGAATGCTTCAATGATGGTTTAACACGTTTGAAATCAGGATCTAAAATAAACAATGAAAGTATGTAATTACTATTTGAATGATTGAGCATAATAAGTGCTCACCCATATCCCAGTTATCTGCGGCTGTTACTGTTCCCGTAAACGTAGTGAAGCCAATATTGAATGTATTCTCCAAACCGAATCGCTGACGTACCAATTGCCCAATATTAACTTCTTTCGCACGCTTAGACTGTGTTTCGAACCCATCGCCAATGTGAGAATTATGTGCCCAAATAACAGCTTTTGCATCATCACCAATATGTTTCAACAAATCTTGCAAACATTCAACCATATGCGTATCACGAATATTCCACGTTATTTCCCCACCCTCAAACATATGTCGATAGTACTTTTCTGCCTCTCTGACAATTTTTGCATTTTCCATAGCATAAAATGATTCATCGTAATCATCTTGGCTCTTGTTTTGTGACATCAAATTAGCGTGCTTAGCCAACATTGCTTTTAAAACTGCAATAGCTTCTTTCTCACAACCATGAGACAAAGCCAAGGCCGAATTATAGCCATACGATTCCTCTGTTGGATAACGATCGAAACAGCCATAACACTTTTTTGCTCTCTTAGCCAATTCTAAATTACATGTGGATAGTAGATAAACAATAAATGAACGAATGAACTCGTTATTACCTCCATCTACTTTTTCCAAATATTTGATTACTTCTTCTCTACTCGACTGTAAACTATATAAATCGATACCATAAAATCCTGTTTTTTGTTTTTTATCTTTGACGGTTTCATTATGAGCTTTTAACCAAGTAATAAATTCTTGAACAACTAAAACCAAAACAATACATTTTTTTCTCGTATTGTGCGGCAAATCCTTTCAAAGGCTACCTGTATTTCGCCACATCCAGCGTGGAAAACGAAGAAATTCACCCAAAGCTTCTTCTGCATTTTTTTCATTAGTCGACACTCCTTTCACCCATTGATTTACTTTCCAAGCACATGGCCAATCCGCTTCACATGCCAAAATGGTGAAACCTTTTTCTTTTATCAAACGCTTCGTTAATTCGGCCCGATTTTCATAAAATTCATAAGTACCTTTGAAAAAAAAAAATTATTGAACAAATAAAATCATATTTTGAGTCAAAGAAACAGGTATAAGTGCTCACCATGACTTGCTTCACCGATCATTACCACTTTGGCATCGCCAATAGCCGATAATATGGAATCAAAATCACTGTTGACTTTGGGACGTAGTTGTTTGGCGTATTGCGAAATGAGTTGAATTGCTCGTTCATTCGATTGATTAGGCATCCGCTCTTTAGATATAAAATCAACAAGAACATAAAACTGATATATACTACTATTTAGAAATGGTTGTTAAGAAACTTTAATCTATCAAACTCTGCTTCCAAGGTTGTTATGAACTAGTGCGAAATGCACTCACCCCATATGAAGACCCTTGTTCAAACCCACTAGACCGATACTAAGCACTAATCTAATCATCTAAAAGCTGTGAAATAAGAACTGTCTTGAATCTTGCGGCGAAATTTTCTCATAAAATATCAGACTAGAATGGAATTCAATATAAACTTTCTTCTGTTCTATCAAGACGTACATGTTTAGAAATGCTTCCACTTCTAAGAAAAAACAACTTGCTAACAATGGCGGACTTTTTTGTATAACTAACGTCGTCAACAGCGCCGAAATAATTGATATTTTTGACAAATGCCTTCTTTCCGGCGGTTAGTTATAAAGAAAAAAAAGGCTATATATACATCTGTTGTCACTAGTTCGTTTTTTCCGGTCGTAGATGTTCATATATGACTTTTACTACTATAATTAATAAACAGAAGAGAGTCGTTAAAGAAAATTTTTCAATGAGGAGAAATGCGCAATTTTAAGTGGACAGAAAACAAACAAATGTGACATTAGCCTGTGTAATCAAACATGCAAAAAAACAAATAAATTATATTACTTTTGGTTGATCATTGCTCATCTGTTCGCTTTTTTTACTATTATTAATGCTGTTTTATTTCTGTAATATAATACTCAATTTCTTGCTCATACTACTAAAGCGCGACTAATTTGTGAATGATTAAGTATTACTACTTACCTATTATTATTATTATTATTATAGAAAGTTAAGTATCGTCATTAAGTTATGAATAGTCTGTTAAAACAGGTGGATTCTTCATCTTATTTTTTCTTTTATCATCTTTTTTCTGCACAGTAACGTTCACCAAAGGAGTACTGAATTTTGAGTCCGACCAAAAACTAAGTCTTTATCTTGGGTATTTTCAGTCTGACCGTGGTTCTTCTTTAGCAGCTGTCTTCTTACTTATTACCATTCGCATCCTCACCCCGAAGAAATACCAGTAAGTAGAATACCAGCTAAAAGGTATGAACTTAAAGAAATATATGCTGCTCTCTTAATGTTTTTAAAATTTGATGATGAATCTTTTATGTTTGACAGTAATCATGTCAATATGTAAATGTTGAATAGCTGCGAAATTTTACACATTTTCATTTGTTTTCCCATGTACTAAAAGTCGCATAAAAATCGGCAATTAACCGTAAAAAATTATACGCTTAATCGCGATTAATTGACGACTTTTTCTGGATACTAGGTTCGAACCCATCTTGGGGAATACATATTTTTTTCATTGTTTATTAAGTATAATGACATGTACATCAACCAGCAACGGTCTTAGGACCAACTGAAGTCAGAGCATTTCGAACGAGTCGATTTTAGATATTGCCCAGATATCAGCTATTCACCGGCTCCTCTGCTTAAAGCTCTAAGGGGCTATACAGAAGACTCCTGACAACTCCGTTTTACTCTAAAAGAAAAAGATGATCTAACATAGAAGTATATTTCTCGTTGAAATCGTGTTTCTTATATAGATACTTTACTGTAAAATAAAACGGTGAATAATAATAACCATTTAATCGCTTAAAATCAACAATTAATCGATTATTCTTAAAAAAAAAGTCATCGGAATCGCCAATTAAGCGCAATTAATTTGCGATTTTTCGCTATTAATTGTTAAAAATACCGCGATCTCATTGACATGGCTTGGCTGATTTTATTGTGTTTTATTCTATGAGAACGGTAGTGAGTTCATGCGAAAGTAATTTATAATAATACTGAATAATTGGCTTGTGTAATAAGAAGAACCTAAGGTGATACAAAATAATATAATCATTCTTTCGTTTATACGATGTGAGAGCGTTATTGGGCATATTCATAGATGAAAAATAGAATATTCAGAATGATAATGTGGTCAGCCAATATGCTATTGAATACTAATATCAGTATGATTTTGAACATAGAAAGATGTAGTCCTGTCGTAGTAACATTGGCTGCAGTATACATTTATAAATATGAATCATATCTACTAGATACGATTTATACTTAGAAATTATATTGTTACCATGTTTTCTGATGAAAATTTACAGTGCAAGCGTAATAGTTGAATAATTTCATTAACTATGATTTGGATTTTTTATTGATCAACATGTAGGTCTTTTTCTTTCAGTTTAAACAAGTGAGTTGTTTTTGGTAAAGCTGAATATACGGAACACTTTTTGTACGCAAAATATAAACTACAAAGGCGAATAAGTGAAGTTTGAGCCCTTCTGACTAAGAAATTGATTATGAACAACGGATACCAGCTAAAAAGTCGAAGTAATCCTGCTACATTTGATTTTGTAACTCAGTTTTTGTAAAGTACATTTTAGTAGGATGATCTGAAAAGATTGGCGCAAGCTTAACAGATTCATTTTATTTTCATCCAAACTTAGACTCGGACCTTCATCTATCTCAGTTGACACGAACATACTCATTATCAAGAAACGGAGAAGAAAAAAATATTGTTCGTCATACTTTATGAAGGACGTGCGAAATCATTTTTCTACAGCGATACACATCTGTGGTCTCAGTTTGTCACATATAATATACATATGGAATTGAAGTAGACACAATAACGCTGTTGAAAAGAGTTTCATTGTAAAATTTGTTCGATTGTATTTAGTAAACGCTGACTCTGTTCTTTTTCATGAATTTAAATATTTTGATTTTCAATGCATGGGTTCCACTTTAGATCGAAGAATAAATTTTGAATTTTCAGACTGAATGAGAAGCTTGAAGTGTCCTGTTTAAGAATTTGTGTCAGTTTATAATATTCAGGTATTTTTTAAGATTTTTAAAAGCGTTTTCTAAAAGCCCCAAAAAACAGTTATTGAAACTAACTACGTTACTTACTCTGTAACTAATTAATATCTACATTAACAGAGTAGACTTTTCTGTTAAAAAATAAGGCGTGGTCTGATGTGTATGACTCTATCTTAGAAAGTTATAAGCATCTTTTTATACTTCCTAAAATAGATCAATGATCAACGCATGTTCTCATAAACAGTTTTGATGTTAGTGTTGCTCGTGAGGGACTATTCTAGTGGACTGGACTTAGCCTAGCCTAGAAAAAAAATTTAAGGTTTTAAACAAAATAATCTTCAATTTGTATAATTACTTAGCAAATCTTTACGTTCAAGTAAAAGTTCTCTATATAATACTACTGTGGTAGTGGACATCCCTTACGCGACAAACGAAAAATACGAGTTTTACAAGCTATGCCAATTTCACCTGTATTCTGAACCAAGATGACCTTTTCTACCAACCTTTATTCGATGGAAGAAAATTTTTTATTATTTTTCATTTGCTTTTTTTAGGAAAGTCCTCGGCTTAGTCTAGTCTAGACTTTTTTTCTGACTACGCCGATAGAATATTGTCAAGTGATTTGACGATTTTTACGTTAAATAGAGATCCTTATATTAGCTGCAATATGCTGATAAAAAATTCGATATTTATTTGTTCCCATAGTGGATTCTTGCCCGGATTTGTCTAATCCGATTTCTGGACAACTAAAAAATTCTAAATACAGATTTTTCTGAAATTGCCATTTTGTAGAGCATAGTCATAGAGAAAGTTTATGGTTAGAGATTTTTGGTTTCTAAAGACTGGAATATTTAAAGCCACCTATAGCCCTAGAATGATAGAATATTTTTAAGTGAGATTTTTTTCATAAGCTATAAATACCATATCCTACATTCTAAAAATTTCATTCAAATCAATTATACGATGTAAAAAAGAACACTGTATTGAGATCACATGCGATCCAAAATTTATGTACATGAAATAAACATTTTTACTATTAAACGAATGCTACAAGATAGCTAAGTTTTGATCTTCTATGTTTAAACTCATAAGTGTCACTTAATTGTGTTAAAAATCCAAATTTTCTTTCTAGCTTTGGACGATAACAGTCTATTTAAAAAATAACTACTACTACCACCAAGATCTCTTTTCCAATCGAAAGAATTCTTTTGTTTTCTCTCATTTGTAAGTAAAATTTGATACGCGATATAGTTATGCATTATTTGATCATATTGTCTCCTGTCATAATTGTCTTTTGTATTATTTGTTCTGTTAGTGAAACTTCAGACATTTCACATATTCTCAATGGATACAATTCAATCATCACAATATTATAACCTATAAAAGTGGATAAACAACTGTATATTATTTGTGATTTAAAATCCTTGATATAGTCTCAATTTCTGGTACACACCCATCTATAATATTGATCCACTTGATTTGCGTTCTTTGAATAGACTGATTCATTTTGTACGCTTATCAGCGTAGTTCTACAGACTGAAGAATTTCATATTAAAAATTTCTTCATTTTATTTTGTTTGTTCTTTTTTAGATGCGGCTTAAAAGCCGTTTTTTCTAAAACTAATGTATTATTAATCACACCAAGAGTCGTGCACTTATTTATATGTCAAATGAAAAGTCTGACGTCGAGACGGCGTTGACTGATGTCTCGCTATGTCAGATTTCGTCGAAAATCGATTGTGAAACAATAACCGGTAAGAAATAAAATCTAAATGCAGACTTTTTAAAACACTTTTATTCTTAATATGGGAGATTAAAAGTTGAATCTTGAATATGACATTTAGAAGGAATCATCACGCCTTTTTTTTTTAACCATAAGAATCATTGCACATTTTGGTTTTAGTGATTTATTTTTTAGGTGATTTGTTTCAAATTTTCTACAATTCTATCTAATACTCATTTATTTTTTTGAGTAATGCATGATGAATTTATAGTTTCATTATGTTATTCATGCGAGAAAAAGCCTGTTTGGATGAGTAGTTTCAATAGTAGTAATATAGTGTTCTAATATTTTTCGAATTTTCTATCTGTAATAGGAGACTTGCACGACTTTCTCAGCAATAATTAACCGAGTCTTAGATTTGTTCATTGAGCAAATGACAGTATCAGTTTAATCATAAATTTTTGACTGTTATTTGATGTAACTTAGTGGACAAATCCATGAATTGAGAAGTTACTACTGAAGGTCATATAGTCACTGTGCAATACTCTGAATAATAATTTTTGTAAGACGTCTATTAAAAATTATTTCTAAAAAAAATATGTTCTTGAAATTGAATGTATCCGTCCTAGTAAGTTGTTTGTTTTAATCGTCCTTACGTAATGTATCAAACTCAAAATTTCTCTCTTTCTATAGTTGATGTCAATATCGATATTATCAACAAAATTAATTCAATATGTGAAGAAACGAAAAAACTATTATCCTCGTGCATAGAGCATATAGTAGATAAACCGATTCTCTACCTATCAATACAAAACTTGTTCATATATCAAATTAGATTGACATCAATATTTTTCTTTTTTAACTAATATCAAATGAGGTGATAGGAAACTAGTAGAAGGTGTGATATGAGAATATTTGGCACTATTTTTCTGACATTCAACTATATAAGTATCTTTTATTAACATTTTTTTTTTCTCTCTCATTTTACATGCTTTTTCTTTTTTCTTTTTTTTGATAATAACTTTTGAATTGATTCCACTTCGATTTTGTTTGACATTGCTCTCGAGGTATAAAATAGGTGACAAAAGTTTAAAACACTTATTGTTTTTTCGATTTTCCCCTCAAATCATCGTATCTCAAGATTTAAGGAGTGATGATATGAGCAGCTGAGTGGCACCTCGATACATCGTAAAATAATACTTATCTCCGTGATCAACTACTGATATGCTAGTAAAAATATTTAATTTTCAATGGTCAAACAGTTTAATATTTAATTTTGCAAATAAAGCAGTTTAAACATCGTTCGAAAACTTTTGTCACTGACAAATTCGAAAATTGAAGTTCTTTTATTTAATTTCTTGAATTGATACATTAAAATTTGAAAAAAAACCTTCAGATATTTCTCAAACTAGAATACAATGATATTGCGTGAAATACGACACCGGATTAGTCGCATTTATCAGAGAACCGTTTCTGACTTAGATACTGACATTTTTTTTTTCATTTCATTTTGTTCTTTTGTATTGAATAGAAGAAGTTGTCCATCATCTTTCTGTCCAGTGACAATGGACTTTTTTTTAATACCAATATCTATCTTGCTACCTTATTTACCTTGAAGTTTTAATAAAACAGCTCGAGTTGAGCTGAAAAGTATATTATGTCTCAAGGAAAAATTATAGAGAGTTTGTGAACGTCTCATTTTAAAGAGAAAATTTTTCTCTCATTCAATACTAAATGTCAAAAAAGAGTTTACAATATTTTTGACATTCAAGATCTTTGATAGGAACGGTTGTCTTGTAAAATTTTGAACAAAAGAAATCTTATTGAAAATCTGAAAAGTATAAAAATGAAGTATTGTTATTTGAAATATAAATAAAGTTTGATTTTAATTATTTTTTTCTTTTTTTTTGACAAAAAAAGTTCAGTTTCAGTTCTATACTTGACTTTTGCTATATAAAGAGTATGGTCAAGCACTTTTGTTTCACTTTTGAAACCTTAAATATATCTTTTTTTCAATTTTTGATTACAGATGTTTTAAAGAATAAAAGAGAAAAAAGTTGTTACATTATCATGAAATACTTCTTTTGTGGATGAAAAGTTCTAATAATGGTTCTTGTGATAGTGGTAGTGATACTTATTTTTTTTATTTTAAAGAAATTCTTTATCCGTTAAGTACGACAAAATCAATTATGAGAGACTATTTTGCATTTCTTTGTGGACAATGTCTGTAAAAAAAAGGTGATATTGAATGAAGAAGAAGAAAAAAAAATAGTAGAAGATTATATAAGATTGATGTTTAAAATTACCTCAGATCTGTGATCTCTATTCGAATTGTTTATTGAAATCATATTGTTTTTATTAAAAAATATGAAAGATAACATATAGATATATGTTCATGACCTTATTAGATGACTATTCGTCTATCGATTAATGAATCTATTATTAATCATTGACCTTTCATCTTTACTGATGTATAGATGATTTTTTCTATTTATTAGTATAAATGAATTTGTTTTTGACGAACTATATTGAACAATAGGAAAAGAAGATTTGTGCTACTAGAATGGTGAACATGTGTGACTAACTGATTGATTTGTTTCGTTCATTCATTCTTCGTCGCCTTTTCTTTTTTTCTTTTTCTTTTTTTTTTTAAAATATATTCTGAATTTCTCATTTATATCTTTCCTCTGTATTTTTTAACTGTTCAGTTATTTACATCGTTGTCTCATGTATATGTGTATATGTGGTCTTTAAAAATGAAAACACATTTTTAACTGATTTTATTTTTTTATTTTATTTTTTTTTAATTTAGACATTCATACAGAATCAAATTTACCCGAAGTACAAGTGATTAGTTTAATAAACGAAACATTACCACGTTATACCTTACGTGCTGATACAGAATTTTCGTGTTCAAATCAAGATTTTATACAAACACCAATTATTAATAGTTCAGACATAGAAGGATTTTCAAACCAAGAAATACAATTAACACTCGATTATTTTCGTAAGTATATGATTTTCTTGCGGTATACATACATATATATAGATGTTAGAAGCTTCATGTTGCTTATTGAACACATGTACGCATTTGTTTGATCATAATTATTTAGGTTATTGATTATAATTATCTATTTTTCTAACCACCCGTTGTGTTTATAAAAATGAAAGTTTTTGCTTATTATTTATTACATCATTCTATTAAGTAGTAATATTAGTATATTTCTATCTCTTGCATGATCGACAAATAGTGATTTATACACTCAGATTATTTAACTAGACATGTGGTTCTGTCAACTGTTTAATGTTTCTATTTTTGATTTGACCCTATACGATTAGTTTTGAAAAATAAAAACTTGTAAAGATTATTGACTGATAGACAGCACCATACGACCAAGATATTGACTATAATGATAATATTATGAGAGAGAACGAGACATAGAGTAAAAAAGAAAATACACTATGGTATGGGCATAAGGGAAATATATTATCGCATCAGAAAACTCTAAACTAGTTGTATGAAACAATAAAAAGAAAAGAAAAGAAAAAAAAAAAGATATCCGTTGACAACAGAAATCAGCTAGTTAAGCTTTCTGTAGAGGGTATAGAGTTTTCTTTATGTGTATCATTGAAATCTTTGTTTACAATTAATAAGTTTATAAAATTGAAAAAAGATCGATATTAATTTTGTTTATCTAAACGATTACAATTTGTGTCATATTTTAATCATTAACGTATATTCATATTCTTGGTTGAACATTCATTATACATGTACAAATCGACAGTTAATAAGAACCATCTTGGATAAAATCTCTCTCTCTCTCTCTTTCTCTCTCTCTCTCTCGCTATATATATATTTGTCTGTACATATTCACTGACATAATGGTCGTATACAATATGAATACAAACAGCGGCATCATTTTTAAACTCAATACTCATTAAACAAAAGAAAACTAAGACATTTTTCTTTCTTACACTATTTCAGCTCAATATTATTCTATATAATTCTATTTTACTCTTCTGGATCATTATTCATTATGATCATTACTGGTAAAATATGATTCAAATTTTATATTGTTGTATGTGTGTGTGTGTGTGTGTGTGTGTGTGTGTGTATAGGTTCATTGTAATAAGTGTTCAATCGAGTAGTGAGTGATTGCTGAAGAAAGCAATACAAAATACAAACTTATAAACTATTATCAATTGTTCACAATCGTTTTTATTTTTTTGTGTCATAAATGTTGTTTACTTAAATTGTAGTTTATAATTACATCCACTGTAATTAGACTGAATATATCGATACGTTTGAAATAGAATAGGAATAGTTTTTTTTATCATCATTCATGAAACTTGAGTGACCTTGCAGACAAAAAATGATTATAGTCGAAAAATATTTTGCTTTCGTTTTAAATACGTTTTTAAACGTTTTCTTAATCAGATGAAAAGTTATTTTTAGTCGAGCTTAATAATAAATTGATAGAATTTATTTTACAATTGAATGATTTGTAGAGTAAGACAATGAGTGAGCGGTTTTTACAGCAATATCTTATATGATCTTAGAGCAAAACTTAAAATAAAATAAAATTTTATTAATATATCTAGACAAGATTTTGATGTCATGTATTGCACGACACCAATTTTATTTAATAGTAACTTTTTTATTCGAGATAAAAATTATCTCACTTTATTTGTGAATATTTTCAAAATATTAAATTATTGAATTACATTTTTTTTAGTTTCTTCCGGTCAAAGAATTAGCCAGATGACAAAAACTTATTATGATATAGGTAAATAATCTTAAATTCATTGAAAACTATTATCTATTATTATAAAAACTTATAGAAGCCGTTACAAGATTGTTGGAAGAACGTGAACGAGATTTAAATATAGCTGCTGGATTTGGTAAAATATTATTAGAAAGTAATGATCAATTGAAACAACAAGTCAGTTTATTAGAACAAGATATTGATCAAACAACGGAAATGGTTCAACAATTGAAACATGATTTATTACTCAAAGATCGTTTAATACGTTTTTATGGTGACATGGAATTGGATATGATACCTCCAGAGGAAAGGTAATCATTTTATTATTATAAAAAAGTAAAGTGAAGAACAGTCAATTTATTATTTCAAACTCTGACAACAATATTTCACTGTGTATTAAACTATAGATAATATATTTAGTGCATGACTATTTTCTTTTATATCTTACGTGCAATTCACGAGATGTCTAATTTATCTTTTTTTCTTTCTTTCAGACATTTTGACAATCATCATTTTGAACAAAAAATACGTAATTTAGAATATGAAAATCGTGAATTACGATCGGAAACATTACAATTGAGATCAGATACAGATACATTTGATCAAAAAGAACGAAATCTTGTCAATAATTGTGTAAATGCACTTGGTAAGCACATCAATTCGTCTATTTAGAAAATTAATATTTAATTTTCACTATTTAGCAAATGCTAATGCACAAGTTGATCATTATCAACAAGAATTCATTAAGAAAAATGATGAAAGTAATCGACAACAGGAAGAAATAAAAAGAATAACATACGAGGTTTGTGGGTGATATTCTCTAGTATAGTTAACAAGTCAAACAATTATATGATGTGCATGTTAAAATATCAGAAACTGTTTTTAATTTTAGATGCGTGAAGTACGTCGTCGTTTGCTTCAATTGAAAAAAGAAAATGAAGAATTGAAAGTATTACTATCTCTAAGTGGAAAAAGCAAACAAGAATATGAATTAAGAGTATGTAAAACAAATACTTTGACTCTTTAATAAATATTTATTTTGTGAATATATATAGATTCAGGAACTTGAGAAAAATTATGAAGATTGTGTAGAAAAGTTACATAAATCACAATCCGAAGTACTCATACTACAACAACAAGTTTTAACAGCACAATTGCCTTCATCATCCACAATAGTCAATGAAAATTGTCATCATCATACTCAACACACATTATTTTTATCACCGACAGATTATGCTAATTTTATGGGTATTGTTTCTTGGTCATGATTCGTATCTATTAGTACAACAACTGTTTGATCTCTTATTGAGGTATGGAAAATTCGTTAAAATATGAATTTGAAGAAGTTGATATTGATCCATATGAATTGTATCCTACACCAGCTACAGAAACCTCAATGTGAGTGATCAATATATTCTTGTAATCTGATGATTTTTCAATTTATTTATATTTATTTATAGAAAATTTGATGAACAAAATTATAAACGTCTAAAATGGCGAAGTGATACAGATGATTCGTCGATTAATGATTCAGCATACAGTGATACTGAAAGTTTAAGCAGGTTAGAATAATACACGTACTTTATTGCACTGAAACTTGTGGCTCAATTGTATAATGTGTTTTTGCATGCAAAATTTTGCGTGTGTGTGCGTGTGTGTGTGACAAGCTTTGTTTTTTTTCTGCCTACAGTGTTTGGTCTTGTCGTCACCGTGAATTCAAAGAAAAATTGGATTCAGATCAACAGAACAGGTATGTTTTGTGCAATTTGTATCTAATATTCATTTCATTTTCTTTTCTAGCAGAATTTTTATAAATAACTGTTCTTTTTACTTTTCAAGATTAACAACGTCAACCTCATCGATGCCAGGACCGCGGAGATTACCAGCATCATTATGTTCACGATTACGACTTGTGAAACGTTTGGAAGGTAAGCAAAATTTAACTCTAGAAGAATGTAAGCGTATCTATAGTATGTAATGTGAGAAAACTACATCAAAATTTGACTGCTTTTTCAAGGATCGGCAATGTTGAAACGTTGGCAAGAACTGGCGACTCCCTCATTTTCATCTTGTCTTCAATCGATACCGGGTGTTTATACGCGAGCTGAAATTTTGCAAGGCTTGAAAGAAGAAGATGAGACAAACATGGATAATGACGAAAGAACAGTTAATGGTAAATAGAGTATGAGAAATGAAGTGCAGACTAACGTCTTTAATACAATTTGAAAATAGATATATTAATTCATTTTTATGTTTTAGATACAACTCTTGATTGTCCCTCAAAAGAAAAATGTCAAGAAGACACGTCGACATTTTTAACCGATGGGTAACTTATAAATCTAGGAGGTATCAACTATATCTGAACTATATTTTCATTTTTAGAACAAAACGTACAACTTTATTACAGTTGCTTAAAGATCATGATTTAACAGCTAATACATTTGAACAAATTGATCATTCCCCAACTACTGACTCAGTGTCATCATATGTGACAGCATCAACTAAAATAGATCTGATGAAAGACAGTCAAAAAAATTTATTATCATCTCATAATAATGTTTTGTCATCGTCATCTAGTCATTCGATTTCAAAACCAACCACTTTAAATCTCAACCTATCTCCTTCTCTAGTAATGGATCCAGATGATGATAATTCATCTCCTGAAACACCACCATCAACTCCAATTCAAAATTCATATTTACAAACAAATGTATTATTAAATCAAGTCATGCAACGTCTGATCGGTCTTTCATTTCGTACAATTCAATCCTTAACTTCATCTTTGTCAACAAATGTTTCATCAAAAGAAGATACACAGACTCTTACTTCTCCAATAACAACAAAAACTTCAGATATTTGTCCAACACCTCCATCGTCACCAACATTCGAACTAGTAACACCAACACCTAATACAGCCAAAAAAATTATGAAAACAAGTACATTCATACGTGTATCAGCTTTAAATCCATATACGAATAAATGTGTACGTGATGCTGTTGCCCAGTCTGCATCGCCAAATGAAGTATCACCTGCTTTGGCTGAATTTACACGTAGTTTAAAATGGAAATAACATTGTAAATGAGAAAAATTTTAAGATCTATTTTTCTCTACAGTGCGAGCGAAAGATATTTTATTTTTTTCTTTATTAATAACCCTTCTTTTTGTATATTTATAATAAAAAACAACCAAACAATAGTGTAATTTGTAGTCGAGTTTTTATTTATTTTTTTTTTGATTCTTTTACTACTATATTTTTTTTGTAGGTACTTTTTCTCTCTTCTATCTCATCTTCCATTTTGTTTCTTTTTATGCTTGCACAAATCAATCGTACGTGTGATCTTCGTTTTGAAAAACTTAAAGATATTTTTGTTTTATCCTATGAGTCTTGACCTATTTATTCGTTGATTTTCTTTTTTGTATACTGTTTGTCTATTTTGCCGTTTATTACTGTTTATTTTTATTTTTATTTTCCTTGAGATTAAGAATATAAAAGAATTTATTATTGTCATAGAGACAGATGCACAAATAACGAAAGTATCTTATTCATCGAATCGTAGGTGTTTCTTATTCTCTTTGAACATGGTTGATTTTATCTGAGTAATGATAAACATCTTGTGAAGACCAGGTTACAGCATGTATCATACATGTCGGAACACCAGGATCGATTACATAACAGAAACATGACACGAACAGTGATTGCGAGATTATTTTATTTTATTTTTCACAAACTCACTCGTGTCGGCATCATTATATGACAAACCATAAGTAGAAAAAAAGGTAGATTTTTAAATCACAGAGATACACACGGAAATATTAGACAAAAATATACAAATCGTATATATATCACAACATATGCTTCTCGAATATGATAAGAATCATTTTTTCTTCTTCTATAATTAACATATTTTTCACGATTTTATGTTTGTTAATATGCTTCTCGTGTATTATTATTTGATGTTGGTACAACCATAATTTTGACATTTGTTGATGGATGTTGATCCGTTAATACGGGAATAAATTTTTCTGAACTGAATTTAATTTGATTTCCACTACCTAAAATATCAACACGTATACCATAACAAAGATTATGATCAATTTCTTCAGCGTTGTAATATAACGTAAAGGGAATAGGAAAATAATCACAATCGTCAATTTTTGTTTTACAAATAATATATTGTTGAGGAATATGTGGAAAATCAACGCGTTGTACATCATACAATGTTATATCACAAAGAGTAACGACAGCAACATCGTCAGGAGACAAATCATAATTTGATGGACTTTCAATGACACCGCATAATGTTTTTCGAACCATTTCACTTGCATGAATTAGATAAGGATGAGAATGAGATCCTAAATGAAAAATCAACACATAATACAATTCTCTGTACAAAAAGTACAATATAGTTTCTTTAGTTAATCTGCATTGGTTATCGGAAGCTAGTACGTTGATAAGTAAGTATGTTTGTTTTTTGTTGTTGTTGTTTTTTGGCAACTAATTCAAGACATATCACATTAAAACTTTCAACAAAAACGTTAACATGAAAACGAGAACAAAATCATATTGCCAGGTGCTTAGCATCTGTCAGACTTTTGTCACCTTTACACTACCTCAATCATATTTGCAGATGTTGGTGCAAACGAGTTTTGAAGTCTTTAATGGTGGGAGAACTCACTATAGCCTAAGGTAGGGTTGTATTCCACTCATGAGTAGTTCTGTAGAAAAAACTGCTAAGGATGGTCTGAGTTTGAGCAAAGGGAACCTCGACTTGAGCTTGATGTAGAGTGTTACGATTCGATTGTCTCTTTAGATTATGTCTGATGATGCCTAATCTAGAGAGAGGGGAGAATCCTCTAAAAATTTTATGTATATGAGAAGCTCAAGTAATTAAGCGAAAAAAACTACTAATCAAGACGTTTCTTTGTACGCTTGTACTGATATTCTAAATATAAACTTACGAAAGAGATATATTAGAGGAGAATGGCTTCTTTCATAATATTAAGATAGAAAAAGGCGAAATAATAGAGTATGTGAAGATAAATAATTCTTTTTCTACTATTAAATTTCAATTCATCTATGAAATTTAATGTTTTTTTTATTAAAAAATCCATTATTTTTAGTTGGGAAAGATATTCAGTTTTCTAAAAGTGCTCTTGATGAATAATGAAACAGAAATAGAATAAAGATGAATTTCTTACTTATATTATTTCTTTGTGTGCCCATCTTGTCTATATTGAGTGGAAAATTTTGTTTGTTTGTTTTTTTCTTCTTTTTTTCTCCTACTTATCAAAAAAAGAGATGAATGATTTTATATTTGAAACTAAAAACCCTAGATTAATTATTTATTTTATGAACAATGAAACGAAATACTATTTTTGCACATTATCATCAAAGTATTGGTTGACGTTCATTATCAATATAAGAGATGAAAAACACTAAATTAAAGTCAGTTTTATTTTTTTCTCTCTCTTTTTTTTTCTGTCTATCTATCAATTCAATTTTCTTTGCGGCTAAATAACCCATTTTCTTATTTTTGTTCTATTGTGTGATAATGGAAACCATTTTTTTATTTTTCCCATTTGATTTTTGCTGACTATTGCAAATTAGAATTATATATATATTGTTCAGGTATGAAAAATAAAATAGAGAAAAAAAAGAATATATAGGAAAGTGACAGATCAATTTTACTTTGAATGAGAAATTATTTGACTTTTTACTACAATAAGGAAATGAGTTAAAACTTCATATATTGAATATTTTCTATTTTCTCAGTTTTTTAGATATGACATTAGTTATGAACGCTTAAAATACTTTAACATGTACGACCAACAGATAGACACAATAAGAAAATGAAAATGAATTTTTATTTTAGTTAAACCAAAATTTAATAGAAAAATATCTCTATATTTTAGAAAAAAATCAATGGAAATTTTTGAGAGAAAGTGAGTTTGTTCGTGCTTTGTCATACAGAAAAAATTAATCAAACTCAAAAAAATATTGTAGATAAAATAATTCGAATTTGAACATTATACATCTATATATATATACGTATAATATATCTATATATATATAAAACAAAGAATATATAGATATATTTTGCTCCCCTCTTTTTTTCTAAATGCAAGAGAACAATTACAACAGCTGAATTTCATGTAATTTTTCTACTTTTCTTCGCAACATCATAAAGTCAAATCATATAATATTCCTTGTTTTGTGTTAAGCTTATCTTCTCCTCCTATATTATTGCCTAAATCTTTATTTCAATTGCAAAAAACAGAGAAAAATGCATATCACATTTTGAACAATGAAGAAGTCATATAAAAACTTAAAAAACAAATAACAAAAAAATTACAAATGTTAACACATTTTATATCATCATATAGTGTAAGGTATTAAATGTAACTATAGATCGATTCTATTACCAGATAAACCAGGACCACGCTTCTTTTTCACCTTTTCTTTTGGTTTTTTAGTAGTTTTAGACGAAGGTGGTAAATTTTCTTGACGCTCGGATGAAGTACGCTGTTTAGACTAAAACAATTTAACAAAAAAAATGGAATGTTGAAATATTTTGAATATGTCATTATTACTGACTGTCGGTTTTCCTTCTGCATATGGGTTTACAAATGTTGGATCACGATCTATCAATCGAAGTTCTTGTGCCATCTAAACAATTGATAAATCTATAAATTTGACATAAATTTAAAAACCATTTCGAAGTACTCACCAGTTCAAGAATTTTTAATGAGTCATGATCGTAAAAATTTGTTTCATAAGCAAATGAATAACACCAAGATGTTAAAACTGTTCGTTGTTGATCATTATCGTAAAAACGATGAAATACATCTGGAAAGAATAATGCTAAATCGCCAAGAAACAAAACATTTTCTAACATAAGCGAAAGTTCTAGAGAAAAAACAAAAAATTCACATAAGATTAAGTTAATGAAAGTGATAAGATAGACAAATAACATACGTTCACGAACGGATTCATCTTGTGGAAAATCGGAGATAGATGGAATAAATTGTGAACTAGTAAGAGATATTCGACTATCATTGAGAACCTATAGCATAAAAAATAAATAACTCTCATACAATATTTAACATCATTATATATAATTAGTTACAATGAATATTTGATTCACCAACAACTGGATAGCTTTATAGCGTTTTTCACTGGATTTCATATTGGCTAATTGTTCGACTATTGAATGATGTTCTTTTCGTTTTGTTTTAAATAACAATTGATCTGATTGTATATGTGTTAAGAAAAATAAAAAATTTCAACAGAAAAGCAATGACGATGAACTGAATGATGATTTTAAAAGAACTTGTGTATCCTTAGATTTTTTTATGTTTATTCGAAATTTTTAAAATTTATGTTAGAGATGTTGCTCTTTTGGTAATCCACCGATTGGACATAAACAAGCTATAAGATTGTTCATGTGACTTATGATGGATGTAGCACTCTGAATGTTTGATGTATGCAATAGACTTGTATTAGATGGGTGACTAGATGAATAATTTGCTTCGATAAACACTCGTAACAAAAAGTAGCCTTCTTTATTTGGCTCATAAGTAGATGGTATAATTAAATATTTTCCTGGATTGACACGCAGATACGATGTTACTTCACGTCGGTTTATATAAGAACCGGTATAACCAACATAATCTAAATCTTCAGCCGAATAACCGTTGGTACCCACTACTTTTCCGTCGGATTTTCTTGTTATGGCCGTGGAAGGAACAGCATTCGTTGATGAAGATGAAACAGTGTTTATTTTATATATTCTAGCCTGAATGTAATCGTATCGATTGATAGGATCATCGATAGGAGTCAAACGATTATATTTTTGCATTAACGATATCACCAAAGCGCATTTAACATATTCATTATCAGCACACATTTCAATCTCATATTGAGGATTACTCCAGTAATGACAACCATGTCTACATTTCGTTGCACATCGACCACCAGCTGATATGCCATGAATCCACTGGCCTTCAAATGATAAACATGACCATACTTTACGATTTAGTGGTCTATCACACATCATCGATGCCGATAATGGTGTATGCATTGAAAAATTTTCATCTTTCAACATCGTAGTCGCATTTGATCTTCGACTTTTCTCAGTTTGTGTTGATTGTATTAATGGCAAACTTTGTAGATGGAAATCCAACTCTTCTTCAAAGGTATCAGGTGACAAATGACAAACTTCTAAAATGTCAAACTCATGAAAGAAGTCAAAAAATGTCATCCAAAACTCTCCATCATCAGCAGGATCCCACGACATTTTTCGTTGTGTATTTTTGTCTAATTGATTCCATCTGGTATCATCATCTCTCCATGATCCACTCCATTCAATTTCGTTTGCCCAAGGGTTTCGTAAACGAATCATTCGTAGTATCTGTCGTTCATATTTTAAATATCTTACTGCCGTTACGGAATATGAATGACCGACGACCAATCTATTTGCTTTTATTTCTTCAATATCCGAGCCATCCGATTTCGGATTAATTGAACAAGCCATTAAACATCCATGTTTTAAACTGTCAACAAGAAAATTAAAAAACTGATTCACATTTTTAATTGACGAATTCAGTTTAAATCGTTGTTCAACACCCGCAGTTAAATCGGTAAACGCCTCAATTGGTGCACCACCAATCAAATTCCGATAACCACCATTCAACTTGGCATAGGCTTTCTAAAATAAGTAGAAATTTTCTTGTCATTGTTTATCATTTCCAAAACAAATATGTCTTTATACATCGTACTTCTAATAATGAACACCAAAATTCGTTTGGTTCTTGTCTGTTCCAACAACACCAAGGTTGCAGTGTTTTCCTATTGAATGGTAAATAATCATCTACCTAAATAAAACATTTTTCACGTCTTACTCATTCATTCCATCATTTTGATCTTTCAAAAATACATACAACAATATCGTACCATGTACCAAATTGCCAAAATCGAAAATGAAACATTCCAGCATACTGTTTTCTATCAAATGTTTGATTTAGAGGTATCACCCGTTCAAAAATTTGTTTATGTAACGTAATGCCAGCTACGGCAACGATGAACCAACAATCGCTTAATTCTCCTTGTCCTGGATCACGTCTATGTGGTGTTTTCACAAAAAATTTTGGTGTATCGGTAACATCATAAGGTCGCTTCCAAATGATGTGTTTTATTGATTGACCTCTGAATAACGAGTCTTGATTTGGTGGAAATTTTGAATCTGTAAATTGGATACGTTTTGTTCTACACTCACGATAGATATCATCATATTTTTGATCGAGAAATGGTATGAAATAAGCATGTTTGTTAGGTGTATGCGAATTTTGCAACATTTGCACGTAATCATTATCAATTCATATTGAACTTAGATACGTGAGGGAGGAGAAAGAGACTTAAACACATGGTTAACATCTAGCAAGGTTAGTTTAATGAAAAAATTAAAAAGTCTTGGTAATGCTATTTTTACTTCATTAAAAATTCTAAATTATATAGATTTTGTTATATTTAACGAATTATGAGACGCGCCATAGTTAAAAAAATGCCATAAAAAAATTTTTTGAATCAACTATTTCGTTTTAACACATGAAAAGGATACAAGCTTTAAACTTATGATCAATCGGAGATTCATTGGTGGTGGTATTTTGGACAATGTTATCACTACTTTGCAGATCAATTTTGTCCGCTGTAACGGATAAATTAGATTTATTATCGACAAATATATCATCGTCTGAATATACGCGTATAATCAAATAAAATATAAATAAAATTCGAGTCATCTAAAAGACAGAGAAGCGTAGAGGAATCTCTTGCTGTGAGACGAAAAAAAAACGTTTCTATTACACCAAAAACATTGATGCTACCGTTTTGACATCCAGTTTGTAATGCAGAAAACTTTTGCTATTTGACATTTAAAAAATTCAAATGTATTTTCTTTCGAACTAAACAATTATCTAATAAATGGATAAAAACTGTACAATAAAAAGAATTAATCTATCTTCATATCTAATCTATATGTGGACGGATTAGACAAACTATCTCCCTATTTATACAAAAATTGTTCCAGTCATCGATAATTCTAAATCTCGTTTCCAAAGTCGTTCGCATATCATTGTTAAATAAGATGATGTTGAACGAAAATTTGTATGGACAGATGAAAAAAGGTAAACGGGTACATTGTATTTTGTTTGAAATTGTTCGGCATCGCTGGCTGTCAAATCAGACAACTGGTCAAATCTAAAGAACATCATTCATGCTTAATACAAGAAAAATGTATGAATTATTATTACTCATACTTTGTAATAAAGACAATAGTGGAAAATGATCTGGTAGGACTTGCTTGTGTTAATTTCTCGTTTATTAGTTCTGGTAAGTGATTGAAACCGTCACGATCTGATGCCGAAATAACAAACATGACCAAATCAACAGATTCAAAACAATCCTAGAAATGATGCACATCGTACACATAAAAAAATTATACTTGGTACACATACTTTTTCAATGTAATCAAAATTTTGAAAACTTGATGGTCCAGTATCCCACATATCAAGTCGAAACATGTATGTTGGTCTATTAGGTTGATTTAGTTTAACCGGCCAATAGATGGCCGTTGTTTGAATACCTTTAGTAGAAAAGAGGAAATATTAACGATATTGTTCAATGATAAAAATAGTCGTACCTATTGTTGGTTGATAATCGTTGACAGATTGTTTGCCCTGAAGTGCACGGATTAAACTTGTTTTTCCACAAGAACTTTTTCCAATGAGTAAAACTTTATAGCGATATTGTTTCATTGATAAACCAACTGATAATGATGGGCCGGAGAGTAACGCTAAAAGTTTATTTTCATTAACTTACAGGTTAATTTTTATAAGTCTTATTCAATAAAAGTCTGATATATATATATATATTTCGTAATATTGGTTTTTTATAATATGTACACTTTCCATTTAAATACTATAGAAATTTGTCTTCCTTCACTTTCAATGATAACTGTTCAGCTAAATAACACATTGCTTAATACACCACAAGTTCATTTGTCTAAGCAAGAATTTTGCTGTGAAAAACAAGGAGTATGAAAATTTTATGAACAACGAGAGTGGGATTTATATATTTCTTAGAACTTTACTTTTTACACGTCTTTGTGCGAACATAGGTTCTAATCTTATTGTTCATCAGAATTCTCATTTATAAAAACAGTGTCGTTTCTCGTCTAAAGAGAATTTTTGTGTGAAAACTAATGGTTTTATGTAAAAAGTAACATTCTTGCGGCATTTAAATCTCACTCTTGTTGTAAACAAAATCCTTTGATGAAAAAGAAACTTATAACAGTTATAGAATCAAACATAGTTGATATAGAATGGATCAAAATAATTCAAACTTACAGAAATCCCGTAATTCATTCTTGTGTCGTTTTTTGAGACCTTCTAATATTTTCTCAGCTTCTTCTCGATTAATCCATTGATAATCGAATAGCCCACCATCGTCCGAACGAGGAACATCCATCGTAGTCATTCTCAACAGTTTGTGCTTTTAAAATATCTAGAAAAACTTTTCATATTAGTTGATTTATTCAAAGTCTAGATTTTGAATTATAACTAAATTGTCGAAAACGAGAGAAGGATGTTTCTGCTGGTAATAAGGTTCAGCCAGTCTTCGAAATATTGTTTCTCTTAAATGAAATAAATCATGTCGTCTATACATCTAGACGATTAGTCTGGATGACGAAGATTTATTAATAAAACTCATTATTAAAGAAAAATTTGAAAGAGAAATGTTTTTTAGTTTGTTTTCAAACGTAAACGTACATTTTTATTTTGAGATGATGATACTACATCATCGTTCATAGATGCAAATCTATCCAATAATATAAAATTGAAATTAAATAATAGAGTGATGTTAGCAAAAGTGATAAAAAATAGTAACTGAATAGGAAAATAGAGTTAGTAAAAAACATCAAAAATTAATTTCAAAACAAAACAGAGAGAGGTTGGCAACGTTATCTATGTATCTCACCGAGTGTATAGAATAAAAAACTTATAGAAGTAACAAACAATGAGATTTTATTTGATCCTTCTGAACGTACGATAATCACTTTTTCTACTTATGAGAGAACTTCGTCAAACGATCGATCAATCGCATTTTACTTGAAACATATTATAAGTATATTTTTAATGCTGATCACGAATTTGATATTCGTTTGTATCCACAGACGCTGTTTAGATGATTTTACAAATACCAAGTCTTCAGAGGAGCATAATCAGCTTCCAACTGAACACATGTTGATACTACCAAATTGTACAGCATATCGAGTTATGCATGGAGAAAGTTTTGAAATTATAACGGATCAATTGTCTTACAGGTATAAAAACTTGCAATTTTTTAACGTAACGGAAAACTTTCTAGGAAACTTTGGACGAAGAATCGAATTAGAGAAAAAGTCAAACTTGCCATGTTCTAGAGTTCCTTCTGACTACCAATGAACGACAAACATTTATCTAGAATATTGGATATAGTTGGGTGCCCGGTATCCATAAGATAGAGTACATTTGAATGAAAATAAACGAAAAAATATTTGCGATAGGTGATGCTGAAACAATAATGAAAAAATTCTAGGTCAAAGCTCGCAGATCAGCTCACCATTGTTATAAATGATCCAAAAGAAACAATAAATGGAATGATCGTGATAGAACAGAGTAGAATGATATATCTAACATAAATCTTAACAGCACAATTCTATTTAAAGAAAAAAAAGATACTAAATTCTAACAATGTCGAAATAAATATCAGATTGACGTGCTTTTGAGCCATTACTTACTTTGCTTTATATAAAAATTGTAAAATAAATAAACAATATAAGTTGGTACAATGTGCAAAAATAAATGTTTGAAAATTGAGCAATTTAGAAAACCACACACAACGTCTATTAGAAATTGATTCTAACAGTGAAGAAAAGTGAACGAATAGTCGAGTTAGTTGATCTACCAAAATTGCATATCAAAGTGAGGAAAAAATATAATTGTATAAGTGGTCGAACTATATCATGATTTTCGCTTCCAATTTGCATTAATGATAATTATCTAAAAATAATTGTAGAGTAACGATATGTTTTAAGTGAGAATTAAATTAGTAAGTTGCTTACTTACAGATACCAATGCTAATTCATGGGCAATAACTGTTGAACATTGAAATAGAACGATTTTATTTTACTGGATAGATTGCATTATTTAATTAAAGCATGACTACATGCCTTATCAGCATGATAATAATGTTAGTTTTATGAATACACATCAATCAGGTGACTTAGATAGGCAATGATGAATCTATGATGTTGTTGAATATTCTAAAAATAACCATATATCATGGATTTTAGTTAGTGTTGTGCTTACATTAAGTCGTTTTACTTAATACTTAGCTAAGTAAAAACATTATTACATTATTAAACATATAAAAGTGAGAATAAGAAAACAACACGTTTATTCCATTGCGATTTTACAATTTATCATTCAATTGAAGACTGTCATTCAGATTCGTTGAATTAAAAAAATTGCCAAATATATTTGCTATCATATTCTGTGTTAATTTAAAATTTGATGTTATAACTGACTGTTTTTCATCAAGAGTGGTGAAACGATTAGGAACGGACGAATGATCCAATGAGAAAGATGGTGCGATCGTGGACGTTAAGAGGACACTTTCTAATGACGGTTGCAGTTGTTGTTGTCTCAATGCTGATTGATTTCTATACCAGCTACCTCGACGAGAAATTGACGCTGGATTACCTTCACGCTGATTATTTAAACTTGCTTTTGATCGTCTGATATTTTGTTCATTAACATGATGATTTTCTGCACGACTTTTAGTTAAACGATTTATTTGATCATGTTTTGATAATCGTTCTGGTTCATAAAGATTTTTCAGATTATGTTCGCCTATCATCATTTGACTTTGTGTATAAGAATCGACTGTTCTATTATTATTGTTTCTACGTCCACGATATAGTTCAATTTGATCTTGTTGTTGTTGATCGGGTAATGGTTGTCTCGAATAATTTGATTCAGCTTCCAATGTATAAGTAATATGCATTAATCGATTTATGATATTATTTAATTCTGTGATGGCATTTGATGCAATAGGTACAAGAATGATCGAATTGGCAATACTCGATTCACGACTTATTGAATGTGTACTGGCATAACGAATTTGTTTTATAAATTCACGATATTTCGATACAACCATTTTAAACGAGAGAGTCAATTCAACATAATCGTTCAGATCATCTTTAGTCATTAAACTAGGTTTAGGTTTCTTTTTCTCCTGTTCTTTGTAATTTTGTGTCGATTCAGCTAATGTTACATTTTCTTTACTATTAATTGCTTTTTGAGAACTTGTATCATACTGCTTTCCACCTTCCTCTTGCTGTTGTTTATCGGATTCTTCTTCGATGAGCATCTCTGATTCATGTTTCTTTTTTGTCTTCTTTTTAAATTTACCCTTAAATTCGCCACCATTCTGTTTAACCAAACGGATTAATAATTTAATTTTCTTACTTAATTCTTCGACTCGAACGTCTGTCGATGCGACCAATAGCAACGTATTATTGCCAGATTTAAATCGACTAACACGTAATAACAGTAAATTCGCCTAAAAATTAACAAGATCTAACATGAAATTTGAAAAAATTTTCTCAACTTACTTTTGTTCGTTTACATGTCTGTAATATCCGTCTCAAATGTAATGCGAGATCATATTTTAATGTAGTAGATACTGAACATGATTGTTTTTGTGTATGTACAAAACCGTATTTCAATCTATCAGTCTGTTCATGTTCTTTCAATTGTAAACCCAAATTAACACGTCTATTACGATCATTAAAATGTATTTGTAAACGAACAATATCCAAAACATTAATGGAAAATTCAACAAGATCTTCGGTGACCGTCAATAAATCAGACAATATATAATCAGCTGTGGGATCTGTGGCCGGATAAGATGAACACATTTTTCTCACAAGATATTTCAATTATATTTTTAAATAAAAGAATACAAAAAACAATAGAAAAAAGATCGAAATAAAATGGCTGCTTGGGAGAAAAAAAAGAGTTATGCTACTGCAAAATTTTTCGTAAAAAAAAAATTAAGGATAAAAGTAGTTTTGATTGGCGCGCTACAATAAATTTTTTTCTCGATATAAAAAAAGCGAAAATTCATGAAATACAAGAAGAAAATGGGTTGATCGACCGTTTTCCACTATTTAACAATTTTGAGGTCAATTTTTTTTCTTCTAATCATGATCCTCTTCTATTAGTTGAATTACTGTGACTGAAAGCGAGAGATGTGCGAACGGTCACCGATTTTCTTTCTGGAAGCAAAATCGATCATTATTGATTTATTAACACGTTCAATCGAAATGTTAGATTTAACAATTAATTTAGTAGAAACATTTCGTACATATGCACTGCTTTTAGAACGTAATCGTAATCAGAACTTTTTCACAATGATCGATACTATTCAATGTAAAATAAGTTACGATATGCGCAGTGATGTTCGAACAATAATTCAACATTTATATAGATCATGTCGTTTTGCTAAAGGAAATTTGAGAAATTTACGAGCTGCACGATTATCATCAGCCAACGATTACATTATTGTTGATGATGAATGTCTCAAAACTATTTTGTATTTTAATTCACGAGCTGCCACGCTATGGAGATTTCTTCAGCCAGTTGACGACAGTATGATACAAGATCAAGACGTGGAGAAAGATGAAGATGAATCAACTACGGAACAAGGTTACTTTGCCACATTACCCATCCAAAAAAGAGACACAAATAAAACCCGTAGGACCAGAATACCTCACAAATTAACAAATAACAGATACAGTAAATATTCAGTAGTTACCAAACCAGTTTTTAACTATGAACCAACTGATCCTCTACCTCAATTATCTAGAACGTCTCAAAAGCGAAATCAATATTGTCTATCGAATGCCCGACAATCACCGAAAAATTCGAAATCAAAAAAACAAGCTGAATTTCTTATATCTCGTGATAAACCATTTAAATTACGGCCGGTCACGAAATTGAGAAGAGTGAACTCAAATCAATTAAACAGTCTTACAGCTTGCAGTCATTCGAGACTACGACAACAACATTTACAGTTATCACAAGCAAATCAAAGTGTACCGTTTGCTTCGTCAATGAAAAAGCTGAACACATTTGAATATACAAGTGACAATGTTGAAAGTAGTCCGAAAAGTATCACTTCATCACAACTTAGCCGTACAGAATCCGTAAATGTTTCGAAAAAAGATCAAGAAAATAGTCCTATCGAGGATAATAAAAATAATAGTGCAACTACAAGTTCTTCAAAAAATCAATATCCAACACGGGAACTCTTAGTATCAAAAGAGAAACGTGTTGATTGCATTAAATTAGGTAGAGATACATTGAGCGCATTTACATCCTATGCACGGAAATCCACAACAAATAATATAACAGATCAGTATCGAAAATTCAGTCAACTAAATACACAACAATTGTTAACACCAATTAAACATAGACAAAGACAAGATAAATTAAAACAATCACAGTTAACATATGAATGGAACTCACTAGAAAATATGGAACGATTATTAAACGTCAATAATGACAAACATTTACAAGATTATCGTGAAATTTTCACAGTATTCGCAAAAATGTCCGAATTATACAATTTTCTAATTGAACAGTTGTATGGTGTAAGAAACTTACGTGATTCATTAATTTTACAACCGGTTGTCATCAGTATTGTGAGATTACTACTCTTTATAGCAAAAAAATTGCAAAATATAGCTAATCTTGTATCATCAACATCTCAAACTCATTACATAATTCCTAGTCAAAATGAAATTATAGAATCAAAGGTAATAGTTGATACTTGTATCTAACGTCATTGGACACACAGAACGTCATTATTGATCCGAAATAAATAACGTTTTCCTCTTTCATTTTTTAGAATCACGAAGATATCGATATTAAAAAAACGACAACATCGAACGAAAATAATTCAAAATCAAATGATGAAACAACAAATACGTATCAACAATCTTTGTCGAAACAGAAAAATAAAAACAAACATGATACATCTTCTGCTTCAAAACTTTCTTCTTCGGATAGATCTCTAACGTTAAACAACTTTAACACTGATTTGAAAAAGAAAAATTTGATTTATTTGGCTTCGGTTAAAACGAATCAGAACAATCAAACATTCAATAGAAATTTCTCACCTGTTAACAATTGTTTATCGGATAATAATATATTAAAGCAACCTGATAGTATCTCAGTCAATCATCAGAAAAATTCGTTATTTCATCCACCATTATTAGATATAACAAATAAACGATCTTTATCGACATCAGTTGAAACTATTTCATCTCAATCGCCTACTTCTTTGACACTTTCAATACATGAAGAACGATTCAACAAACAATTGTCAATAAAATAGTGAAAAATTAACTAATAATAATGTATCACATATATCATCCATCGATGTAACAACAACTGCAACAAATGAAATAGAATTTGATGAGGAATTTTATCAAGTGGATAATTTAATAGAAAAATGAAAATGAATCAGTAATCGAACTATCAAAGGTTGAATCGTCTATTCATACGGTGTTTTTCTCAAAGATTATTTAACTTTAAAACGAGTGAATATGCGTTCTAATGTAAAAAACTAATATAAGAAAACTATATAGACTTTTTTCTTTGCTGACCAAGAATCCTACGTTGAAATATCTTCATTGTTATGATAGTATTCATACTGTCACAAAAAATTAATCTATCTGAGAATTTAAACAAACTTTCTCTTTCTCTTGTGCTGTGCACAGAACAAGAACAGATCAAACAGCATACGATCTTCTGTAAGGATATGTCAATGAAACCCAAAAAAAATCTCAGTACTACTTCGCTCTTCTTGATTTTTTTAGTGTGTAATTGTTACAATAACATCCGTTAATGCTTTAAATAGTCCTACTGAATCGATTAACGACTATATATGCCGCACAATTATCGACATATTTTCATTTACAGAGTATGTTGATTCTTCATTAAAAAATTTCTTAAAACTGTTCGACCAGCGGTAATAACATTCAAGTATCATAAAACTACGATATTATTTAGATCTATCAACAGAGAGAAGTAAGTTGATGAAAAATGATCAAATAAAAATTAGTAGTACAGAACAAAATGATCTTTAATTAACAATCATAGATCGTATGATAGTAATTCTTAAAAAAGAAAATATAAAAGATCGTGTTAAAACTGTTGACAATTTTTTAAGATTAATGGCAAGACGAAAAAATAGTCCACATATATTTCTATAGTAAAAAACGGATGACAAATGATTTTCCGTACCTAAGAACAGAATACTAAAAGAAAAAAAAGAGATATTTGTGTTTTGTACGTCTATTCATTTGTAAAATTGTTTCATTTTTTATTATAAAAAATAAATATATGAACATGTACATACATAAAGTGAAATAATTGATAAATAAATAAAGAAAAATTATTTATAAAAAGTTCATCCCATGATAATTATTGTTTTTTTTTTTGAGATGTGATAAAAATAAATATGAGAACAAAGTTATTTCTTCGTTTGTTGTGTCGATTGCATCTTGAACCCGTTTTTTTTTATTCGTCCTGAACGTTTAGCAATGGGACGACCAATCTAAACGACACAAATTTCTATAATTAACTTTTCCATCTTGATGAGATATGTATAATCCAAACAGTCGTAGTATGTCTAAACTGAGATTGCAGAGTTTCTTAGTATATAAAATTCAGAATGACAGTCATACATGTTTGAGTTACTAATTGTTGTACTTAAGAATACTCAGCGCTTACTACAACGGCACTGTGTGGACGACTTATCATTTTAAGTCCCACCCGTACATGTAATTATCGGTAAAAAAAAGGTACTTTCTATTCTTCGGTCTAACGACTAACTTCAGCATTTACCAAACCTACTTGTTTTCTCGGCGATTCTTTGGCTCTTGCTGCTGCTTTTTACGTTTTTTCTTTTTTCGTCTAAGCACTGTTCTTCTAATTTCTTTTGCTCGCGTAATCTCAAACGTCATTCTTTTTTGTTTGTTCACGTTATGAATTCATGAGATCAATTTGTTGAAATAATTCTTCTAGATGATTTTCAATTGATACCAAATCTTTAAGCGAATCACTTGTCACTGGATTTTTACTAAATATTTTTCTATATACATCATTGATAATATCTGATAATTGTTGAAGACATTCATCTTGTTTACTATCGTCCGTGACCATTGAGTGTGCGCCAATTTTTTCCATAAGTTTTTCTTTTTGTTCTTCTGAACGTATGGCTTGCTCTAAGTGTGATACTACTCAGTTCCAATACACGAAAATGTCTTTCTTGTACTGAAAATTGTGCTTTAGATGACTTTTCACGCACTTTTAAATTTTTCGTTCATTCTCGTTTCTGTAAACAAAGAAAGAAAAATATTACGCTTTTAAGATATGTCAGGACACATACATACACTTTTTCTCTTTTATCTAGTTGATTCGATGCACAAAAATCAATATCTAGTGAAAACTTAAATGGATTAATTTCTTCTGTTTTTCTAATATCTTCTAGATGTTGCATTTTTTACAGTGACGGTGTAGTTGTTGATATTCGACTTTTGCCACTATTACTAATATGTTGTTGTTGACCGGATAGCCGATGAACTTTTCTCTCATCATCGCGAAATGTTACTTTTAAATTTGAACGAGAATCAAGACCTCAAAACAAGAGGAAAAGAGTTTGAGAGAAAACTAATATCTAATTCATACGGATGTTACCTTGCTTTGCCGATCTAACAGATTTTTCGATTTCATCACCACTATCTTCAGTTATAAACATGATCTCACACTAATCGACTTTAAAACAAACATAAAAGCGGCTTTACAATCTAAAAATCAAATTAGAAATTAAGCTAGGATCTATGTGAAACCGAATATATATAAACAAATAAATTTTGTTTAATGATAGATATACTACAAGTTTATATTTTTTATTTGTAAAGTAGTTTGCTACCACATAACAAAAGTAGCTTTGAAACAGAGTCTAAATACGTTAATTTCTAACAAATTCTATACAATAAATAAACTAGTGTGATGAAAACAAATAAAAAAAAGAAATAACTGGCGCACGCGTTTTGACTAATGTCTACTGATCATGAGAGTAAAAAAATGTTTGTATAATTGTATGTAAAAGTGGTTCTATTCTGTAAAAGATGCATTAGAAAAGTTTGTCTTAAATTGAGAATAGAACTTATGAGAAATAAGTTGTTGTTGTAGGTTTATCATGGTATAGGAAGTAGTTAGCTATAATAATTGGAGTTATGTCTAATGTATGTCACATTTGAATACTTAAATAAGACTAAATTTAGATATTGCACTTAACCAGCCATCTATAGCGAAGGTTTTTGATTGCATAGCAATAGTACGCTTATATTGCGCATTATGTTAATCGATTAAAACAACAAACCAAATTCGTTATTTCCAACCTCCTTTTTTCAATTGTTTATCTTCATATAACATTGTTTTCCAATCAATTTCGTAATATTTTTTATCATAACCTTCAATTAAATCCATTTCTTCATTTTTTTCACTCAGCGTACGATTAATCATTGGCAAGATACCGACTGCATGTCTTATTGGTATAACATTTAACTTTTCAATAGTATCATTACCTTTTTGTTGTAAAATACCTACAAATACAAAGCATACCATGCACAAATTTATATTGAAGTAAACGAACAAACTCTTTACCTAATGTTCTTAAAAATTCTATAGATTGTTCACTACTAAAATTAACAATACTGTTTGTTTTTTCTCGAAGCCAATTTTCAATTCCAATTTCAAGTGTTTTCACTGTTAAGTCTTGTTGAAGTTTTTGTTTTGATAATAAATAGATATAAACGAGTAAAATTTCTTTACTCAATTCATCCTCGGCCCTATCGACAATCATTGCTAGTAAACTTTTATTATTTGCAATATTTTTATAAAACAGCAGACGATTCATATTTGTAAAATAATTGAATTTTGATGACGTATAGTTTTTATAGGCATAACTGCCAATAAATAAAGTCAGACTACCACCAGCTAACATAATACCAGGTACATGAATATCAGCTATTATTGTTATTAATTTTGTAAGGACTGTGGCTGTGCCGGTAAACAACGTTAACCACAGTAATTGTTGTTCAGAACTACCAATTTGAATTCGTCCAATTGGTAGTAGTTGTGTTAAATTTTTTAATGGTATATCACGAAATGCTTTCAAATACAGACGATCTTGTCCTTTAAGACGTACGGCTAATATCACACGTTTAAAATAATCTGTGGTTGTTGGTTGTGTTGGTAACGATAATTTACGTCCAAATGTAAACAAACGTTTATACCATGGGCTATGTTCATCTGGTACACTCTCTCGTCCTAATATCCAAAATTTTAATATATCATAATCATAACCATTTACTTTTACATTTAATGTACTATGTTCATTATTTAATAATTTATCGACAATTATCGTTTTTGGTAATACATTAAAATTTGCTCTCGTTAATACATCATCAATTTTTTCTAATAACCAATATTCACTATCTAGTTTATCTCGATAAGATACTTTTCCTGTTGAATGAGTCTCATTATCAGGATTCAATGGATCAAATAAATGTTTTAATTCATTTAACACGGGATGATAACGTTGAACAACAGCCGAATCAAAACCAGAACATAATTGATGAAATAATAGTCGTTCATCATCATCTAATAAATTTGAATCGGTGGCAATTAAACGGATCAACGATGGACGTGTTACCTAGAGAAAAATTAAATGACTAATAAGTTGTGATTTAAATACAGATAAACACTTTTCTACCGGTATGAAGTTTTCACGCGTCGACGGTATATCGAATGAAGTTGAGTGAGTGTATTTTGATGATAAAAATGGTAATCGTGATGTTATCGATTTAATAATACGTCTAGATGTGCTGGATGATGTTTGTTGAGTTAATGATTGATCTGAAGAAACTGCTGTTGTTTGTGGAGAAGAAATCGGTATACCGGGTAAAACTGGTGTATGGATGGGTGCTTCAAGAAAAAGTTCCTTGGTATTACTAGTGGAATGAAGAGATGATGATGGTTTAATCAAATTTAAATCGGATGAAGAGTTTTCAGAACTGAGTGGAACAGATTCGGTAGAAGGAAACAACTTCTTCTCTTCTACTTTTGCTTTAAGTAAATCGTTTGTTTGTACTGTTATCTCTTGATCCTTGACGGAGGTTTTTAATTCAACTATTTTCGGTTTTTTAAAATCAGATAGTATTCTTTTTGTGTTAACGAGATCGTCGAAACTTGGATAATTGCCCTGATCATGATCTGCTTTTTCCGACAGTTTTTGAATTGGTGCTGTGGATAAATTATTGGAAATACATAATAGATATTTTTGTGCTAAGCGTGCATCTTCAAAAAATCGATGCCGTGGAGATGAACATAAAATAAAACGAACGTGTGAGCATAACATTCTAATATACAATACTAAAAATAAAGCAAAGGCACGCAATGCACTGAGCAAGATTATTTTTCAGTTTTCGAACAAAAAAAAACCTAGTCTTCCAGGACGTCATCTATCTTCCTCGACCCAAGCGAAAGTATGTGATTTAGAATTTTCTTTTCTTTAAATCTTGAGCATTTATGACTCTCACTCTATTATATGAGGCTAAGATCAGTGTTTCTAATGATTAGTGGTCCCCGTGAGAGCAAAGTGGTCTTCCACTTTGTAAAAATGAAATCCACTCTGTTTTCCACTTTGAACGTAAAAAAACCGCGTTGCGAACCACTTTGCTTTCTAAAATTTCCACTTTGTTTTCTTCTCTAGTTTTGCCATCATGATTGATCTTATTAATTACCACGTTTGTGTACGCTCTGCTGAAAATTCTCATTAGAAACACTGGAAAGGTCTATGTTTTAGAACCCAAGCAGAAAACAGTTTTATAAACGCTGCTTGCTGATACTTTATTCGAGACCACTTTGCAGTTTAGCACAAAGTGGTTAGTGCCACTTTAGGCTTCAGAGCAAAGTGGTTCAATCCATTTTGATTACAATTCTCATTAGAAACACTGGCTAAGATTTCGAAAATATCCTACTCTCAGCTTGTAGCTGAACCGCATCTTTGAGATGACGTTTCAAACTTAATCAGTGTAAGCTAAGAAAAAAGTGAAGAGTAGTGATCGATCGATTTAATCGATCGACATAGGTCACAAAGAGAAGATGGATTCACATCATCATCATTCATATATGAATGATGATGATGTGAATCTTCATCTAAGCTCTATATATAGAGCTTAGATGAAGATGGATAAATAGATAAAATACAGCTGGCCAATCAGAATACAATCGTAATGAGAACGATGATTTTTAGCAAATCAGAAGAAAGCGATCCAATCAAGAACAGTGTTAGGACAACGACTTTTTCAATGGTGAAAAGCAAGTCCAAGAATGACAGTGTGAGTTTGTCTTCTTTTAGCCGAGAATAACAGCCGATAGTAGAGGTTAAAAGAAGAAAAAACTTGCCGACAATAAGAAAAAGTGCAGAGGAACAATATGTCTTATGTTTCTCACATTCTCAGTCATTAATAGTACTCTAAATCGATGAATTTTGTTTCTAAAGAAGTGTTTGGTTCAGATTTTTAAGCGGTAATCCATGCATAAGGCTAGTTCGTGTGGATATATTGATCTGAACTTATATTCATACATCTCATTAAAAAAATTGAACAACTTTTGACAAGAACATTTCGCAAGCTGAAACTTATGATCCATAGGTAATCCAATATAAAGAACTTAAGAGACTGGTTTTAGGCTTTTAGAGTTCTTTAAAGAATTTCCAGCAACCTTTATGGGTTTCCATATCAAAATTTTTTTTTCTCATGCAAGCTAATCCTTTAGCTGGTGTTTTCCCACTCACTGCTACTTTCTCTGAGAAGCTGGAAACACCAGCTAAAGGATTACCCTGCCTCGAATACACCATGTTCTCGAAGAAATGATCGAGTAAAACATGATGCATCGCGATGATATCTGCGGAGGCTGAAGAAACAGTCTTCAACACCAATCACCAAAATCAAAGATCTTCATCTTTTCTTTATTAAAAACAATATTTGAACAAGCACTACTATTTTGGTAGAAATCTTAGACGTTACATCGAAATTGTTTTATATATTCAGAAGTCTATGCTATACATGGGTATAAGCACAGCTCTTCGAGAGCAAGCTACGAGATGGCAATGTCTTTTCCCTGAAAAATATACGTGTGTAACATCCTTATTTTCGGTCAAAAGAAGATAACCCCCAGCGTAGGATGTTATATTAGAGATTAATTTAAACTTATCCTTCAAAATGCAAGCGTAAAATAAAAATATTGTCTCTTAAAATTTAAACTATACTGATGTTAGAGATTTTAGCAGTAGCGTATTCTAGGCATCTCTTCTACTTTGCAATCTAAAAAAATAGCGTTGGCTACAAAGGAAGGAGAAACCAAGCAGCTATAAATGATTGTATTGATGACAAATACAAACTCGTATATTATACTTTGCTTGGTGACTCGTTTTTGTGACGTCTACGAGGGAGATTTTTTCTTCAGAACTAAAAAATTTTTTCAGATAACTATTATATTCGTAAACCATTGTTTATCAAAAATTCTTTGACAGTTGTGACTAGCTCATCATCCGTTATAAAATATTTATATACAAAACCAATGTCATCGTCATTAAATAAACAAGTAAAAAGAAACTAGAATACAGTGCACAATCACACGAAATCAAATTAGCTAATATGAATTTTGTTTAACCCATTTGTCCTTTAAACGTCTTTAATTTTTTTATTTTTGGTATTAATTGAATAACTTCATTGTAAATCTAAAACGGAAAATAGAACAAAAAAAGTTATTTAGACTAAGTAATACAAACTTATTAAATTTACTTCCTGATCTTCGTTAGTTTTACACTCTTTTTCTAATATGATTTTAGCAAATTCCATTGCCAACGGTTTGGCATTAAGTTCATAATAACATTTGACAAGCCTAAAAATAGTTAGCTACTTTTTGTTCTAAATCATATGTAGAGATACGAACATGCTAATTTATTACATTAGCATATTTTTATTATAAAAACCGGGATCAATTTCTTCTGCCAATATAAAATATTTTAAAGCTTCACGTATTGTTGATTGTGGACTTTCACCATAAATTAGTTTTGTAATACGTTGTTTCCATGTTGATAAATGTGCAACTTCATAATGCCTAAATAAAAACAATAGTTCGTATATATAATTGTTTAGGAAAATAATTTAAACATACCAGATGCCTAGAAAATAGTAGGACATTGCATCTGTTGGATTTAATCTTATGGCTTCTTGAAAATGTTTTTTAATTTCAAATGTATTTTGTATTTGTTCTTCACTACTATTAAATTGACTTTTTGCATTTAATAATATGGCATACCACTAGAGAAAAAAAAATATGAATCATAATAGCCATTGATTCGTCAAAGATTAAATTATTGCTTACTTTATGTACGGAATAATTATGTTTACCAGATTTTAATGCTTGTTCAACATAATGAAATCCATTTTCGATAAGTTGTTTCTTTAAACGATTATCTCTTGTCTTTTCTGATAGTTTATAATTTATTCTAAATAATAGAGAAAATACTTTATTGTATAATGTGAATATATGATTAAGTATTTGAATCATCTTTACATTTACCTAGCCATTCTCCACAGAAGATAAAAACTTTCAATATCATTATTTTTCGATAGCTCCTGAATAAAATCATATGCTTTTTGATATTCATCTGCGTCGGTATAACTGTCCAATTGATCAACAATTGTTTTAATATCCAAAGATGCTTAAAATATTTTTAGATGATAAAAGAGTTGCACTCAAATCAAAAATTCGTAAAGATAGCTTGACTCAAAAGACAGTTTGAACATGCACGGTCACTAGACTGCGATAGTAGTCATCAGTAAACCTTCAGAAATTATTTTTTTTACTTTTTGAAATATCTATGTCACTACTGGAATTTTCTGCTGCCTGTAATCGATAAAACAGCAATTTTGATTTTGTTGATGATAATAATGATGAAAGAAGTATAGTGGAAGTGCCAACAGTGAACACGGTCGCTGATGATCTACCAAATAAAATTGATTTGGTAAGATGAATTAATCGAACATACTAAAAAAATTAGAGACTTTTGCTTGTTTTTGTTTTATTTTGGAGATTTTTCTTGTCTTAGATAAAATTACCTGATGGTTCTTTGATATAATAATAAATGGGCGAATATATTGTACAAAAAAATGCATTTATTCTTATCTACAATATTGATCTAAGCATTACTAAAAATGGAGAAATATTATTTTTGGAAAGGATAAAATAGTAATATCCTATCTATGCCGTTGTCTGAAAACTTTTTACGGCACTTGATTTTTAATTAAAAGTACACTGAAAAAAATGTCTTCTCTGATAATGCAAAAAATAATACATGAAATAGATACATTTTGTACGATGAAAAATATGTCCAACTATTGTCGTTCATGACACATGTATCCTGAATAACGTCACAAAAATGTGCTTCTACTTATGATATAAAATGTGTCGTGAATATCGCTATTTTGACATCTTTTTCATCGTACAAAATGTATCTATTTCATGTATTATTTTTTGTGACACATTTTTTTTATAAAGTGTACAACCGTTTTATTCAACTTATTATAGTTAATATATGAAATAAAAATTTTCTATGAGTTATAAAAAAATATATTTAAAAATTTCAGCAATAAATACTAAGAAAAAATTAAATAAGAGACATTTCATTGGATTTGCTTATGTTCATTCTCAATAAATGAGAAATGACAACATACCTATTAATCGAAAATTAAGATAATTAGCATATTTGAACCACTTTGTTTACGAACTATAATCACGTTATATACAGAAACAATATAAAACCAAGACTTCATAGACTTTATTATAATCAAAGTAAGAGAAAATATCTGAATGATAAACTAAAAGATACAAACTTACCGATGGGTTATTTTTGTTGAATCAAGATACATATCGACAATGTATCGAAGAGAATTTCAACTATATTTCAAGATTTCTCAAATGTGTGTGAGTCGTTTTATACTTTAAGAAAAAGAAAAAGTTCTCTTTTTCGAATAAAAAAACAATAGATTGACATAGTCAAGTTAAAAAGGCTTAAAGAATATTTAATGAAACAACATTTTTCATCAAATACTTACTATTTATTGTCTTTTCGTGTACAAATATATCTGAATTACCATGATTTATTTTACACTTTTTCACTTTTTGACATAATTAATTATGTAGAATAAGAACAAACAAATTCTAATTGCAGAAAGCAAAAAATGAACTTATTTGAAATCAAAAAATATATTTTCCGAGAATCAATATACTAAAGATTATTGACTCATCGAAGATAATGCATCTCTATTAACAGAAAGACTAACAAAATAGATGACATTTTTGATTTATTGATTACACCATATAATTTGTACAACTTAATACGGAATAATAAGAACATAGAAAAAAATTCTCTCGAAAAAAAAACCCAGTTATGTTGAAAATAGTCGAGTTAAATTTGATTTATCTTGTTTATTTTTTTCTTGTTCAGCTTGTGCTAATAAATTCAATTCTTGTTTGACTAATGCATTCAATGATGGATCGACTTTTAATAAAGTTTCAAAATCTTCTTTAGCTTCTTTTATATTCCATGCTAAAAAGAGCAATGAGATACTCTTGCTATAGAAATATACTGTTCTGTCTGGGTTTTTTTTAAATTACTTACCACCAACATGTGCTTTTGCTCGACGATAAAGTGCTTTTGAATTAGTTGAATCACTGTTCAATATCGTTGTGGCATGTTCAATGGCCGAATAGTATTCACCTAATTTTAATTTACATTGTACAAAATTTAGAACTAAAAAAAGAAATTAAAAAAATTAGTTTAGTTATGTGAAATGATCAAGAAAAATCATTTACGTATTGGTCGACGTTGTTCATCCAACTTTTTCCATTCTACATCATTTGGTTTTTCCCTGAATAAATTAATAAACTAAGAGTTTGAAAGATGAGAAAAATAATTTCAAGAATAGCAATATATTCAGATACAGCTTTCAATATATATGCCTCGCTATTTTTAAAAACTTTCTCAAATACATATCGATAATTTCCTCAAATTTGTAGATGAATACACTGGAATTTGAATATTTAACGTCATCCATGTACAGTAGATCAAAGTCTGAAGTATTGTCTCATTTTCTATAAACATTCTGAGTTTCACTTTTGAACCGGTTTTAAAAACAAATATGGCCACTATAAGCATAGACTTAAGATCATTGAAAAATAAAGCTTAACTGAATGTTTTTCACTGTTTTTATTTGAAAATTCACAAAATTCTAACTTGACAGAGAAGTAGTGACTATTTCTATGCTATAACTAACTAATATTGATAAAATTGTTAGTTCATATCGATAGAAACTTCTCTAACGTTCTATTTTCTCTCATCTTACACGAGAATCGTCCAGTGAAACGTTACGCGGATGTTTTTTCCTTAACAAAAAGTTTACAAACATCAAAAACTAACTTTATCATGAGTTCATCAAAAAATTGTAACACTTGTCCATATTTTTCACACGCTTTCTCGTAATCGGATGCATTATATAATGCATTTCCACTTTCTCGAAGTTTCGGTATTAAATTAAATTTTTCATCATCCGTTAAAAAATACGTCTCTTTTTCAAACTCTCCAGGTTTTAGCACTTTGACAAGTTCTAAAAACAAATGAAAACAGGAATCAACGAGACAGTTGCTGCTGTATAAGTATTATTACGTTTATACGATGATGTACTATAATCAGATTTACTTGACATATAAAAAACAATGTTTATTTGGATTTCTGTCTATTCGTCGCTAAGGTCGTTTTTTTCAATGGATAAAGAGTAGGATCATATGTTAAAACAAACGAGTTACATTGTTAACAATTATTAAATAATAAATATCTAAATTTTCTATGATAAATTTACCCAAAATATGATTATAAAATTCTGTTATTTGTCAGTTTCTTTTTGTATTATAGTATCAGCGTTTCTTTTAATTCATTTAATAACATGTAAGCAACTTTTATTAACGACTCGAGAGGGTCGAGCGTTACAACAATTAATATTTCGTTTAAATGATGGTGTTGATACTAATACAAGTCAAAATGTACCGATGCATACAAACGTACTGCTACACTGTCCGTATGCACGAAACGTTCATTGGTACTATAAACAAAACGCAACATATCCAACATATCGACCTGCTGATAATGGTGACGAACTACGAGACACGTTACAAATCGATGATTTTGCCGGTGGTAAAATCGCTGGCACAGGAAATTACAAATGTATCGGGAGAGACGATAATGGACAATCGCAGGTGAGAAAAAAGCAAGAAAAAATGCAAGTTCTATACTGTCGCGATCAACTAGGTTAGCAGATGCTGCAGAGTTTGAAAAAGTAAGGTGACAAAATCCTGTTATATTGAAAAAACAGGCTATTAGTTTAGTGTCTTAAATAACAGATTCGCAACATGTAACATCTTCGATAATGTAAAAGTTTTAAACACTTCACACGGCACAATTCTTCTCAAAAAAATCAGGAAAAAGCATGTGGAAGCAGCACTGTTTCTGAAGACCGTCAAGGAATTTGATCATCTCAACTGCATATAATAGTTATGTATCGTGAAAAAACTTGTTGGAACCAAAACGCAACCTATAGATAGTCAATCATCTTGAATTTTGTCCTTCTATCGATGCCTCCAGCGCCAAGAACTAAAATTGATTACAGAGTGTTACATTGAAGAGTGAACAATCTTGAACTATCTGTTACATCCGTTTTGCGGCACTGTTAGTGCGAAAGAACCCTAATCTACTTGCGAAAAAACATAACGATTGTTCAAGATTATCTAAAAATTTACGCTGTTAAATTTTGCAGCAACGCAATTAACATAATTCTTTATTTGACTTTTTTTTAAGGAGAGCAAAGAAATTCTTCTACTTGCACAAGAACAACTGAATGATCCATCGAGAGCCGTTGCTGATGATCGTCGATCAAAAATTGAAATATCCTTTGTTCATCAAGGAAAACAATTATCAATCAAATGTCCCTATAAAGCTGATCACGATGAAGAAATTCTATGGGAATTTAAAGCAATCGATTTTGGACATTTGACGCCTAAAGAGTACACGTTTGCCGATGGAAAAGAAAAATATAGACGTGAAAATAATCAACCAACAACATCCTCTACAACAACAAATTATCCATGGGTTAATCTGAGTGATTACAGAAATCATTCTCGTATTCTGATAAAGAATTTGACTATATTTCATACGGGTGAATATCGTTGTCGTTTAATCTATGCAACAACAAAACGAGCCGTAAAAACAAGTCATATTGTCGAATTAATTGTGGTATTTACACTATTAAGTCCATGGAATGATACAAAACTTATGTTTGGTTCGAGTTTCGAAAAGCATTGTGTAACTAATTGGCCAAATTCGTTATTAAGAATAATTAAAGAAGATGGTGATGTGCAACATCCGTCATTAAACATTGCACCAGGTCAACAACCATCTCCTATTTCAATTACAAGTCCTTCATCGATCACCATTGATTCTGTTGGTTATGAACATGAAGGAATGTACACATGTCAAGCTATTCTTGAACATCGTTTGTATCAGTCATGGAGTTTTTTCTTAAACATGTGAGATAGAAAAAAATGGTCGTTTACAGAGTCACTCTCCATTTTTTGTCTTTCATTTAGATATGGACAACCAATGGCTATTTCAGGATTTACAAATTCATCTCGTCATACGGCTAAAGAATACGAGATGGTTGTATTGAAATGTGGAATCAAGGCTGATCCCGGTCCGAAATATCAATGGTTATTTAAACCAAATAATTCAACGTTATTTGGAAATGTATTTAAACCAATCAATGAATATCCATTTTCATCACCACGCGAAGGACATTCGTATCTATTTAATTTTACAGCGTCAGCAGTTCGAGATGGTGAATATATGTGTATTGCTACAAATGAATACAGTACAATGACATCGCATATGATATTCAGCACGGAAAAAGGCGTTGAGCCATTGCCAGTTAAACGAATTTATAGTCTACCCAATCTATTGGTACATATTCACCCTAAAAGGTACGAGATACTTGTAGAATAATTATTTGTCTTTGTTTCAAGATTCCTCTAACATGTACATTAAAAGAATATCCACGTTCAAAGATTATTTGGGAACGTCGAGATGAGCTCAATAATACATGGACTCCAATAACAAACTCCAGTGGTATATCACCAAATATTCATCGTCATCAAGAAGCATCAATGTACAAAGTTGAAGGATACTACCGTTGTGCAGTGATTATTGGTGACCAAGTATTAGAATATGGTGAACAATTACAATTAATTACATCATTAGCACTAGATATAAAACGATCGAATTGGACAGGAAATGCAATTATGTTTGAAGGTGACTCGTTGAACCGTACGTGTTATGCTAATAGACCGGATGCTGAAACAATCATCATCGATATGCGACATAACGAGGCGATACATGAACATGAACTGGTCATCGAACGTTTACATATTAATGATAGTGGTATCTACATCTGTATCGCAGATGTTTTCGGAAAATTATCAACAAACTGGACATTCAAGTTAGTAGTAAGACCGGCAGATATTGTTGAAATTTATTTACAAAGCTTACATAATCAAAGTAATATGCTTGATGATGATACGTCAACAAGACCATCGCAAATTGTCACTGGAAATATATTTAGTACACTATCAGGAACAACAGAAATTGATGAAAATTATTTGAATAATAATAATAATCACACAGAAAACAACAGCAAAAATAGTGAGTCATATTAAATGTAAACTAAATGCACTTTATCTTATTTGGTACTGTTTCAGCTACTTTGGCATCTGAGCTTGACTTAACTGGATTACATGAAGATATTGGCATTGGAATTAGTCATAAAGGTCCAAATTCACATGAAATATCTGTCGTTGTAAGTTAATCTGTTGATTATCTATCATTAGACATAAACTATGTTGCGTTCACTTCGGTGTGAACCTCTGGAGTATTAGGTCGTCGCCACAGACAACTTTTTCACTTCATATATCCTACCGGCAAACATTTTTTTATCCCATTTATCTATAATTCTTATTCGTTAAGCTCAACTTAACTTCTAGGTTAATACAAACAAAAAGTCGAATATTATTGTCGATTCAAACACAAACGTGAAGCCAAATGAAATTGTAGTTACAAGTAGCAACAACAACAGCATAGTAAATAATATCAACAGTCATGATGTAATGCCAACATTATCACTAGACAGTCTATCGGCACAAGTAATGGACATACACACATCACCAGTAACTCATTTAAATATCAATAAAACCTCTCTATATGAAAAATCATTTGCCAACGACAAAGAGACAGACAATACATTACCCGAGCAAGAAAAGAAAACGGTCACAGAGATTAGTTCTGATCTACCAATCAAAACACCTCCAAATGAACAACAACAGCAAGAAATAAACGTTCAAGCACAATCAAATAATCAGTTGCAAGACATTACAAATTCAAAATTCCTTAAAACAGATCAGCATTCAAGTGAAAAAGCATTTATTCATAAAGAAAAATATCACACGAGAGAACGGGCACGTAATTTGATGAAAGAAAAGAGAACATCTATGGAGTCATCTAAAGATCAAGCAGTAAATGAGATTATAGTATGATTTAACCATGTGTAAAAAATATATATCATCATGCCTAAATAATGGGTAGAAACTCGCATCCTTTATTTCAATATTTACCAAAAATGAAATCCAACGGTTCTGGTTCGCGCAGTAACCGATCTAAATCTTTGTAACCAAGTCCTTGTTCTAATGCCATAAATCCACAACAATGATGATGATTTGCACCCTCATCGTGATGATGATTGTTGGGTGATGTCTGATTTTTGTAATAATCACGTATCTGTTTTGCTACAGTTGCGTAATTTCCTAAAAGCTAACGTTACAGCTAATGTAATACATGTATAAATTATTTTGAATAATGAAATAAAGAAGACACACCTAATATGTATCCCGGTGAAAAATACAATGCACACTCGGTTATACTGCATCAGTCATAAATTATACTTTCAAAAGCACAATCCGATTATTCAAAAACTTTTAACAAGTCACAACTAACAGATCATAGAGAACTTTGTCTGAAATGTATCAAAATTGCAACATTATAATCATAATTACAGAAGATCTTGAACTTTTCACTATGATTAACGAACGCTTTTTTCCTATTCCTCTCAATATCTCGGTGGTTTCATTCACAGCTTGGGATAGAAACAACTGCCAAGAAAACAAATCAAGAAACGGCCGTGCTTTAACTCAGAGAAGAGAATATTAGCAGCTTATCCAGTTCAATTACTAGATAAAAGAAATAAACGTTTTATAATTACATGTTTCTCGATTGAAAATTTTGCAACTTCACCTAATCGCATTGTTTTTAGACATTGTTCCCAACATTCTAATTTAAATTTATGACCAAGTGTTAGTTCCAAAGGTTTTTTATGTTGCTTAGAATCATCAATTACTGTGCCATCCTTAGTCAATGTTTGATAATGAATGAAGAGCTACAAAATAAAGAACAAAAAAAAAGGCTTGTTTACCTTTCTTGATTACCAACTAACCTTCATGTCATCTGAAAAATCGATTACTTCTTTTCCAGAATAGAGAACTTGTTTTTTAATTGGACAATTTGATGCGTCAGGTCCATAAATCATGATTTAGAATTGTTTGATGAGAGATGATGATCTATCTATTCTAAAATCTAGAAACAAGAAAATCAAAGGATTTATTAGGAAACTGAGTTTTAATCGTTGAATCATGTTGTACGAAGAAATTAACTGAGCACTTCACACTTTAGGTAACCATTACAAGTTTTACGATGATAAATTCATCTTCGAAATGGTAGACGAAAAAAAGAATAAAAATAACACATTATATTGAGTTGAATAAGAATTTCGACTTTGCGTACAGTAAGAAAGTTCAAAAAGTTAACTGGAAACAATTCTCTTTGAAAACAACAAAATTATAGAACTAACTCCGCTTTCTACTGCAAGAACGAATCTCTACTTAACCAAAACACTATTTTGACTAAGTTTTTTCTAACTTTCTTGCTGTCAAAATGACAAGGGTAAAATGAGCTCATCCTCATCCACAACTCTTGAAATATAAGCTAATGATAACGAGTTTTGGACAACAAGGTGATCTATCCCTGTTTCAATGACGTTAGCTTAATAAACTTGCGTTTCTTCAATAGATTTTTCTTTTCTTGTGGTTACTCTTATTGTACATGTTTCCATCTGAGTGAAAGCTAAAATTTCATTTTTTTTAGTCATAATGGAGTTAAAATACCTATAAATATTCTACAGTTCAAATGTTTGATTTGTACATCTTTAATCACAGAAAATATTTAGAGACAAACTTGATTTTGTTCTTTCTCGTGAGTCGTGATAGCTATACTAATTCTGAAATTAGATTTGGATGTCTATATGAATAAATTATCAAAAAACTTCTAAGTTACCTCTCACTCGCTTAAAAATACTTTTCTGGAAATTGAAAATCTGTACTTTATTTTTCAAACCCATCTCAACAATTGTTCCATTATCATTTAGTAAGATAGAGAATAGATATCTTTTCAAAATACGGCATTCCGCATCATTCAACGACCTTTTTCATTGATTTATGGCTTTTAATCTGCAAGTCCCAAATCGATAATCGGCCAATGGCAATGCCTGTTTTTTATACGTCTTTCGGTTGTGTAAATACAGACTCAAATTTGCGTTTGGTTTATCTAATGTATAGTCCTATACCTTTGATTTAAAACAATTTTAGAGAAATAAATGTTTAACTCAAGATCATCTCTCATGAGACAGCAAAGACTTTACTCAATACTTTAGGTTTTGGATGAATCACCAAGAATTAAGTTAATCCTTGCCTAAAATTAAGTTAAGACTCACCCAACTCTAAGAGCTGCATAAGAATAGTCATAAAACAATACCAGGTTTACTACCTAGAGAAGTCTGAAAACTGAAACAACAATTTTGTTTCTTCCCTTGGAAAATTTGTCAACTTAATAGTCTTTTTTTGGAGATGACTTTGTGCTCTGATAAGTTTTAATGGTGAGAAACAAACCGGAAATAAAGTCTGAATGCGGAAATGGGTCTAAAAAGCGGAAAAAGTAGTAACCCTGAACAATACAGTAAATAAGAAATACTTGATCCATAGTATACCATCAAACCATTAAACAGTTACGCAATTCTTTACTAATGAAAACACACCCATTAGTGCCATCTGTTTCAAAAGTTTTTTTCATTTAAACCGATACGAAAGTACACGAAACTTCTTTTAGATGAAAGTAGGTAGTGAACTGTTTTTTATCTATCTCAACCATTCCAGGCATTCTCGCATGTATATTTTACTTCTTTGCTTGATTACTGATGTAATGGTAACTTTCCACCCACAAAAAAAGAGAAAACAAGGGCTTTCACATTCTATCTGTGTATGTTTTATCCTTCAGCTGCTGACTATTGCACCTGAGCTTTTGCATCTACCCTTCGAATAATAATGTGCAGCTTGAGGTGAGAGTTATTGTGTTTTTTTTCGATTAAGAGGGTCCTAAGTATTTCGCTTATAAAATCAAGACAAGTGAAAATACCGAAATATCGTCTTGCTCATAGGTAAGGTGTATAAATGAAGAAAACAAGCTGAATGCAGAATTAGTCTTACAAACGTTTATTAGAGATCCGAATTAGCTGAACATCTCCATAAAAAAGTTGCGCAAATGGCGAGTTGCCCATAGAAATGGACAGAAAAGCATGTCATTGGAAGTCTTTAGCATTAGAGGATAATATGTTTTCAGCTTGTATTCTTAGTTTGAATGAGAAGAGAAAGTTTTGGAAGTATCAAACATTTTATCTATTCGCTAAAATATGTCTTTCTTCTCAACTCTGTAAAAAATTGGACTATGCCGTGTCGATGACATATTCAAAGTGCTGTGACAGGGAAGTGCCATGGATATGTTCTGAAATATGTTGCATGAACAAGTGCCTCATAACAGGACACAATACTGTCTCTGCAGAAGACACATTTGTTGCACTCTACACTATGTCTCCCATGGAATGTGCCCGATCACGTGACGCACAGATTATGTCCTATTTTCTTTTTATTTAACTTTTTCTTTTGCGACAGCATGTCTATGTGATAACTTGAATTTTTACGTATGTAATTCATTGAAGCGCGAATCTTTACGATTCAATTCAGACGAAAAAAAAAATACCTTGGACGATTGAATAACTTGGCAGCGAACAGCTTACAAATCCTTGACAGGAAGTGTATAAAAAAGTTAGAAATGTCTTGTCCATTTATATGTTTTCTTAGGGTTAATGCACAGGCACTACACACGTTTAGCTACACGTTTTTCGCGACAATATCTTTAACTAGACGTTTTACTTAGATTTCTGATAAAGTTTCATTGCATTTGCATTTTTTTCTAGCTCTAAATAACACTAAATAAAACTTCTATTTGACTTGTACAGAAGAATATTGAACACTATGCATAGGTCATAATCATATTCTTTCTATTTTTCACCTGATACGGTAGAATGGAAAAAAGGTCACAATTCTTATACATCATATTCATTGATTCTATGTGAACTTGATTATTATAGTTCATCAGTAAAACAGTGGATTTTGCCTTAGAAGAATAAGAATACGTCGACTCTATTTTTCTACATACAGATAATGTTTTTTGTTCTATCATATAGAATATAACAAAGCAAGGGAAAAAAACCATGTTGCTTTCTACTTGAATTATAACTATATTACAATAGAGTCCATATATATACGTACTGTTTTTGTCACCAGACTTTTTTAGACTTCTATTCATTTATATGTTATTTACTTTTTTCATTGATATTAATGTAAGACATACACCATACAAATTTAAAAAGTAACAAAAGCTTAAAAATTCTACTGTTTCGTTTCAAATTGATACTGAATTTTTCAAACATTACTCTAGTCTGAATAACCTTTTTAGCCTTGCCATTTTGACAGCAAGAAAGTTAGAAAAAACTTAGTCAAAATAGTGTTTTGGTTAAGTAGAGATTCGTTCTTGCAGTAGAAAGCGGAGTTAGTTCTATAATTTTGTTGTTTTCAAAGAGAATTGTTTCCAGTTAACTTTTTGAACTATCTAACTGTACGAAAAGTCGAAATTCTTATTCAACTCAATATAATGTGTTATTTTTATTCTTTTTTTCGTCTACCAAAGAACAGATTGTTGTTGGTGATGATGATGATTACAACAGCTGTTACATGTAAAACCGGATGCATTTTTTTCTTTTTCGTTGAGGTTGTATTTAAATATTATTTCTTGGTAAGAGATATCTCACTATGTGTGTGTGTGTGTCTGATTGTATTACAATATTATCAGTTTGAAATTTGAGAAAAAAATAACATAAGATGATGTATTTGTCATTCTCATCGTTTATTTCTCGTATCCACAGCAAATAGTTGAAAATGACTAAATAAAAGACGTTCATTAATCGTTTTTCCATGTTCATATTGTCCAGAAATCTAAACATTTTATATTTTTCTTCTATAACTCTCAATCAATTAGTAGAAGATAGTACTTTCTTCTTCTTAAAGCAGTTCTGTAATCATTTGGTATAGTGATATGTTTGTCTCGACGTTTTTTCGTTGCATTTTCCTGTATATCATCGTCTTCTATTAAATTCGAGCATGAATATTTTCAAAATTATAAATTTACAATTCGCAGACGTTGGCGAAAAATATTATTTATGCACATACAAAACAAAATACAGAACGGATGATTCATTACAGCATGATTCATAATACACATACCTTTTCCCGCTTTTATGAATTAAATTGCGCAGGTGATTTAACACATTTGAATAAAGAAAGAAACAAAGAGTAGAAAAAGTTTATTACCAATCTTTCTGTGTTGTTAATTATACATAGATTTGTGTAAATCAGGTAGAAGGATTAAAATTGTACGGTTTTTGCCGTGACGGTTATTAATAGCGCTAGACTTTTTTTTCTAATGTTTAATTTATTTTTGTGTGAGCTAGCAAGTTTTTCTAACTTCAAAGTATAACTCAAACATCAAATAATACTAATCATAGTTGTTGTTGTTATTTTGTTTTAGAAATATGCATTTATTTAACGTTAATGATTTTTGTTTACTTTCATAAAGTTTAAATACACAAAATAATTTATTACCGTCGTATATCCTCTGTGTGTATATTTTGTACATATTATTTATTATTATCATTATGAGTCAAGACGATATATTGCAATCAACAAAATCTGTCATCCAAGGGTTAGATGCATTGAAAAATGAACATGGTAAACTGCTTGAAAGTATTATTGAAGCGATGAAATCACCAACATCACCATTATTATCTTCATCTTCTCCGAATAATACGATAACGTTACCATCTGGTATCAGTTTACCAACGGATGCAAATAAATTAGAAGAAAAAATTGGTTTATTACGAAAGTCAATGGATATGATTGAATTGGGTATTGGTGAGGCACAAGTAATGATGCAATTGGGAAATCATTTACAAAATTTAGAAGCTGAAAAACATAAACTACGTACACAAGTCAAACGTTTGTGTCAAGAAAATGCATGGCTAAGAGATGAGTTAGCATCAACACAAAAAAAACTACATGAATGTGAACAATCGAATGCACAATATCTAGTAGAAATTGATCATTTAAAATTTTTGAAAGATGTTAAACAATATGATGTGGATAATAATTCATCTACATCACAAGCCTTGACAACATCAGCATCAGGCGTTAATAGTTTGTATAAAGGAGTTAATGATCAAGATAAAGATTTAGTTAATGATCTGTTTCCAAATGATGATGATCAAGGTGGACAAGATTATATGGATAATCAAGATGGACAAAAAAATGATATGAAACGTTTTGGATCATATGCCGATTTAATGATGTCGCCTAGTCAATCAGCAAGTGGATCATTTATGTCACCAACAGGTTATGAAATTCCAGCAAGATTAAAAACATTGCATGTAAGTAGATTAACTAGACTCTGATTATTGATCTTATTTGAATGTTTTGATTTTCTAGAATCTTGTGATACAATATGCCTCTCAGGGCCGTTATGAAGTAGCCGTTCCATTGTGCAGACAGTAAGTTATTAATTTTTTTTCCATTTTTGTTCAAAAGTAGAGAATACCTTGTTAAATAACAAATTCAACTACTGTGCTAAGTAATCGACATATTTGAAAATTTCTAGGGCACTTGAAGATTTAGAGAAGACTTCTGGACATGTAAGAGTAGTGTTTTACTTGAAAACTGTTTTCTAAATTGCGTTTATTATTCGTTTTTAGGATCATCCCGATGTTGCTACTATGCTTAATATATTAGCTCTTGTTTATCGTGATCAGTCAAAATTCAAAGAAGCTGGTTCCTTACTCAATGATGCTTTGGCTATAAGAGAGAAGACACTCGGCCACGATCATCCAGCTGTAGCGGCAACTCTGAACAATTTGGCCGTTTTATATGGTAAGATAAGAGATAAAAGAAGTCTATAAATCGTGATCATTTTTGTATCTATTTTATTATAGGGAAACGTAACAAATACAAAGAAGCAGGTAATAAAAAAAGATTAAATTGCTTGTTTGAAGTAATATTTTATTTATTTTTTTGTTGTTTATGTTAGAACCACTTTGCAAACGAGCCTTGGAAATACGTCAGAAAGTTTTGGGCCATGATCATCCTGATGTTGCCAAACAGTTGAGTAATTTAGCATTACTATGTCAAAATCAAGGAAAATATGATGAAGTTGAATCATATTATAAACGTGCAATTGACATTTATACAAAACGATTAGGAGTTGATGATCCGAATGTAGCTAAAACAAAAAATAATCTGGCGTCTGCTTATTTGAAACAAGCCAAGTATAAAGAAGCAGAACAACTCTACAAAGGTATATCTTTTTTACTTCTTTTTTTTTAATCGTACTAACTGAATTTACTCATACTTTACTTCAGACGTTTTAACAAATGCACATGCGAAAGAATTTGGTATGCAACAGTCACAACAACAAGGAAAGCTACCGAATGATGATCCAAAACTAAATAATGTTACTAATGCCCAATCTTCCATTGCGTCTCCAGGACCAACACCAACTGCAAAAGGCAATAATAACAATAATGAAACACAACAAGGTGGATGGTATAAGAATGTTCGTACGGATACATCCCCAGCTATAGTCACACTAAAACATTTAGGTTTATTATACCGACGTCAAGGAAAATATGAGGCAGCCGATACATTAGAAAATTGTGCGTCACGAGCAAGAAAAGATCCACAGGCTATTGCACAAGCATTAAATATCGTTAAACAGACTAATTCTACGGGAACACTTGGCACAATACCAACAAATGAAAATGAACAAAAAGTAACGTCACAAGTTGGACAAACAACTTCTTAATTATCCTACGAAGATTTTCATTTATGGCATTTTTTCGTGTTTCCCAGCTATCTTTTTTTTTTCTATAGAGCAGAATTGGTAATAACGCGGTGCTATCGTAACAAACGCCTTAAAGCAGCGTGTGGGCAAAAATAAAAATCGGTCGATAATAAATAATTTTCCGTCCATACGTACACCGATCGTAAGTTATGGTGCAAATGTCAGAAAAATCATTCAGCTATCATCGTCTAATCATACGTATATATCCGGTTGCCGTTAATAATTGAAAATGTTAGGAGAAAAACTATCCTCATAATTACCTTTTATTTTTCAATCTATCCATTTATGATCTGAATTATTTTCACTTATCAATTAAAAGTTGAGAGAGATGTAACTATTGACGATTACAAAATTTTATCTAAACAAGGCAAACGAAAAAAATACTTTCGTTCTTATTGGATATTTAATAGTGACGAACTGGCTCATATAATCTTTTCGGCTATCTTTCCTTCCTCACTAGTTTTTATGAATTAAAAGGCAATTATTTTTAGAGTAGAAGCCAATTATCTTTGAGTGTAGGTACTTTTTATTCTCCATTTTGACAATGACTGCAGTTTGAACAGTGTGTATGTATATTTTTGTTTATTTTATTTTATTTTGTTGGCCTAAGCAATGATTTTTGTCTGTTGTCCGCACTCTTCTTTATTTGACTCAATTATTGTAGTAGCTGCTTCTCGTTTGTTTTTTCTTTTGTTGTTGTTTTCTTTTCGTGACCACATATTTCTTAAAGGAAATCCGCAATTTGTCTGATTTCTTTTGGTGTGATGCTTATCATTTCATAAATATATTCTATTTGAGCATAGTTTAAATTGTCTCTTTTACTCACCGTTTTATTTTCTAATTGCTGATCTCATATTAAATTATACGCCCGCCACATGATTATTTTACAACTATCATGGTAATTTATTCGTCATAGCTTCTTCTTTTTATATCTCATCGTTTATTTCCATATAACTAATACGTCGTTTTTTTGTTTCGATGTTTGTGTATTGTGTAATTTTATATACGTATGTTATTTGCTTGAATTTTAGCTATAAGCTGTATGACGAATGAAATTATGTAACGTGACGTGTTTCTAAAGAATACAACGGTTTGAGAAATAAAATGAGCAATCCATTGAGATTATTTCTAGTTTATACTTTGACACATCATTCTAGTCTTCAAATGAATACATTGTTTGATTGATCCAATAATTTTAAATATGCTCTGATGTATGACAGTGTACTGACTACATCTTGTAAAAGAAAAATTGCACATAAACTAAATTTATAAACTTTAGTTAGTCTGTCAGATTGGAATACAATTAATTAAGGATATATCGTGAAGAATCTCTCAAATATTTATTTGTGATTTTTAATTGAAGTGATCATCTTTTTCTGTGATATTTTGGCCATTCTCAAACTTTCTTCAATCAATAGTAACTAAGTACAACCGAATAGAGTCTGTCATTCCTTTTGATACCACCCACGTTTAAACTGAACGTAAATAACTTTTTATATTAACAACATATGTTGCCATATCTTTGCTTCAAATTTTCATTTTTTGGGAGTGTAACTTATTTTTCTTTATCTCAAAGTCATGATTTTGCCCAATTTTTTACAGAAAAATCGAGAAACTTTGGATTTTTTTTGCAATCTTAACCGACTTTGGCTAGAGATTAAATGAATTGCGCATATCAGCTCAATATTTTCCGTAAAAGGCGGATAAAATAACTTGACGTAGGCAAAATCAGAAAAGAATCTGATATTACTTTTGTTTTCGTGATGAGATAGAGAACTGTAGGAAGGTGTATGGCAGCATATGTTTTAATATAAAAAGTTATTTACGTTCAGTTTAAACGTGGTATAAAAAGCAATGGTTGTACTTGTTATTATCGGTTATACTTTCGTTATTATTGATTGAAGAATGCTATATTTCATTTGTGATTAAACTAATATACGGTCTCAATATAGCTATCATTTCATATTTTAGATCATTCGACTTTGACGTGTAACGGTAAAAACTATGATTCCGCTTATATATATTTTAAGCGTTCGTTATCAAAAATTTTATTTCAGAATTTCTTACTTTAAGGCAATAATGTCAAATAACGAGGAAGATAATTATTGGGGCAAATCAAGTATTCAAGAGAAAGTTCAACAAAATGGAATGTTTAATCTCGATGTGAGCTAACATATAATCTAGACTATTTTGTTCATTGATAAGTTAAAAACACTGAGAAGAGATAAAGATTGACCATTTTTATTACTCTTAGCGATTTAAACGATCCGATTCATTAACAGTAAGTTAAATGTAACGTTAGATCATTCAGTGACAAATGAAGTAAAGGGAAAATGTTGTATTAGTGCTTTTATAATTGGACACTAAACATTTTTTGTTCTGCTTTAGCTTTCTTAACAAATATAAAACTTCTCTGTTGTCTGTTGTGTCTTATGTTGCTTGTTTACGTATGTTCTAAAACAAGTGTCTTGTTTTGTACTCATATACTGAATCGCTTACAAATGGTTTTTATTTCTAACTAACACTATGTTTCGTTACTAACAAAGAATTAATTCTTCGAACAAAAATGAAGATAATAAAAAATTAACAGGTTATCTTTTCTAACATAAACTGCGTCATTATTTTTGTTTCCTATAAATCTTCGTTAGTCAAAATATCTGAACGAGCGCATTTTTTTATGGGGAATATATCAGTTGTTGTGCATTAAAGTAATTTGTATCAACGGTTTCTAAATGAAATTCATATTTCAGGAGAAAATAATGGATTCAAGTCGTGAAACAACCGTCACACAATCAGGAGTATTTTCAGCTAGAAAACTTAATACAAATACGGCTAATTCAACAGCATCGGATATGCAAAAAAAAACGGTAATACCGACGACAAAACGACCAACAATTACAGTAAATGATAATCCTACATCACATAATGATCAAAAACATCCAGAATGTAAGTAGATTGATTCATGAACGATAAAATTTCATTTTGGACGTTGGTTTTTTTTTTAATTCTGTCTGATTTCTTTGTAGACGAAATTTTTAGAAAAAAGCAGAATTATTTTGTTGATTAATTAATCAACGATGACTTCAAAATTTTAAAAATGAAAAAAGCCAAAAATGAATTGATCAATCAATCTCATTTTTAAATTCTCTGATCAATTTCCGGATACGCTCTCGAATCTTTTTTCCTACTTTATGTTGAAGAGCACGTCAATTAAATACGACTAGCTGTGAAGAAGTAAAGTTTGCCTAATCGATAAAATAACTTGGCATTGCTAATTTTCTTTACGATGAATAGAAGTCAATCACCTTCTTAGTTCTGAGAAATCAAACAATAGATTTTGTTAAACTGTCAAATGGTCTTAGTTAATAAGGTACGAACAAACTAAGTGAGGTTTTTAATCGTTTAAAGTCATCTTATTCATATTCGGAAAGGAGGCGCACAACTTAAATAGTGGATGTGTCTTGTTTAAAAGTTTAAATTTTAATCAGTACGTGATTGAATATACTAATTATTATCGGTTAATCATGTATCCTAGTGCAATGAGAGTACTATAGTATTTTTTTGGACTATAGATGATGGTCTATTTTTCTTTATTATATGTTGCTTTGTTACTACATAATTGAATAGTCTACTATTACAAATTTTGGATCTCTCAATCGTTCATCTTCGACTAACATGTTCTTGATTACGAGAGAGGAAGGTTGTAGAACTGTTTAAACTCATTTGAAGACTCTTCATTTTTGATTCATTTAAAATTCATTACAGTAACGTTTCGCTGTAGAATACAGCTTCTTCAGACTTTACAGAATATGTCCAATTGTTCTGTAAAGTCTGAAGAAGCTGTATTCTACAGCGAAACGTCACTGTAATGAATTTTAAATGAATCAAAAATGAAGAGTCTTCAAATGAGTTTAAACAGACTAACATGTTCAAAAGTCATTTTAATCGATGCTTGTTCTTTAAATAATGAAACAAACATTAGAATGATATAGTTAGCTTTGTAGGAACAGAAATCATTTGAGATATGGCTAATATTCTACTTATACCAATATCGTTGTTTAAGAAGACGATGAGCATGAGCATTAAAACTCGAATAGCATGCACTACCATAATTATTAATCTAAAATTTTCTGATTAATCTTTACATTGAACTTTTCGCACGTCAATATTTCATTTTATGTCATTCATGCTAATTATTGTTGATAGAAATAATGGTTGTGACAGGTCAGCCAAGTGATTCGTAAAATACCTAGCCTACAAGTCTGATATTTTATACTGTTTCCTTAACTTAACTACGTCTTTCAATGATACTTGATCTGCGTAAAAAGATTAAGAATGCTCGTCGTTTTTCAAAAAAAAAGGAAAAAAATTTGATTTCTAGAAATGTATATCGTTTTGTAACATAAAATCTCTTTCCATTGCTGTAATTTTTTTTGTCTTTAAGAAACACATTATAGTGAGTTTTCAGTAAGTTTTTAGGAAATCGCAAGGAAAAAAAAGGCCTCTAAAAGTTTGATTCTGTACCAGGGACTGTTATGGACCCGAACGTCCATGGGCGCCCATATGGACCTCCGTGTCTCTGTCATCCATGGGCGAAAAAATACTTGAGAGCTCGTCCATGGGCGCCCATGGACGGAACGGCTTCGTCCAAGGGCGCCCATAGACTTTTTCATCGGCCCATGGACTTAAATGGAATTTTATTTATTTATTTTCTTAGTAGAGGGAGGTTCGCTAGTAGCGGATGTTTCTAGCTTACACTGGAAAGTGCAGGAGTGCAGGAGGAGAATGTGAATCCATCACAAGTTGACAATATTTTATTGATAAGATCAGTTGAAATGATGAACAGTCGTACTCTCGAGAAATAAAGTGTTTTCTTTTGTTTTCAAGCAGTTTTTCCTTGTTATAAGATTTCTCTGTGAAACTAACTGAAACAGCGTTATACCGAGCTCAACACTATCAAGACTTTATCACCGAAGACAACTTACACAACATATTAGAAAACTTTCAGCTGTAAATTGTACATTTTAAAGTTGTAGATTTCTTTTCCTTTTTCCTTTTTTGGGCATAAGACTTCGTGTCATGGGCCCTGGTGTACATACTATTATTCAGGCTGTTCTTTATGAATAAAGCCCTTGCCACCTCATAAACGTTTCTAAATATTCTTAATGTAAAAAATTGATGCTTGTGGAATATAGAGAATAAAGTGGGCTTCTAAGACAAAAAAGAGATAAACTGGTCGTATTTTATTACGGAAAAACCTTTTCGTGGTTGAACAGAACGTCCGTCCGCGCCCATGTATGCGGATGCAAAACTTTTGGTATAAGCTTTATTCTCAGAATACAAGCGAAAAACTATTCCATTATAGTATTCTAAACTAAACCTATCGAAGAACACAAAATCAATTTTGTACGAATAAACATTCGAACATGTAAACTTAGCTTTGCAGTTAACTGCAAAACTTTTTAAAGTGCCATCCGTGGGCGCCCATGGACGTAACTGGTTTTTAAGGTGCTATCCATGGACGCTCCTAGACGCAACTGTCCGTCCATGGACGCCCACGGACGCAACTGTTCCGTCCATGGGCGCCCATGGACGCGAAATTCGTGTCCACAACAGTCCCTGTTCTGTACCCTCATTTGAAAATGTAGCCATCGCATATGTTTGCATAGGATCGAATACATGGTATTTTTATTACAGATACGATGCACCTATGCGTTTGGATGTTTTTCCATTTAGCATTTTTGGGTGCATTCTTCGTAGTGGGTGGAAGCGGCCACCTAAAGGCTCTGCACGAAGACTTGGAACTATCCGTATTTTCTTTATCAGTCGAAGAGGATGTATCAGAACGGGATAAATCAAAAAACACTCGTACTTATTAAACACGGTAGGTTTCGCTAGAAAATCCTATCAAAAATGGCTCTGGAGGTTCCAGTAAAAAATATTCCTATTTTATTTTTCGAGAAGAACCACTGATTAAAGTTTTATATCTTTACCATTTATCGTTATGATTCTGTGACAAGGTGAGAGATAAAGATGTATCCTTAATTACGAACTATAAATACAGTATAAGGAGTCGTACATTTCTCATACAATCTTGTCAACGCTTATAATAGTAAGCTGACTAGCGATTGAACATGTTGTGATATGGCAGGTTGAATGATTCTGATTTCAAATTCTTCGTAGACTTGAGCGACTTTTGATATTAATTATAGTTTAATCACGTATACTAGAGTAAATAAATTAAAACGTGTCTAAAACAGTTTGACTTTCTTCTTCTGCTTGGATGATAAGAATAATTTTACGAAAAAACATTAGAATAAAAGTTTGTTAGGAAGAGTTAGTATAACAACGGAAAATGTTGAGCAAAATTTAATCAATCGAATATCAGTTGCCCTATTTTTAGCTATGTTTTATCTTTCAACAACATCATCTTTAAGATTTTTCTTCTAGTATAAGTGCAGTAGATGACATTCATCAGTGATTAGTGGCGAGTACTAGTACAAAACAATTTTACTCAAGTATATACTCGAGTAGAGATTTTTTTAAAACGGAAAATTGTTGTCGAAAATTTTGTCGTGTGATGATATAATGGTAGAAAAAAGCTCCTAGTTGTTATTGCTGAAGGAAGGGAGAAAAAATTCTGTGTGTTATATCGATTAGTGGTGTTATATAACCTTTCTCTTTGCTGCAGAATTTTGGATTTCATACAATCTAACGGATAGTTTTCACACAAATTTAAAATTCTCATTCCATTTAATCGGATGGATAAAGAGAACGTTGTCAAACACAGTGTGCATGTCCGTCTCAATAATCCACAGCGTATATGCTGAATTTCTTCCTACTTTTCTACTTTGTTTCTCTCCTATCTTCTACGAAACGCTTCTCACTTGATCTTCCAATTCGGCATATCCAATTTTTCGGTTTACAAGAAATTTTGCAAAGCTTCTTTACAGATAATTCTGCAGCAAACGGAAAGTCTGCACATTGTGCAATCGGTCTGATTCTCTGCTCTCCACAGTGTGGGCTTACATAAGAAATTATTGTGATAAGCGAAACATCTTAAAGGCTCACATTCTTGAACACAGGATCCTAAGGTAGCGTATTGACGAAAAAAATGCTCAAATTTCTATCGGAAAGTACAGGAACTTAAAGTGACAGAGTTCCGTATAATGAGTTTCCGTGAAGCGGATCTCACGAAACTTTGCACAATTTTTCTCTTAGTCAAAAAAATATTTTATGCTTTATTTAGCTGCCAGAGCAGTTCGAACACAACCGCTGATGTCCCCAGGGATTTTACCAGTACAATCTACTCCATCCTCTAGTCCAGTAACCATTCCATATAACTCAAATAAAGTTTTGGAAAAACAATGGCAACCAACTGCAGAAGACTATCGTACGTATTTGACCCATCATAGAATCATAGACCATTTCATTTCTCTTGTTTTTTTTTGTATTTTAGCAAATAATCAAGTACAGGTATACCAATTCTAATCAAAGACTAATTTATTTGTTATTGATCATCGTGACTTTTAGGATGGAAGTACACTATTCGATTATCAAATGAAGGCAAAATGTGTGCAGTTAATGGAATCTAAAGTATAAGTGTAAAATTTGACCTACTTATCTACTATAAATTTTGTTGTTTTAGAATGTAATGTTATTAAATGATGTGAAAGACTATGATGCAAAAGAATCTCTCCTACGTCAAGCTGTGGCGCTAAATACGCCGAGTGTAACAATACCGGTATGAATATATTTTTGACTTTTACTACTTTGCTCTTATTAGATATAGATATATTTTTAGGTTATCATGTTTCTAGAAAATACACTATCACGTCCGTTATTCTATGAATTGATTAATCAACATCCGTCAGCAATTAATAGTTATATAAATATGTGCAAATTACGTTTAGAGAAAGAATATTATGTTGCCATGTTAAAGTTCGTATTCACGAGTATTATTAATCGAAAATAGTTAAAAAATTATGACATTTTCTACTTTTTAGACAATTTGGAAAACGTGAAGATGTTGCTGTAGGTATTTTTTCGATAGAATATTATATCTCATATACTAAATATAAATATATATAACAATTCATGTTTTAGATGCTTAGAATTCGTCAAACAAGTCAGGCAAATGATATGCAGACAAAAGTAACATTATTAACCGAAGCTATGAAGTAATATCATTCAGAATTATATTTAATTTACGTTTAATAATATTGAATTTTAGTGAGCTTCACTCAAATGTATGGTGGCATACACAAGTCTCCGATTACATGCGTCTTCTTCAAAAACAACAATTATTACACGTAAATAACGATAATATATAAAATGATACTAGTATAATATCAAATTTATATGTTTATTTTAAAACAGTCATTATCTCATGGACGAAGTCAAGTGGAAAATCGCTCATTATTACATACATATAAAGTTGTTTATAATTCAGAATTTCGAAAACCTGATAAACATGAATTTAAAGAATTAGAAACAAATTTTAAAGTAAATAATCGTCATATCATTTTTGATTGTACAAAACAAATGTATTTATTTAGATGTCACCAGAATTATCTTTGTATGGTAAATTATCCGTAATAATTGAAAATGGTATATCAAATAACTATCAAGAATTTATAACCACAGCTAGTCAACCAACGGTATAGATTATTTGAAAAATCACTTTTCTTTACGATTATATAACTATCAATTTTCTTTTGTTATCATAGGGTATATTAAGACAAAAACATATCATTTCACCACATATACTTGCTGATATGGTTTACAATGCGTCACGTGATTCTGGTGAATCTATGGAACAGGCTAGCGATAGAGCAAAAAAGTTTCTTACAATGATAGCTGATCCGGAAAAACGTGTTTTTTATGCTGAAAAATTTGGCAATTATGAAGTGGCAATTGATGTAAGACACGTGTTTCTGACGATCAAACTTTTTTGGAAAACGAAAATTTTCATTGATTTTTAAAAAACTCTGATTGATGTAAATGACATTTTTCGTTTATTTTTTTTATAGACAATCGTTAATCATTTAAAAGATCGTACAGAATTAGAGAATTTACGTAGACGAATGCCAAAAGATCATGCAGCCATAAACAAAGCTACAATGCTATTGGACGTAAGTAATTTGTCTTTACACAATTTTTATGAGAACTATATTACTCATCATGTCATTCCTTGTCTTATTAGTCTCATTATACATAAGAAACTTGTTTTTCTATTCTTTTTCTTATTTTTTATTGTAGTCAACAAAATGGAAAAATTAAATTAATTATGAAATTAGAATCTACAAAAAAATCCGTTGTAATATATCAAAAACAATGATTACTTAATTTTTTCACATTCATCGAAGATTTCATAGAAATCTACATGTGTATAATCTAAATCTTTCATCCTATTATATATTATTTCGCTTACATTGATTTATTTCTTTTTCATAATAATGGTCATGATTTATCTCCTTTTTATGAGACATAATAAACGACCTGTAAAATTTAACTTAAAAAACTTGTGTAATCATATGATCTAGTCACTAAGAACACAAAAGATAAATATGACTTTCCATAAATATTTTTTTCCGTTATATGAACATTTTCTTTTATAGAAATAATAGAGAAATAGTGCTTCGGTCAGATGACTACTGTTCTGTCTTGGTTGATTTTTGTTTGCTCAACAACTTTTTCTTTGAGTTATTTCTCTAAGATTAAACTTGTTGGATATTTTTATTTTCCTAAATGTGAGATTACAGTGATACAAATTTTTCTGTATTATTTTCGTTTGTCGAGCTGTCATATGTGATTTGTATAATTTAATAAAATTAAAAATGACGTATAATAATCGATATATTGAAACATGTAACCTAAATTAGATCTACTAAGCTTCTCTGAAGAAAAAAAAGGTATAGTATGAAACTTATGAGGTTCCGTGGATCTTTCCCATACCAATCAGGTATGGTACGTATCTGCGAAATCTCATTAAGGTTTAGTAATCGATTTCGTATGATATCCTTCAAGATTTTGTATCATACTCTGCAAGGTTTCGTATTCGAACAGGTTTTATAACACACCGCTTGAAGGTATAGTAGTAGAAAACGTTTCGTACTATACCTCTCTCTGTGCTACTCTTATATGAGAGGGTGCTTGTTTTTGTTCGCAGCCAGGATAGCTGAGAAATGTTATGAACTTCTCTGATTCTGTGGAAAAAGTACCCAATGTAATTAAAACTAGAAAGTTTTCTGGATAGAGATCCCAAGGAAATTGGAAGTATACTATATGCTGAAAGTTTTATTATCTGTAGATGACTTTTTTGTGTTATAAAAACTGATTGATCTTTTTCTGTTCTCTCTCTTTTTTGTGCCTTTGGTAAGGTGATATATTTTTACAGTATGTGAAGTCAGCCAATTTTTTGATAATATTTTCTTTTACTCTATTTAGACAATCCATATTTACTAGGAGTGCATCGCTTTGGTGATACTTGCATTTTTCGGTTGTTTTTGTTGCTAGGTAGTAGAAATAAATAAATTCAAGACAAATATACAAAAATAAACTATATAAAATCCATACGTAGAATCAGTACGGACAAAACCTCTACGGAATCTTTTCTGAAAGCGGGGGAAAAAGGTGTCGTATGAAACCTTGTTCGTAAAGAACCTAAAAAGGCTTAGAAATTGTTACAATTCTCGAAACCCTTTTTAAGTTCCGTACGGCGCCTTTTTTTTAGAGTAGGGTATCATCAGATATTCAAACATAACTGAACGTGTATTAGAATGAATTGATTCAGAGAGTTCATATATCTATTTAAATTCTCTAATTATAGAAAAGCAGAATCCGGGAGAGTTTGTATTTGATAACAAGATAACAACTATACCAGCAGCACATTCTAACGTTGGTATCAGCGAACATCTACTATTTCACTTCAATGTTACTTGAACGTTCATTGTAAAAAGATTTCTACTGTTTCTGTCAAGTACATGGTGAATAACCATATTTTAGATCTACTTTTTGTTCATTGCTTCGTCCCGTGTCTGCGGCAGTATCCAAATTTATCAGTCTTAAAATACATGGCAATTTCACCGATTAACATACTCAATGGCTACAATTGCCTAATGATAAAAGATGTAGGAGAAGAATACAAATGACATTCGCTAAATGGCAACTTAGAGAAAATAATAAGATTTAATTCAAAAACGGCTCAGTTACTAAAAAACATGATTACAAGCAAAATGTGACCATATCCACTTTACAATTTCAACATCCTTAATAGTAATTATTTATAATAGAAGTGAAAGGAAAAAATTCACTTAAACGGAAAACCTGATTGAAATGTTTGACCGTAGCTATAATAAGTCTGACCGTCGATCGTGTCTTAAATAGCAGGTTTTTCCTGCTAACTAGGAAAATTAGGTATAGTTATAGTAGTGTCGACAAAGTTAAAAATGTAGTTTTACTCTGTAAATGGCTTTAGGTCGTTTTTTCTGGTGCTTTTAATGAAGCAGATGGAACTCTAACAGGCGGGCCTATAATAGGTGGTGTCGGATTCGTTTGATCACTAGAAGTTGACGGGCCTGGTTGCGCGACCGGTGTTGAGCTTGGTTCACTTGATGATGGTGGTTGTTGGCTTTTTGTTGCTGATGGTGGTCTGGCAGGCTGAGTAGTACTTCCTGCGTTTATTGCTGGCTCTTTTTTGCTAGATGATCCTGGTCTTGGAGTTGGCTGTATAGAGTTTTGTTCAGTTGTTGCCGTAGCAGGTGTCGAAGAAGCAGTTGTATCTGGGGTAGTATTTTCTGCTGGTTTACTATCTGTTGTTTGTGGTGCAGTTGTACTTTGCCTTGCCGATCCAACTCGTGGTGTGGCTACGGCATTTGACGCTCCTTCAGAGGATTTTACAGTTGCAGATGGAGGTCTGTTGACGGGTGTTGGCTGAGTCGATTTGTCGTCAGTGTTTGCTGTTTGTGGTTTTTGTGTTGCGGACCCGACTCGTGCTGTTGTTGTAGACGAGTTTTCTTGTGCCTTTTCTCCTGTTGTTTCTTTATCATTCGATGAAGCAGCTTCCACGGGCTTGTCTTTCGTTGTAGATGCAGATGGCGGTCGAATAGTTTCAGGTTTAGTAGTGTCGTTGTTGATTTTCGTTTGTGCATCAACTGATGGTTGTTCAGTTGTTGTAGCTGTTTGTTTCGCAGATGGAGGTCGAACGTTACTCTCTTGTGATGATGATGCCATGATGAAATATGAGTTTGATAATTATTAATTTTAAACAATTGTTTCGAACTACAAACAAAATTCTCGTGTAACTGATATTTGTGAGTCGACAACACAATTTTTCATTAGTTAAAGCATGACATGATAGTGTGGTAGGAAATAATAGTCTGCTTTAGTACTTTTTCCTACTTCATTATCCTTTAAGTCTACTATGCACATTTGTGTCCTCGAACCCTGTCAAGTATGGCTCGGAGAGTCTGGATTAATTAGGTTACTAAAACGAGATTGATCGAAATGAATTATACTTACGAGGGTTTTAAATTGGATAAATAAAATAGAAAAGTTAGACCTATAAAAAAAAATTCGTTATGTTGACGATTGTTATGCGTTGAATTTTGATTATTTTTCATTTGCTTACTTTTCAATGTTTCAGGGTTTCTATTTACACAAAAAGAACAACTGTGACTTGGCAACACCAAATGGGAAGAGAAAAATTATTGAAAACAAAAAAAAAATCATTGTTATTTTTAGAGGGATCAGTGCACTAAAAAGAGCTTTTTTCTTTGAAAAAATCCACATACAATGCGTCAAGGTCGAATAATATATAATATTTGGATAAATCTGAGTAATTGAGCCAAAAATAGATGGCCTAAATTCCCCTAAAAACAGTGTTTTGTATTACTGTAGAGTTGGAAATAATAATCTAAGACGACAATTTATTTAGGCTATTAAAATCGGTTTCACTAGTGAGTGAATTTTAATTTTCGTTTAGAAAACAACTAGTTTACTAAGAAAATTCTGTTTTAGCTCTTCTCTTGTGATAGAGGCGTCAGTTAGGCAGATTCTTCAATTTCAGACAATTGTCAAGATGTTTCAAACACATTATTTCACGGATATTCTATTTTTCTTGAATTGTCTCAAAGTCGACATACAATAACAGCGTGACTGAAAGAAAACATAGCCGATTCAACATGATTGAACTAATTGATTGATCTTTTTTTATTAAAGAAAAAAGTTTTATAAAGTAATACTCCAGTTATGAGGAGGAAAATGTTGAGAGAAAGAAAATAAAAGTATTGAACAAAGGTTTAAAAAACAAGGGCGTTGATTGCACATCAAAAAATAGTACACACAAAAGTTATAATTTAGTAGCACAAAAGTCTAGATTTATTTTTCTTTCTTTCCAACAATAAAAGTGAAAAAATGAGTTGAACACTTGTCAGCACTAATAAACTGCTCACGTGTTACCGGCTTTCGGTGCATTCTCTAATCATACAATTATGGTAACCTATTGGTAACGAAATCAAGTCAACAGCTCTTCCTGATCGTCTCACACATTGCTTTTCTCTAAAGAGGACATCTTCTTCAAGTCAACACATCAACCTATGATTTGAAAACATGCTAGACGTATACTGACATCTATGTTACACATCTGCACACAGTCAATATCATATATCATCGGTTGACCATAACGGATCTGTCCTCGAAACCTCGGTAGCGGTCAACCGTAACATATAGTAATCTCGAAAATAGATGGAAACATAGGTTATCGATCAATAAATTAAATCTTCCAGAAAACCTCTTGAAATCTTATCTCAGGATAAGAAAACTAAAATTTTCGTTTCTCTAATCATCAACATACAAATTAAAAATTTTTTGTTTTTTTTCAAATCTTTAATTCTGACTCCTTTATTCTATTTCTGCAATCACTGAAATCGAGTTAGTTATTGCATCTATGGTCAAGGTACAAAGGCGCAATAAGCATGAGATAGCTTCTCCGAGGCTATCACGTGATTAACATTGTTGGGATTCGAACTCAGTACATTTCTGCTGCTGGCCGACTGATTATGCTATTCTAGACACTCTGACTTCGTCATTCAACGTATAAATCTTCTGTTTTATAAACTAAGTAAAATACATTTTTTTGAAATTCTCAAGTGGTATGATTGGATTTTAAGAATTTATTCCGGAGTTTAGTATCAGCTGATAAAAGCATCGATTAGGTACGTAGATGTAAACAACTTATTTATTAATTCTCCCAAGCCCCGTAAGCAGAGACATCGCGAAGTACAAGAAGCAGGGAGGGGACCTCCGATTTCGGAGTAAATCGAAAAATTTCAAAAATGAGAGTAAATATTTAATTTGTCTAATAATACGCAAGTTTGGACAGACAAAACGTTTTAGTTACATAAAACTTCATGCGCTCAAGTTTTTGGTATAGTTTGTGCAACAAAACTAAACATATTTTTTATTTTCCGAACGTTTTTCTATTCTAACTTGCAGACAGTTAACTGTGAAAAACAACTAAATTATTCTGAAATCTGTTGTTGCGTTTTCGAATACGCTTCTACGCTTTTAGTTGTTTCCATTAAGCCGCAGTTTATGTCTGAGACATAAACTTCTTTAAATTTAAGAGCAAAATGTACTGATTCTTCACCATGACCTGAGGAATTGATTGAAAACCTGCGCCTCACGCTATGGCTCTGAGAGTAAACTCAGTGGACAAAGGTGTTTTGTTACGAAGAGTCAAGCGTTTATACCGCGGGATTTGGGAGACAAGTTAGTGAAAGAGAGTAAGAAGAATGCGATGTTTTGTGACCACAATACAAGAATGTGTAATATAAATTTGATACGAGGTAGTGTTAATTCTGTTGATAATATGATAAGGAAATCACATTTAAATTTAATTTCGTTTTTCTCGTAGAATTTTCTTTTATTTTATAAATTTATTTACAATTGCTAAACGTTTCGAAGTCTAAACCGGCTCCTTTTTCAGTAGTACAAATGATATGAATAACAAATGATTACTGAAAAGAACTTTTGTACTACTGAAAAAGGAGTCGGTTTAGATTTCGAAACGTTTAGCAATTGTAAATAAATTTATAAAATAAAAGAAAATTCTACGAGAAAAACGAAATTAAATTTAAATGTGATTTCCTTATCATATTATCAACAGAAGAATGCAATGCTTTCAAAATGCAAGTCGCAGCAGATTTTCTTGAAAACGAGAAAAAAGAAAATGTGTTGGTGTTTACTCTTAAACCGAGAATATTTATAATGAGTAATAAACGATTGCTGATTATGCAGCATTAAATCAGAGCTCAGAAGTATTTCCTTTTCGTTTCCACATGCTGTTATCTTTATTAGCATACGTCAGATGGTGCTGATTGTTGATCTCATTTCTAGAGCAAAAACTTTCAAATTTGGGAGTAAAAGATTCCAAAAAGCAGGGAGGAGGATCCGACTCCCTACTCCCGTTGTAGCGGCGTCTCTGCGCGTAAGCTAAACTTTCTAAGTTCTAAACATTTAGCTGTTATTCCCATCCTAGCCACAAACACATCTTTCACATCAAAAGCTCCTTTAACGGAACGATCTAATAGAATAACGGATCCTTGTAAATAGAAGTTTTTGCCATTATTTGCATTAGTTATCGTACTATCATTAAAATGAATTATAACTGTTTAGCTCATACCATGATTTGATAAGTCTCTAGCAGCACCTTGAACTTCTCTCAAATTAAATAATAATCGACTAACGACAGATTCTACTTCGGTTTCACTCAAAATCAAATCACATACTCTCTAAAAAAGAGATATTTTAAAATATGGAATATGGCATAACCATTTATTTGAACTATATCATAACTGTTTAAACGTTTTTTACTTTTATCAGAAAACCCTTTTTGGATTTTTAGAATACAAAAAAGCCGTGATTTATAAAGTCCTGAATTGCTTTGGGATTTTAAAGTATCTGAAAGATTTTTTTTGATATCTCAACCGTTTTTCAGAACATACTTTAGCCGTATTTTAAAAAACGAAAACTAGTTTTTTGATAAGAATAAGAAAGTTTTAAACAGTTATAATGTGGTTCAAACGACTATACCTTTTTAGGGTTTTTTGAAATACCTTTTTTTTAGAGTGTATGTAATAATGAAGCAGTGGATAAGGTATATTCTACTCTTTAACATTTCGAATATCTAACTGCATCGGTGGATTCAGCATGTAAAAGACAGTGGAAACATTTGTTATCCTACTTGTGAAGTAGGAGTACCATAATGAAAGCAAAAATGGTTTATCAAGACAAATCGAATTTTTAAGTGGGCAGTTTAATATACGACTCCTTTGGTGTCAGAGAGGTGCAAAACATCCTAGTGGATGCACTTTATTCAAGTACTTGATTATTTGCTGAGTACTTAGGAAGTATTTTACAAGTCTATTCACTTAGTAAGCACTTGAACAAGAACTTGGCAAGTGTTTTTACTTCTCAAGTTCTTCTCTAAGTACTCGCCAAGTATCATCACTTGATTTGCTTCAACCAGATCCTTGAACGAGTCAGTCATTCTTTTATTTTGTATTGATCAGTTATATATCAACTTCATAATATCAATCAGCATAAACTTAGAAAATACATGTAGATATGTCTAATGAGTTGAACCAACTTGCCATGCATACGTCTGCTCTACAAAACGGTATGGCTGCAGAAAGGTAGATGTAACAAGTGCTTGGTTCAAGTATCCTCATTACGGTACGACTCTAATTATAACACTTTTCACATAATGTTCGTTTTCTCAATAGGCACGCTTTCAATTTTGCCTCGCGAAGGACGGCCTCTAACTGTCCAATCGCTTTTGAGACGAAACCTAGTGGATTATAGATTATAGATTATTGACTATGCTGATTCCGAATATGACCATGATAGCTGCCTATAGGCCTCCCGAGATCCGGGTTTCGAAAAACCAGTTTTTCAGAAACCCTAAAAAATAACCAAAATCTTTCTTAATGAGACCTGATTGTAGCCGCACATTTTTAATTAAAATGAGACATCGTCCAGCTCTACATGACCTTTCTTTGCAAAGTTATAGAGTTTACAAGAAAAGCCCTAAGTTAATTTTTTCCTTATTTCTGTAGCTTTGAGCTAACAATGAACATTTAGAGCTTTTCTTGTAAATTCTATAATTTTGCAAAGAAAACTCACGTAGAGCTGAGAGATGTCTCATTTTAATCAGAAATGTGCGGCTACAATCAGATCTCATTAAGAAAGGTTTTGTTTATTTTTTAGGGTTTCTGAAAAACTGGTTTTTCGAAACCTGGATCTCCGGAGACCTATGGGCAGCTACCATGGTCATATTCGGAATCAGCATAGTCAATAATCTATAATTCACTAAGCTTCGTCTCAAAAGCGATTGGACAGTTGGTGGCCTTCCCTCGTCAGAAATATATCATTGGAAAGAGCAAACATTCTACAAAGTTTCACCGCAGGCTGGGAGCTAGTTATGAAGATAAGTGAACATCAATGCCTTGGACGTATGCGATAAGTAAAACAATTTGATGATAGCAGAAAAATTCATATCGGCGAAAACTCAAAATTCTTTTTTTATCTTCTTCTGATTGTGACACGCTCCGCCGTCTATGACCAAGACAGTAATTTTTTATCAATTACTATAAAATCTAAAATAATTCTCATTGAATGATGATAAATACTAAAATATGACGATAATTGAAAATATTATCGGTCTATGATTACTTTTTTCTTTCTCTCATATTCTCGATTCTCTTATATTTATATATTTACTTTTTTAAAGACGTGGGTGATTATGCCATACTGTCTCTACTGTCGAAGGACGTTTTCAGCATTTTCAAACGAGAGATAGATTTCCATTCTCTATCGAAAATTCTGGAGAGTTCATTAACACACTCGAGACAAGGAACTAAAATAAAACTAACCCGATGGAAAAGACTGTTCACAGTATATACTACTATCATTTTTAATTCTGAAAAGCATGACATCTGCTAATATACTAAAATTTATGAAAAGAGTTAATAAGATCGAGAATTCTAAAAATATAGTTCAATCATAATTTTGATAAATTAAGTGTACTAAAAATTATTACGTTTGAAAAGGGATAAGATCTTTCCATTTTAAAAAAATTTTTACACTTTATTCTTTCTAACTGGATATCGTTGACAAAATTCATCTTTTCTAAGCTTCAGAATGACATGTTTCATTATCTGGTGCTTTTAACGACAAAACATTTTTTTCAATTTATTTAGAAAAAAACGTTTAGAAGTATATACTAATAAAACAACAACACAGACATCAAATTAAAAAACGAGATTGAAGTGGATCATGTATGTCAAGTCAAAATGGACAAACTCTTGGAAAATTAAGAATAACAACAAAACTGTCCTGTACGGTATGTTTTGGTGGTATTCTTATATTCTGTCAATGGCACAAACGAGTACGAAAAACAGAAAAAATATGTCAGATCGTTGAAGAATAAGACAACAATACATCACCCCCGACTCTAGAAAAAAACTGAGTAAGGACTGTTAATGTTGCATTCAGATCTTTTAGACGAAGACTGAAGCGAAAATTGTTGTGTAGAAACTTGGAAACAAAAAAAAATATATATATAATAACGACATGAAGCAAAATAAAACCACTGTAATGTATTATTAATAACTTGGATGAAAACAGAAACTAAGAGAAAAAGTAAGCCGTAAAAAAAATATATCGGAAAATGAGTGTATGTTCTTCGAAACTATGTACAGACATATCACCGACAGAAAAATAAAGTTCATGCAGAGTGGAGGAAAAGTGATTTTCGTATTCAGCACATCTTGATAACTCCGATGATTTTCTATATTTGGTAAGACATATCGCCAAAAGTTCAAGAAAAAATTTTGAAACTAATATTATTTTTCAATGAATATTTCTTTTTTCTATTTTGTTCAAAAAAATTTCCTTAGCTTTTAACAATATCTCGCGTCAAAAATAGAAAATCTTCGGGATTATCGAGTGTACTGCATACGAAAAAGTACTTTTTCCCTACACTGCATGAATTTTATTTTTTTTCTTCACGTTGATATGACAAGAATAATAATTATTTATAAATTTGAGTAAAAGATTTAATGGATAACCGGCGTATCATATGCGTATATTTTTAGATTCGAACGAACGATGAAATATTTTTTTTAAACTTTAGACGAGTGCACGTTTATCAGATGGTGCTTGTATATCTTCACTTTCAACAACAACATAGGCCGTACCATCTGGTGCATGAACTGCAAATTGATCATGCTGTTGTTCATAAATTATTTCATTTTTTTATGTCTTCTTCTATGCTTACAATCTTTTAGTCATCCCTCTGCCTTTAAAATAAATTATGTATGTGAATGGTGCCGATCATCGCTTGCAGCTATTTCGTATGCTCCACATATAGGAGATTTTGACTAAAAATGAGACAAAATATTAATTGTGATATCTCATATAAAACAATCAGAAGATAATAGTTAATCAGACAGTAAGAATAGAGTGCCTGTGTATCGATATTAATCGTTACCTCTGATCGAACAGTGTGTCGTAAGCGATGTCGAAACACCTTAAAAGAGAATCAATAACCACGTTAAACATTTTATAGCATATGACTTAACTTGTACTTACGATGAAAAATACCGTAACGACTATTAATGCCACCAATGTTAGTAGAAGTCCAGTCAGTATAATTATTAGACGATTTCGTTGCCATAACGAGCTATATGGACGAGGAATACCCGGTCGTTGCCATTTATTATTATTGGCAACTGATGGTAAAACGCTTTGAAATGCTTGATTTTGCATCTAAAAACGTAGAAAAATTAATTAATTAATTATTAATATCAACAATCGTTACATTCTTTCTCTTTCTGTCTCATCATTTTAATCACACATTACTTACATCGGCATCGATTTGATCCATTTTCTTTTGAAAATCATCCTTGTCTTCTTGAAAATAGGGCATGACTTGAAATTCAGTCTGACCATCCGTCTCAACCTAAACAATAAGAGAATAATAATCTAGAAAATTAACTATACGTATCGTGTCTAAGTTACCCTTGTGACAAGAATTTGAGGTGGCATCAATTCATATTTTGAAGCGACATTTTGAATAAAGCCACTAAAAAAATTACAATAGATATTAAAAATGTTATTCAAACATAAAATGGAAAGATTACTTACTTCTTAAACGTATTTAAGAATGATTTATCGTTAAAAAATGTTTTTACTTCAAAATTGTAAACAAAATAATTTATCTTATCACTTGATACTGCTTCACACGTTAAAAGATCTAAATTGCATACATAGTTCGGTCCACAAGGATCTCTCTACAATCGAATAAATTGTCATAATATAAAATGAGATATTATTTAAAACTATAGTACTTACCAAACTACATGGAATTTGATCTATAATTGGTGTCCAATCACAATCACATTTATCACAGCCATCTTCATTTTTCTTAAAACCATATGGACAAAACATTCGACAGGTATGCAATGGACATTTGTTACATGAACATAATTGGCATCCAAATGTATCACGTTCATAACCATATTTACAATTTTGATTACATTGTAACGGTGGGCAAGGATCATCAAATGTTTCAATATCTGTTTTTTGATCATTACATGTACATGTTACGCAACCTAGGGAAAAAGATTGTGACCTCGAATAAAGATTCATTGTGTGTTGAATAGAAAGAACATACAAAATAAGAAAATGTTAAATGATTAAACGATAAACTACATAGTGACTTTTTGATTAGTGATATCAATACAAAAGAAACTACATTATTAATAGACTGAACATATTATATTGTTTAATTGTACCGTCTGTCAACTTTGGATCATACATAATTAGTGAGCTACTTCTATAAAACTAACCGTTTGAATCTTTTTTGTAACCATTTGAACATTGTGTGTTACAAGCAACCATCGGACATTGTTGAGTTAGTTGTGGTGCATCATTACATAAACAAATTTCACACCCATATTCATTCTTTTTAAATCCATGTTGACAGTGCATACGACATTGAATTTTTGAACATTCAATCTCATCTTTTTTATTGTCATTATTTGGCCATGGTTCTGGTAATTTTGGTATTAAAATATCTGTGGCACATCGACACGTTTGACAACCGTCATTATCATATTCATAACCACTTTCGCATGTTGAACGACATTTGACTTGTGGACATTCAGATGGACGTATAGGCATTGGACATGCACACACTTCGCATCCATTGTTATCCAATTGATATTTATCATTTAGACATTTTATAGAACACTTTTTACGAATATCAACGCATGAAACAGCTTGAACTAGAATAAAAGAAAAGTGAGTTAAAACTAGAAAATCATTATAGTATTCTCAAGGAAACAGCATTATTATTTCGAAAATGTACGATACCGCAAAAGAAAATAGGATATTAAGTAAAACGAAGGACGAATGTTTTATTATTTATTGTTTTTTGTCTATTCCTTTTAATAATATTGTTTACGATGCGTAACGCTACGGACTATCACCTTAGGGATTAAGTAATCAACTATGAACGTTTTACAACTACAGAATATCTCTATTATGTTAAGAAACAATTAGCCAATGTCACCTTGGACGATATCCTTAGTCATTCAAAAAAAAAAAAAAAATCAGAAAAACAGAGCTAAGATTTATAAGATTTTGCTTCTCTTTCAGTCATTACAAAACAGTCACTGGAGTTTATGCAATATTCTCTATGACAAATTACTTATCAGATTTTTCTCCTCACTAAAACATGTCAATAAAAATTGAATCGATAGATTCATAATTAGTTACCTGTGCCATCGACTTCTATTAGACAAAATAATTGTATAACAATTAATATGAACAGTTTCTCAAACATCTTTCGTTTTTATTTTCTCTAAATACAACTGTGTAATAAAAATAGTATTGCTGCTACTCTTCTACATGAAAATAATAAAGAATGGAAAAAAAAAAGAAAAGAAAAAATATGTTATTTTTTATTACTCAGTATACCAACAACATTCCAACACAAGAAAGAGAGAGCGAAGGATGGTAAAATTATTTTGTGTAACCGCGTACACATAATATTAAATCACATCGAATGGAGTAGTAGTACATAAGAAAAAAAGTGAAAAACGACGATACAGTGGGTATTCTTCTATTCTTTTTTTTTTTTACATATTGAAGAGACGTAGCTACATCATAGACTAGAGGTAAACTCGTCAGCTACGAGCACGTTTCTTGCTCTTTTTTTTTTGAAAATGGTTTAAGGCGTAATTTTTTTTCATTTTTTTTTTCTTTCAACACTATTTTTTTTTTTGTATAACATTATTTTTTTAACTTTGGTTTACATCGTTCATATTAAATATTCTTTTCTTCTCAATTTTGACGCATGATGGTACGCGTTCTCTATTTGTCTTGTTGAAACACAGAATAGACTATCAAACAAGTCTGACATAGGGAGAAAACGTTTTTTTTCTGTTGCTAAAAAGAATTTATTATTAGTGATTTCCTGCCCAATTAATATCGTCATTTTAAAAGATAACACTTGTGTTATTTTTCGAAGTTTGCAGCAGTAGAGTAGAAAGAGAAAAAAAAAGTATGTTTCATTGATCTTTAAAAAAGCTTATGTGAATTCTGTTGGAGAAAAAAGAAAGAAAAGAAAGAGTTAATAATATGGTTGTACGGTAAAACATAGAGAATAATTCCATATATGACTTTGTTTAAGGACATTCATTTCGTTATTGCGTCTAACATTATATACTTTTAATTTTTACATAAACAAAACAAATGATATAAAGAGAAAAATGTTGACGTATATTTCTGATACTAGATTTGAGAAAGAGAAAGAAGTACACTACTAATAAATTTTTGTTACTCTCTGGTTATTTTGATAGTTACTTGAGAAAAATCTGGGAATTGTTTATTTTTGTTCTAAACTAGAGGTGTGTAGATCAACCTTGCCCTCCCCCACAGATGAGATCTGGATGACAAAATATATAGGTCAAGGTAGAATAAAGATCTTTCTTTAAACTAGTTTTTGGAAAATATTAGAATAGCAACATTAAATAGCGAAACTGTTAGTGAAACACCAATAGTAAGACACTTTAGATATGAAATATATTTCTGTATTAGAATTAAATAATTTACATTTCCCAGTGAAAAAATTAAAAATTCGAGAAAATTTCATAGGGCAGGGAAGATTCAGAATGAAGAAACTTTTCATAGATTAAAGTATCAAATCAGATACCATATTCATGTCTATCCTCAATATGAGATTTGTTGATCCATACAAGGGTAAGAATGCCACTCGAAATTAGTTAAAATTAAAAAAGTAATCTCAATTCTTCTTGTCTAGTTTTCATATTGACAAGTATAGAATGAAGAAGATTCAATTTTCTATAATGATGAATGATTCTTTTTTTTGTCAGATATACATTTTTGTAGTAATGAGTGTGTGTGCAAAAATGGAGAAAGAACTAGACCAGTAATTTCTCGAAAACAAGAATGAAATTCATTATAAATAAATTATCATACGACAAAAACAAAAATCCATTATGACAGTTCTGGTAAATAAATAATGAGTGTATATGTTTTCCGTGCTTGTTTTTACAATAAAAAAAAATAGAATAATTTTAATTTGAAAGAATCAGCCGATGGATATATGCGACAAAAACAAGGTACACAATTCCATTATGAAAAAAAAAAGATCTGTGCATTTTCAAGTTAGAGATATTAAAAGGAATGTAGGACATTATTATTCGATGTAATACATTCTAACCTGAAAAATTATTTTGAACTGGGTCATTTAAATGTAACTCTGGAATTTTCTAAAAATATGATAATCATGCTTACTTGCTTTACAAGTCTGTATAATTGGACATTTGAAACCATCAATGGCAAAACATTGTGGGCTTCTTTCATTTACACATTTAAAACCTGGTGGACAATGTACATCTTGCTTAAAGAAAACACAATAAAAATAATTAAAAACTAACATTATTATTGAAGATATAAAATTTCATAATATGCACCTGACACTGTGTATAATCTATTTGATTACATCGACATAGCGGACAACCGGTATCTGATTGTTCAAAACCACCATTTGAACAATCAAGATTACACACAAAATTTGGACATTGATCTGAACATTCACATATACTGCAACCAAATAAATCTTTCAAATAACCTTGTGGACAATTTTTATTGCATCCGATCATCGGTGGACACGATTGACATTCACAAATTAAACATCCATCTCTATCTGTCTGATAGCCAAGTGAACAATTTAACGAGCAATTGAGCGATTGAGAACAAACTGAAGCAGTTTTAGCTAAAGAAAAAGAAGAGAAAACGATGTTTGAATACTGCGATTATATATTTTAGTGTAGCATTAGTATAAATGAATGCTGATAGCGACATCTGTCCTATACGATAGTGCCACTAGAATGTAGAGACATCACTTTTACGCACTTTCTGTTGGTGTGAGACAGCTTCGTGTACCACAATTGTTTTCACAGCATTTTAACTCAGCTGAACAATCTGTATCAAAACGACATTCAGCAAATGATTTGCAACTATCTCGGTTGTTTAGTTTTATTGTTTTATCAACTTTTGGGCATACGCCTGGTTTTTTTACTGGTATTAACGGTAAATTGTTATCTAAGCCTAAAATTTTTGAAAAGATTAACTAACTGATGAGCTGCAGGTGACAACGCTTAAGAGTATACTAACTCGTTTCTATATTGATGTTATAATCATCTAGATAATCGTCTTCTTCTCCAAACTCATCATCTTCTTGATCGTCATATGTCAAATATTCATCTTCGTATTCCTGTGATACTTTGGTTGTTGTTTTTATTGTTGCCGATGAAATTGGATTTCTATTATCAGCGAGAAGTTTTGTACGAGATTTAGCCAATAAACGATTTGCAATTGGTGATGGCTCTTGTTGTTGATTATTTGACGAACTCAAATGTTCAATATCGTTAGTTCGTTTTTCACAGTAAACGCAATTTGAATTGACTTCATAACAGTCCGTTTTCACCCTGCAATATTCCGTGCTATTGTCACATTTTAATTTCTAGAATGATGATACATAAAATCATAACATAATCTGTGCTAAGTAGAAATTTTAGGAATTTATTAGTAATAAAAAGACATGTATTTTTATGTTTCAAGATTTTTTATAGTTTTATCTTGAATGCTAGCTAGCAGTAAATTGCACCATTGACCACAACGTCCTTCTCTCATTGTAGAGCACATACACGCGTCCTTTCAGATCAAATTGCGAGCAGAGATGCCCTCAGGGATTTTTTGATCGATAAAGAACATTTTGTTATCTGTTTATATTTTACACAAAAAATATTATTTAAGAATATATCGATTTATTATATGGCATAAAAAAACTAAATTTGCGATTGTACTGACAGAACACTTACATTGCATTCTTTCGTCAAAAATTGATCTAAAAAAATGAAAAGAAAAAAAATAATAGTAGACGCAAATTTTCATAAATTCATGTAAATGAGCTTACCGTCTTGTATTGCAATTGATCCAATTTGAAGTAATAATAAATACCGTAGAATATTTACATAATTGGTCATGATCATATCTAACGAGATAGAAAAAGCTTAACTATAATAAATAGCATTATCTGCAGTACATAAGAGACTATACAGTACATTATGTTGTTTTATATGTATGTGCGTCTAGTTACTATATTCTTCTCATTTTCATCTTTCTCTGTCTCTTTGTGTCTTTGTATGCTTTACGGCCTTTAATATGTGTCGTCCTCAACCTTCTGACAAGAGTTTGTTGTACATATTGTAAAATGTAGAGAGATTTATGCGGACATTAGACATTTGATTGGAGATGTGTTTATGTAGAAATGAAGAAAACGATGACGATAATATAACCATCAGATTACTGCTATTAAAATAGAGAAGAAAAAAAAAAACTTTATGGTTCAGTAAATATATCTTGGGATACACAATTCTACATGACATTCTCATTATCGGCATTCAACTAATTATACCTTAATCTGATTAACATTCGGTTCGAGACGTCGTTCTCAAGGAGCTTTGAAAAATAGATAATATAAGAGTTTTATAGATAATTATTTTTTAGTGCAAAATAGTCATATATTTACTATTATTCATAGATAAATTCTGACACGCATATGTTCATCATTCTTTTTTAACTAAAAATGTAAAAGAGGAGGTAAAAAAATGACTCATATAAAACAGATTGATTAATCTCTTTTTTATCAGTAAATGTTATGTATTCTATTATGGTAACTAATTTTACGTATGTCAATGTATAAATGAGCGTTATTAATAAAATAAAACAAAGCTGTTTGTTCAATTGATTCAACAATATTGATTTTTATGTTAAAACGTTTAATATTACTTTAGAAGTGAAGAGAGATATACTATAAATACTTTCTTAAAGGAAAATACTGGATCATATTTAATATGTTTGTATTCGTTTAGTATTACTATATAGATCAATAGTCTATAAGATTATGTGACTGGTATCTGACTAATGAATATACACATTCATATCCAATTGTTTCGTTACATCTCTCCCCAAAAAAATCTATAACAGGTCTATGTAACCAACAGATGCGGCAACGTTAATGATTCACTTCGTATTTCTGACATAAATCTTCTCCATTACGCTGTTCAATCTTAAACCTTTTTCAAATTATGCGCCATTAAATTCTCTACAAAAAACGTATTGAGAATTTTGTTTCCTATTTTAATACTAAAAAGCTATGGGGAAAATACTGCGAAGCTTCAACTTCAATCACTTTCTAAACTCTTTTTCGAATTTTATCGTTCACATTTTGAAGTATAAAAACGAGATGATTGTCATCTTGTAGCCCTTAGAAAGTTCTATCAAATGACTATATTTAGCATTTTTCAAAACCAGAGGCGTTTGTGGAAAAAATCTTTTCTTACTATAGGAAAAAAATCATCATTTTTAAACAACATTTTCATGCTACTCAGAAAATCTTTTCTAACTTGTTCAAAGTCAAAACATATTGAGTTGGAATCTGCCTGATTTTGAAGCAAAATGACACATCTTTCTCATCCACATGGAGAACATTCTAAAACTTCCGCTGTGCTAAATTAAAAGAGCTTATTTTTTAAGCTTTTTTTAAATATTAGTAAAATGGTCTTTTTTTACAATAAAACTAGATTTAAAGCGAACCTAATAGACACGAAAAGAAAGAATGCATTTAAAACTACCGGAATTTGATCTTAGTTTTATGCACAGTAAAGCATTCAGAAAAAAATTTCTTTTCATTGAGAGAGTTGTCCAAAGGCTACAAACTGGCTGTCTTCTCGTTTTTATACGTCAAAACGTGAAAGTTAAAAATCGAAAAAGAGGTTAGATAGTGATTGAAATTGACGCTTCGCAGTATTTTCCCCATAGCTTTTTAGTATTGACAATAGGAAAACAATATGTTTTTTGTAGAGAATTTAATAGCGCATATTTTGAAAAAAGTTTAAGATTGAACAATTTTATGTCAAACATATAGAGTGGGTTATTAACGCTGCCGCACTCGCTACATGTACTTTACATTAAATCAATAACTAAATTATCTCAATTTTTTTCGTCATATTGACTTGATAACTCGAAAAAAACAATATTTTTCTATTAAAAATATCTTAGGATACCTGCTCTTTCTTCAACTAAATCATCATATATTAATCTGCTTAGAGTAAAGATGATCTAAACGATTTCAATTCAATGTAGAAACAAACTTCATAATACTCAATCTACTAGGTAGAATGATAATGTTTTTGACCTATATAAATCTTGTAGTATTAGCCATTCACAAGGTTAAATTATGATGTATTTGTGTGTGTATTAGTTAATGATAAATGGCCTCTCTACATGTTTAAACGTTGTAATTTTTAACCTTTCTGATCCACATATGTTGTATTCAAATAAACTCCATCCAACAATGGGATCAATAAATATGGTTAATTACACAGATTCTTTAGTACTTATATACAAGATAATAATATGTAATTAAAAATTATATAACTAATGGTAGACAATTCTTCTAAATAAAGCGTCCTTGATAAATAGAAATGCGGTAAAAGAAATTCATAGACTATCATCTAAAGCTAATTTTAGTCGATATCCAGAAGGTAAAAGTAAGCAGACTATAGAAGAGAAAAAAAAGAAGAAGACGAAGAAGAAGAAGAAGAAGAATTTTTCAAGTATTTACCCTAGATATATATAAGTAGCAATATGTAAATAAAAATAATCGAAGTGTTATTGTCTGATTATGAAACTACAATGTAAGACAAAACAAAAAAAAAAATGAAAAAATTATAATAAACACACTTTCATATTAAATCTCTCTATATGTGTGAAATTTTTATTAATAACATTCTAAACTGCTTATATAAAAAACTTATTTAATAAGATAGAGAGGTTAAGTTTTATTTCTTATTTATTTTTGTCCATTGTGATTATGATGAGGATGATGATGATGAAACCTAATTTCTTTATAACTGACTTCTTCTACTATTGGTTTTATTTTTCTTCTTTGTACTTTATTACATCCTTTCAATCATGCATGCATTTTAACACTTTTATATTCTATTTATCTTCGATAGTCAGACTATTGTTTTAACATGAAAGACTTTTCTTCTTCTTTTTTTATCTTTTTCAATAAAGTATGTACTTTTATAAGCAAAGAATTAAATTTATGTTTATCATTTCAATATAATATGATAATACGTAAGCTATATTTTATGTTGATGAAGACAAAACAATGTTTTTTTTACAACTAAATTTGTTTAACTAATTTAATTAACTAATTAAATATATCATCACTTGTAAACAAACTCGTTTAACAATTGAAATAAAATACTAAATAATTTTTTTTTTTTAATCGTTCATTTTTTAAAAATAACAATGAGCTCACCTTATGATATCTTTTAGTCATATTTATATGAGCGAGTAGGCGTCCGTCTATTTTGCTAAACTGTATTATAAGTAAATATGTTGAGATTTTTGTTGTATTTATACCGAAATATTATGTATAGATGTGTGAATTCTTTAAATCTCAAGTAGAGAGAGAGAGAGAGAGAAAGAGGAAAAAGAATAGAGAATGAAAGAGAGAAAAAAAAATGCTTTTTTATTGAAATATTGTCTTTTATCTGATTCGTATTTTTTCCTCGTTCTTTCTTCGTTTCATATTTCATCCGAATATATATATATACGTGTTTGTATACATACACATTTATTTATAATAATATAAAATCTTAGAAAAAAGAATTACATCCATAATATATTTACTATTCTATCGCTGCCATATTGTTTCAACATTTCGACATATTTTTACCAAATTTTTTTTTCTTTCTGTCTCTCTCTCTCTTTCTCTCTCTCTTGTTCTCTTTTTTCCTTCTTATTCTGTTGTCTTATTCAACACATAACTATCGTCTCCTATAAATAATCTGTGCCAAAGATAAGTGTACACTAGGAGAATATTGTAGAATCATAACAATAATAAATTTTTCGGTGATTACATCAAAATAAATATCGTTGATAATGAGCTCTACATATATATATATATATATATATGAACGAACAAGCGTATGGGTAAAAATTATTTCGTAATAGTTTATATTACTTTTACACAAACATAGCTTCAAAGAAAGTGTTACACGATTTTGTAATTGATAATTATAGTTTCTAATTAACATGAACCCGTAAGATGTGTGTTCAATGCGTAACAAAACTATCAGATGATTAGCTTATTTCATACTTTCTTGAATGAATAACATTAAAACAAAATCTTTTGTTTCATTAGTAAGGTAAATTTTTTATATACCTAAAAATTAGTTTTTGAAATATGTTTGTTACTTCAAAATGACATAAGAGAATAGTACACAATTTCTGATCTAATAACAAACTACTATTCATATTAATACTCAAAAGCAAAATTGAGTGAATACACTCATGAATTCTATCTGAAATATGTCATTTGAACAAGTTACATACAGCAAAAATATGTTTACCGTTTTCTTTTTCAAGTAAATAATATTCTCAATAAATTCTATTCAATTCCTTATTTATTCAAATACAGTTCATTAAATTCAAGATAATTAACATAATCAACATTAAACTAGATTTACTCAATCTTGCTTAATGCAAAGTATAATCGTGGTAATATTACTATTACTCTTCCGTTCTCTTACTACATATATATATATTTATTTTTTTTTAATTTTTCTCACTTATTCTAAAATATATCTAATATATTCATTCTATTCTAATACTATTTTGATCATTTTAAAATATAAAAGAAATAATGTGTTTTCAGACACTAATTTTAGCCACATGTTTTCGAATGACACTCTAATATATATATATATATTTGAAGTTTTTTTGTTTTGTTTTGTTTTTTGACATCGGAACGTTCATGTATTATGAGAGCGACACGTTATTATCCTTTATTCTTATATTGACAAACTATGGCAACTATATTCTTTACGTTCCGTTTTTCTTTTTCCATGTGTGTGTGTGTGTATGTGTATGTGTATATGATGAATATGGTGTATATACTACTATGAGACATGAA